TAAATTGATCATCTAGGTTTTAATGTGGCTAATTATGGTTAACTCAACCATAATTAGGTGTTGATATTTATTTTCATGTATTTGACACATACTAAACTACTCAATGATTGGAAAAAAGATGATGTAAGTTATATATGTTGACAAGGCTGAGTGTGGTGTAATATTGAAAGATCTCTGAAAAACAAATCTAGTTGTCTGCGTTAGATATTTTACAATTTAAGACAGATTAATTTGATAAAAGGGAAGTATCCTTTTTTTATGGGCCAAATGTGATGCTTTTGATAAGAGAGAGGGAAAATTACATTCTAATGCCTTTGAGTGATCTAAACTAAAAAATACGTACACAATATATAGATTGTGTATACTTGTATTCTAAAAATACATATAATATACATATCTATACATAAACCAATGTATATGTTGTGTATTCTTCCAGTCATTTTTGTACATATTCTATGGAAAAGACTACAGTTGTGTTGTTATTGAGATTTGGATGCAGCTCTGACTAAAAACAAAATAAGTGTCTCATTGAGAAACCTCCAATACATACAAAGAAGTCTATTGTCCAAGTTTCACTTTAGTTGCAAATGGCAAGACAAGAGGCTCATTTGCAGGCCTTGGCCACAACAAATACTGTGAAAATGACTTGTATTAAGAGTTGCACCACCAAAACCATTTGAATATTCACTTTTAAAACATACACAGAAAAAAAAAGGTCAATGAAATAACAAAACCAAGAAACAATGCAGGCCTTAACCTCATTATATCAGTGTACTCATCTACATTGATATGACTCATATTCTTTCTGACATTCATTCAAGGGAAGTCAAGTGAAAATACTTCTAAACTATTGAAGTGAAATAGATTGAAAGGTAATACAAGAAATGGGGAAGGCAAGCAAATGGATCAGAAACTTCCTAATGGTGATGGGGAAAAAGGAGGAAAGGAAAAAGAAAGAATATAAATCAATAGAAAGTGTGGGAACCCCAACAACTCCAAAGGCGAAAAGGAGATGGAGTTTCAAGAAATCATCAAGCATGGAGAGAAACAGCCATAAGAGTAATAGATCATTCGACTTAACTTTTGATCACCAACTAAACACACAAGGTTCAATGCTGGAGTTAGAGATTCTGGAGAAACTCCACAAAGCAAGCCTAACAGCAAAAGGAGCTATAGAACCAAAGGCATACACTACCAGACGTGTTAAGGATGCAGCTGCCACCAAAATCCAAGCTGTTTTCCGTTCTTATTTGGTAACCATTCAAACCACGAGTGTATTCTTGTTTATTTTAAACTAGGTAAAGCATGTTTGGTTTCATTTGATCCTCATAAATTGCACTAAGTTACCTATTATGGAGAGGACCTTGTTCTCACAATAAGGTCAATGAACATGCACTTGTAAACTATGTAGGGCTAAATAAATAAGGTTAAATGCTAAAAGGTGAAAATGGTTTGAAAGCGTAACTGATGTTTATGCAGGCTAGGAAAGCATTGCGCGCCCTAAGAAGCCTGGTTAGATTACAGGCACTGGTAAGGGGTCACCTAGTGAGGAAACAGACAGCAGCAATGGTGAGACGCATGCACTCTCTTATGGTCATTCAACTAAGGGCTCGTGTTCAAAGAGTTCAGATGACCGAAGAAGCACATACCCCAAACTCAAGAAAGAGTCAGAAAGTATCATCTGGGAACAATCAACTTACCAGAGCCTGCAGAATTGTAAGTCTCCTCTTCTCCTCGTGCCGAATTTTGACTCTACCAACACATGAATGGAAATGACAAGATGTAAAATGGCAGGAAAAGATGGATGCTAGCATTCAAGAAAAAGGGAGAGTTCAGAAGAATAATAGCACGAAAAACAGATCTGCTGGAATGGAAAATGGATTGAGCACCTCTGAGGCTCGTCGTTTTTCAGTGTCAAGGAGGAGTCATCAAGTACTTCAGACATGTCCAAGTCCCTCTACACTGAGTGATATGAGCACAATAAGTTATGACAGGAATATAGAGGATTTTTCCTTCAAGACACCAGAAAAAGGTTTTGAACATTGCTCTAATGTGTCAACAACCACATCTTCCAAAACCCCATTTTCCATTCCACACTCAGAAAATCCGAACTCCATTTTTTCTAGTGCTACTTTAGCACTAACATACATGTCCAATACAGAATCCTCAAGAGCAAAAGCTAGGTCACATAGTGAACCCAGACAACGACCCAATTGGAGCATTATAAGAAAAAGCAAGCGCACACCATCAATGGATGGGATAACAGGCATACCTGACTCTAGAAGGGAAGAAACACCTACCCACAGCAGGAGACACAATGTCCCAGAAAGCCATGAAGCCTGGTTACTTAAGCTTTACAAACAAGCAAAGTCCATCAAGCATGTCAAGGTTGATTCCGCCAGCATAGTGTCTACCATTTGACTTCTGGAAGATCTCTCACTGTCTGAAAGGTATGAGTGACTAGCACATGAAATTTATAGCTGTGTATTGCTCTCTCTCAGCCATTTATATCAGCCTCCTCTGAGCACGTACTGGTTCCATCTTGTCCAGTCAAACTCCATTTTCCTTAAAATACTCTGTTAATAGAGCAGCCAAGTGCATAAGGAGAACTGCAACCTGACACCAAAAATTGGGTACCACCCAATTTCTGATGAAAACTGATGTTTAAATTCTTTAGCTTGGTGTCTCAAGTAGAGTAAATGCACCCAAATATAAAAGAGACAAGAAGCTTAAAAGCACTCTCTAATTCGGCAAAAATAGATGCTAACATTGGGACCATCCATAAGCAATAATATTTCTAGTGGAATTAAAGAACCTGTTTTCTCGTCCATATTATCCTTTCAGTACTTCGTGAATTTGCTAAATATGCAAGGGGTAAGGGTAACAGGAGATCCTAGCTATGAATTAATGTTTCAGCTTATGACTGCCTCTACTTAGCAAAATCTGGGCACCTACAGAAAATATTACAGCAAAGACTACTTTATACACATTGAATGTTCTTAGAACTAATCTTCCTGTTTAGGAGCATTTTCCTTTATGCTCTTGGTCAACCAAATAGCAGTTTCCCTCGGAGAAACTTTTTCTGGTCCAAATGGCTTCAATAAGACACCAAGTTCATCGAATCTGTCTTCTTGCAAGAGTCTAGCACTGAACTCAAGTAGTCCCTCCAGGGCTTCAGCCCGTTGCTTATAAGATGACATGTTAAAACGGCGGCGTCTTGTGTCAGATGAAGTTCGGCTAGATGCACCAGCAGTGGCATTTTGATCAGAAGAATCAGTTATGTCCTCTCTATCCACATGCACCATGGGGCCTTCATAACCTTGCCAAGCATCATTGGAACTCATTCGATCAAATTTACTGTCAGGAATCTGTATGGTACATTTGTCTTTCATAACTGAATACTCAGCTTGTGGTGAGCCAGAGGAACCTTGCGCAGAGTTTGATGATGTTCGGCGTATAGGATGGAAAGGATCTTCATATGAAGCTAATGGAAACTCAAGCATCTTGTCAATTCGAGGGGCATTGACAGAAACATCAGGAGACTTAATACAGTCAAGAAAACTGAGACTCGGCCTTCGAGGTAATTCTTGAACTGCTGCCTTGTTTGTCAATGGCAAAGATGCCCTACGAGTTGTAGAAACAGATCTCTTCACCAGGGTTCGTGAAGCCTGTCAAGCATAGAGTAGTCAAACGACAGGTGTTGGGAACTAGAATTTCATATAATCATATTACTGCTTCAAGTACATAAGCTTATATCCATGATTTTCAGAGCATAGATATAAAAGCAACCACATGTTATTTTCTTCATTTTTAAACCGGTAAGAAGTTGGTACACGAAGGCACTAATAAAGCAGTTCAAAGGCATAATTACTGAGAGACCAAACCACTCAGCTACGAAAAAAAATAGAATTTACATTATCAAATGAATCTACTAGGGAATCTACCTAGTCTACTCTATTTTCTATACACAAAAAGTGAAACAACAAGATACAATTCATCTTGAGCTTCTGTGTTGAGGTCTGCCTATCTTTAATGTGTTCTTTTGTTTTCCTTTTGCTTTTTCTGCTCTCTCGTGTGACGTTGTTCGATTTCACTCGCAATGTATTTTTATCTAACTAGTTTATCATATAATAATAATTGTGAAAATGAATATTAAAATTGTTACTGGCAATTATCTAAAGCTAATTTGATGGAACATATCCTGGTTTGGGCATTCCAAACAGTTCATCAAGATCCAAATGAATATCACAATATTAGGTAAATTTTAGGATACTGGCTTTTCATTTCACATATAAGTTGACACCATCAAAGATTTAGTGAGAAACCATTTTCTCTAAATCTGTTGCAATGACAAACTATTGAATATATTAGTTTTTATATATTGGTATTTGCCTACTTTGTTGTACATCAGTTGAATCGCTTGGACGTTCTTGTCTAGAATAAAATCCATTTATTTTTATAAAATAGAAAGAAGTAAAATGGATAAGCTTTTACTTGTAACCTTACCATATCGCTGTTCCTTAGATCCACTTGTCTTCTTGGAGTAGTAGTCAATTTTGGCACGATCACCTTTGGATTCTTATTCACAAGCAAAGCTTTAGAAGTGATTTTTTTTGTGACAGTTGATCCTCTATCAGGGCTTCCAACAGACAATTCAGATACTCTGCTTGGTGTTTTTGGATATCTACGATTTGAAAAAGTATAATCGTGATCAGAGACACTAGGATTCAAAGTCCTATCATTTCCACATGACATTCGCTTCTCTCTGTTCTTTTTGACAGGTGTGCTTTCAGAAATTGCAAATCTGGTTTTCTTTACATCATTATCAGGCAAACAAGCAGGTAAACTGTTCCGTCTAGGGCCATTAAGTTTGAGATGTGTATTAATCACATATGGCTGAAGAAGTGGATTCCTAAGAAGTTCTGCTGCCTGTGTATAACAAAAAAAATATTTTAAGTCAGCCTGAATATTGCAATCAAAATATGTTTGAAGTTTCAGTCTTTCAGAGGAGATTCACTTTTAACTTTATATTTCTTTCAGAGGAGATTCACTTTTAACTTTATATTTTAAGAGCTGATCGGTTCACTAGATCAATTTTGGCTACAAACCAACAGTCTAGAAAACTAATCTGACGGAACAATGGAAGCACCCTAAAGAAGCCAAAGAGACATATTTCAACCTTTTGTGGTCAGTATTGAATAGCTTCTGCGAGAAAGTAATTTAAGGAGTTACGCTTCCTGTATTTTCATGCTTCAAAAGTTAATTTAAGCAGAAATTTATCAACTTACAGAAAAATGATGAACAGAAAGACCGACTGTTTTAAGTGTTAACATGTTAATCCTTTCATTTTTGTTAGAATTACTACTCTCAGTTATATATTAAAAAACACTCCTGTTCTTCAGAAGAGAAGCTCCTTCTAAGCCAGCACTCAAAGATAATCATCAATTATGAAAGGCTCCATATTTTAAAGCTAAAGCCAAGAAAACATGAAATGCTTCCTCAAGATATTTGCATTATGTGGGCAAAATGATGAGATATGTCATCGGTGCTGTTGATATTACTTTGCATATTTTACATAACCAGACAATATCACTATTTGTGAAACATTAAAACATTTGGCTTGTTACATATTGAAGAGGGACTTCTTCTCCACCTATGCATGTCAATCAGTCCACATAGGTAATCTAAGACTACAAATAACAGGTATCGCAGGCTAGAGAGTACTGCTGACAGAAAGCCACATGCAGGACAATTGTTACTGAACCAGTCGAGTCATATGAATACATAAAATAGAATACAGGAAACTAGAAGGAGGATTTTTTTTTCTTTTGAAATACGTAACTTCAATACAGGAAACTAGAAGGAGCATTTTGTGTTGTGGTTGTGGTATACTTAGGGTCGTTTGGTACAGTGTATTAATAGAATGTATTAGTAATGCTTGCATTAGCAATGCATGTATTAGTTATGATTGCATTAATTATACATGAATTATTTTTATTCATTGTTTGGTTTGATGCATTAAAAATAGAAATATAGAATGCATGCATTAAAAAAATTATTTACAAAGATGCCCTACACTTATGGTGGAAAAGATATAAAAAAAGGTATTGAGGGGCAATTGGGTCTTTAATTGAGTTAATGCATACATTAAAAGCATTGCATTGCTAATACCTAGAAATCCATGGTATTAGCAATATAGACCATAATGCACAATAGAGTGTATAAGTAATGTTTGCATTAGTTATACATAGGTTGGAAAAGAGTACCAAACAAGGTATTAGTAATACACAAGGTTAATGCATGCATTATTTTTTTAATACACTCTACCAAACGACCCCTTAGTGATATTAAATTCAGATATACTATGATGCTTGGGATAATTACTAATAAAAAAAATTATTGAGAAAGATAATTACTAATAAAATTTGTTGCAAATGCTACAAATCATTAACTGCAGAAGAAGCATATTGGTAGCAAAATTCAGGTCTAAGTTTCCTTGTTTAATCCCGTTACCTTCCATCAAATGATGACTCATCAACTTGGTATTCATTAAGATTTTTGACATTACCAGAAGATCATGTCTACCTGCCTTTTTTCTTCAAATAACGTCAAAAAGATAGTTGCCGTACAGGTTCTGGAAGAATGATCAGAAAATGTGTTCGTCTCACTTAAGGATTTTGTTTTGTGAAAGTATTACCAACCAAAAAAATTATAAATAGGAAAGAGCAAAAACAAAAGATGAAGAATTGAATGTTTCTAATATTGGATGAAACATAAGTCGGGGGAAGTGTCTTACATTATGGTGTAAAGCACAGGCATGGAAGGCAGGAGATTCACGAAAGAAATGTAACAAACAGTAACCTCATAGTCACATATTTGATTTTCAAGTAAAGATGTTGAGACAGCAGTACAGCATTTATAAGCTTCTGTTGGTTTAGCTTCAAAATAACTCCATCATATGCAGATCTCTCTCTAAAAACATAATCCAATTATGCAGATGACACAATACGCACAGTAAACTACCAGTTCAAGTTTCTTAGTTAATCCCATAAGAGATCTTAAGGCAATACCATAATGGCTTAAGATGTAAATAAACCTATAAAAATACAGATGAAGAGGAATCATACGCTTGGCCTCAGTTCTGGGTTTTTCCGCAGCATGCTTTTGACAAGACCTCGGCTGGAAGGCAAATATTAGAAGTGAATAAGCAGAGTTAAATAAAAGATTCTCATTCAAGGGTAGAGTTTCTCGTATATTAAGTCAAAAAAAGAGTTCAATACATAATTGCTGAGGCACGTAAACATCCCCCCTCTTAATTTTTGGATCTCGCTGTTCCTTTACTAACAAAAGTAGTACATTGAAAATAGAGGCTATAAGAAGTGAAGAATAGACTCTTCCTGTCGTCCTAATGATTCCAAAACAACCTTGAGTTGTTTATCATAATAATGAAGACCTGCCTTCCTGACCTCCAAACTAATGCATTATCTCCTTCCATCCAATTTTGCCTTTAGATGGCACCAAGTAGAAATATGTCCTCCACCAAGGAATAGAAAGGGGCCGAGAGGGAAGATGCAGTTTAAAATGATTGTTGATTTTCATTGGCTTTTACTTTAAAATTGCTAGTTTATTCTCCTTTAACATCTCAAAATTTATTTTACAAAAATCTATGTTGGTAAACCTGTCATGTTGGTACTTGGGAATTTGATGATAAAACAAAATTAATTCCATTCATGCAAGTCTATACAGGGAGGCCTGTCATTTTTTGCATTAGACTGGAAGCACAATGGAAGTAGAGGGATTTAAATGCCCTTAAGAGTGGTTAGTGTAATTTAACTTTAAAATCTTTTTATTGGCTTTTCTTCAACCAAGGCATGCTTAGGTACTGAACCTCACTAAATTATAACCAAAGGTACACTCGACTAGTTAAGCTGCTGCAATTTTATTCCCATCTGTTGATTGCCTGTTTATAAGTTCAAAATAGACTTGTATTTTTAAGATTGTTCTCCAAGAGAAGAAATCATTCAAAATCGAACGAGGGACTTCCTTCAACAGTTCTAGAAGTCCAGCTTAAGAAATCACAGTCCAAAATAAGAAGGCAGCACTTATACATATAAACATACACCATGACAAAACAAAACTCAATCAAATGAACGACTTACAATGGACCAGAGTATTTTGTCGGAAGTGGTGCCACAATAGACTTGTTTATTTTGTTGATGAGTGCTTGCATATCCTATGTCAACGAGTATAAATAGCATAAGTTTGAAAGACCAAAAATATCCATCAATAGCAAAATGCAAAAGCCTTAAAAACATATGAATAGCAAGGGTTAGTTTATAAAAGTTGAAGTAACATTACCCAATAACTACATCATAAGTAGAGTCATAAAGCAATCATCCATTTATTGAAGTATAAGAAGGAAGACAAGGGTTGTGATCTCCCAAAAGTACTTGTTAGAGGGGGTTAGATTCCCACATTGAACATCTTGATAGAGTGGGTTACCATCCCACATCGGTTGGGGAATGGTTCTGTTTATATGGACTTCAACAATCCTTCCCTCATGAACTAATTTTGGAGTTGAGTTAAGCCCAAGTGTCAAATCTTTACATGGCATTAGAGTCAAGTCTATCCTCATTTGGGTTCCCGATTCATGCTCTAGTTGGGCTTGGGTGTGAAGGATGGTGATAGAACTTAGAATCCCACATTGGTTAGGTCGGTTAGGCCATCGGGGAATGGACTGGTGTTCTGCTTATATGTACTAGGTCAATCCTCCGCTTATGAGCTAGCTTTTGGTTTGCAGCACACAATGAAGAAATAAGGTGCAATTCTTCATAAAGAACACTTGATTATTTCTATTTTTAGTGGAGCTCCAATGGGAAGATAGAAAACCCTCATGGCTCATTAGCTAAAACATGGCAATTAGCATAAACAAAATATATCTTTTGTTAGTTTCACATATAAACAGGACAAGTAAATATCCAATTTCGCATATATGTTTCATTCTTCCAATTAAAGAAGGGTGAATTTATATCCTGAAATATGAGGCACATGAATCTGTGGTCTCTATATTTTATATATATATATATATATATATATATATATATATATATAATATTTTAAAATTAGTATAGTATTTATTTGTTGGCACTCATGCTACAAGAAGGCTAAATGGTGCACTTGGTCGAATGTTGAGTAATTTACTAAGAGGAACACACTTTTTTCCTTCTTTTTTTTAGTGGTGCACCCATGTTCTAGAAAATCCTAGATTCGCCAATAAATAAACCCGCTATTCATCTTAGATTCAATTATTATTTTTTCTAGAATCAAGCTCAGTAGACCCAACTAAACTTCATGCTCATCACAATTTTTATAATCCAAACATGCTGTCAATTTCCATCAAGTGCTACACACTTGAATCTTCTTTTAACATCTCTCTGGAGTCATAATACCAACACCTAGAACATGCACAGCAACGAATTACATCAGAAGTTCATTGGAATTCTTTACATTGATAGTGGTTAAAAAATGACCATTGGACAAGCTGCAACAACTACAGTTCTAGTTTCATTTGAAAAGAAAAATATATACTAGCTGAACTTACTGAAATATTCAGATAAATGATATGAATAATCACTTCTGTAAAACATGGGCTGCATCAAGCAATAACAACCCCTGTGTAATCCCACAAAGTAATGGCATGCATCATGCTGACAAGAAAATTGTTTGAGTAATAAGGTTAGACAGCTACAAGGTCATCAGAACTTACAAATGCCTTGAATGCTGGCTTAAATGCAGCCATTTCATATATACAGCATCCTGGATAGAAAATCAAAGAAATATGAGTGCACCTTCACATTAGCGCCCACTATGTATGACAACTAAACATAGCATCAGGCACTAATGCGTGCCAGCATGTAATATGTGTGCCACTTGATGTGTATCTGTATTACCTAGAGACCATATATCTGACTTAGATCCATAAGGTATGTCGGCAAGAAGCTCAGGGCACATGTAACTGGGGGTTCCAACAATCTAAAAAATTAAGCAAGAATAACTTAGCTACACAATGTTGAAAAACGTGAAATCTTTTAGGTAAAAAGCTACAGCAACATTACTTACCGAGGAAGCAAGGTCATCTGAAGTCAACATCTTGGCAAGTCCAAAATCACCTGCAAGTAGTATGTCATTCTTGTCCTTCAGTAAAGTATTATAATATAGAAATTTCAAGAAGCCTGAAACAGAAATGAGCAAACTAACCTAGACGAATATCCTGCTCTCTAGTTAGAAATATATTCGAGCACTGCAAAAGATGTTAAAAACACAAAGTTTAAAGGAGAAGCAAGGTTAAGAAGTAACAAGTCTATGAATCCACCCAGTGAAAAGCAAATGACAGCAAACCTTGACATCACGATGAAGGATATGATTCGTGTGCAAGTAGTCAAGAGCCATTAAGAGTTGAACAAGCCACTTGCATAGTTTCTATTTACAGTTCATGACATGATTAGACACCAATGACAGATAAATGACAGCTCAAACTTTTAAAATAACTCTTTAAACTTTAATTGAACATTGGGCAAAAGATGCAAACTGCAGAAGGTTACCTCTTCAAGAAAATGGACACCCTTTGCTTTTTTTATGGCCTCTGCCCTGCATAGTTGAAGTAAAATGGATGACATTACAATAAAACAAGCATGCCGCTATTATGGCTACTTCCAAGGTTATTAGAGACAAATGGAATCAAACTACATAGTGTAAGCAGGAATAGGTCACTTACATGTCTCCACCTTCGCAATAACCTATGACTATGCACACATAGCAACCCTGCAAGAGAAGGCGCAAAAAGAAAATCCCATTTAAGCTTTGAATACCATTTGATAAACAGCGCAGCAGTCAAGTAGTGCTACAACGCATGCTGAGAGAATTAAGGATATCCCACATATAAAAGGAATGTAACGAAAAAAAGAGAGTAAAAGGATGCAAAAGAGAAGAGCTTGACAGAGCTTTTAGCAGTAATCCTAGAATAATGTCAGGCACTGGTATGTTTCTCAATTTTATGATATGAAGGGTATAACCTGTTTGAGGAGCACCTTCATTGTACTAGTACAAAAAACAGCATGTAAGAGAGGCCCAACAATGATAAAGTACTTGCGGTTATAAATTAAACTTGTCTACACAACTTTTCTTCTCTATTGGTATCCCCACTCTGCTCACATAACGCAGGTTTTAAATCCAACCACTAAACTTAAAACAGTCTCCATTCCAATTATGTCGCACCAAAAACTAAAATGTTTCATACGAAAGAGAAAAAGTAAAAAGGTAAATGAAAAATAAACAAAAGAGAAAACTACAGTAAAAAAAAAAAAGAGAAGCTATAGAGTGTTTGCTGGGTCCATTTAAGAAACTCCATCCACATCCAGGTGGATAAATAGGGGATCATAGCTGCAAAGAAATGTATGCACATATGTTAGCTGATTCCTTCCCCTTAGATGACAAAGAGATGGCAATTAAATATGAGATTGAGCACTTTGAAAGTTTTGATTACACTGTTCTCATCTTTTCTGCTCCTTATTTTTATCAGCAAATTGACATGCATCATTATTGCAATAAAACATCTCCCTTATACTTCCCAAAATCAAAAGTGTACCAATAATACTCCAAATTATGGTCAAACAGCTTCTGCCTGAACACATTCCATTAAGGTCGCTGTGACATTTACAAGACAACAAAGTTTATTGCCACATAACAAACTGATTTCCTGCAAATAAGTTCCTTTAAAAGGTTATTTTATTGGTATAGGGGTTCGCATATCATGAAACAATTGGCTTCATTACTTATAGAAGTTTCAAGCAAATTTCCCTTGCAGATTTACCTATAACCTGCCCAATACTTCTACATGCTTTATGGATAACAGAAATGGAACTCCTTAATTTTATATCCCCAAAAGAAAAACACGTGTATCAATTGTTCTATCAAAATATTAGAAGTATCATAGAAAGGAAAGTAAAGAACAGGACATGAAAGATAAGTACTGTTGGCACCTTCTCCACCCATGAGTCTTTGTACTCCACAATGAATGGATTTTGCATACTCGAAATAAGGGCCATCTACAAAATAAAGGTTAAATTAAACGACAAGGCGTTTTAAGAAAGTTCAACTACGAAGCATAATATGGCATAGAGTACATATGAAGATGTACATCAAGTAGCAGTAGAAGTATTTGATGTCAAAAATGATTTATGTTACTTTTCTTAGAATGTTCAAAAGGAGTTGCAGTTCCCTTTGTATAGAAGATTTTATTTTTCCTTCACACTCCAAAGTGTTCCTTTTCTGGTTACTGAAAGCTTAGAATACCAAAATAAAACAAAAAACATAATTTCTGAGCCTCTTCCAAGGCGGATATGTTAAAATTCTAGAATATGGTAAAACTCAATGTTTACTGGCATAGGGAAGGCTGGGAGGTGAGATTATCATGGTTTAAGCAGAAGACAAACCTCCTGGTGTGCATTTCGGCGAGTCCTATCCGTTTGCCGAGCGAGACGAATTTTTTTCAGTACATACCTTGAAATAAGAAGGATTATAAGAGAATAAATTAATTCCTATTTCACAAACAATCTTTCGATAAGTATCAATTGTTTACAGGATTGAAGATTTCATATACACTGATAAATAGTAGAAGTGCAATAGTAACTATACGTATGCGGCTCATATAAATAACAAGATTTTCTAGTTCTTACTTCTTCTTTTCAAGCTTATGCTTCACAAGAACCGCAGAGCCAAAAGCCCCTTTGCCAATTTGCTCCAATATTTCATACTGCTCCATTGAGCCCGTAACTGACTTTCTTTTCAAAGTTCAAACTTCAACTTGCACCAATCCCGTTGCTAAAGGAAAAAACAAATAGATACATTAATAAACTACTAAAAGGCTACTAGTTTAGACAAAATAATGCAAAACAAAAAATAAGAGGGACTCAACTAATTATAATTAGTCCTACATTTGCCAAAAAGCTATTACTTCAGATATAGGTACACATTATCCCATATGCAAAGCATTCAGAAAAGAGATTTCGAGGAATTATACTGTGATTTCCAGAACTTAGAGATCATGTCAAATTACTGAAAATCTTCATAACAAGGTATAATATCAGGATACAACTGCAATTTTCCATGACACTGCACCAATTAAAGTAAAACAAATGCAAGCTTTTTTTTGTAATAAGAAAAGTCAGGCCGTTATTTCCGTGGTACCGAGTTAATTACAAAAACTAATGCAACAATAAGTTGCACTTTCTTATATTTAAAGAGGAAGAAAAGTTGCAAACCAAGAAAGCAAGAACCCAAGACTCAATCAAGTCTTCCCCCTTCCAAGAATTTGAAGATACACCCCAAGAAACCAGAAACTACAAAACCCCAGTTAGAGTTTAGACAATATTGTGAACATAAACAGTAATCTGATGAATGAGGTACATTTTTCTCTCTTAAAATACAAGGAATACAACCAATCAAGACTACCATCTCAAAAAACAAATCAAACGCCCAAATCTCAGTTGGTATTCAGTACAATATACAACACTTTAGCAATTACACATTCAAGAAAACCAAGAAAGTACCAAAACCCCTGCAAGACTAGACATTCAAGAAAGAACCAAAACCCTTGCACAGTTTGACATTCAAGAAAACCAAGAAAGTACCAAAACCCTTGCAGTTAACACATCAGCATTCAATTATCACCACTGCATTCGAAATTTAACAAGATCAGAGACTCAGAAAAAAAAACAAGAAAACCCCAAACACCCAAAAACAGCAAAAAACTAAAAGCAGATTCAGAATGGGCAACTCACTAAAATAACCTAAAAATTGAGCAAATTTCAAGTTCCCATTTACCAGCATTGAAGCTAGTGAAGGAAGAAATAGGTTACAGTCATGAAAATTGTACAGATTCAGTTGAATTTAAGTTGAAAACAAGAAAAGGGGAAAAAAAGTGAAAAAGAAAAAGCTGAAAAAGATGAACCAGAAACGTGAAGCTTTGATGGATCACGAGCTACATTGAAGAATACATAGGGCAAACGAGATGTGAAAACGACGTCGTCCGTAGCCTTTGGTCAGAAGAGCAGTAGAGGCAGAAGAAGAAGAAGAAGATGAGGAGGAAGAAGTGAGTGTTCTTGCTCTTCTTCCATAGTGTTTTTTTTTTGTTTTTTTGTTACAAGAGAGAGAAAGAAAAGAATAATGGGGAAAATATTTATTTAATAATTACTCTTACACTACTATTTATTGATTTGTACTATAGGAGCAGTTAAATAAGTTTTTTAAAAAAAAAAAATAGTACTCCTACTTAATATTTAAAATAAGTCTTCGTACTTAATATTAAGCATCGAACAATATGGTAAAATAGCTATATTATTTATTATCTTCATATTATTGACAATTTTAAAAAGTATTTTTTAATTGTTGATTATAAATACATTCTAGTTCTTATAATATAAATAAAATATATATCCATAAATTATTGTCAAATTTAAAAGTGTTTTTAATACTTCTATCGACTTTTTATTAAGATCTCATGTTTCTATTCGAGTTTAAAATCACTTGTTATTGACTGATTATAAATACATCTAAATTTAGTTAATCTAATAAATGAATTTTCAAAACTATCAGTAAATTAGAGATAAAATTAATACTTTAATGTCGGTTAATTTTGTTGTTTGTAAGTCACAAACGATGTTGACATGTCACGTCCGACGTCAGCTGACCTTTGGATAATGCAGGCAGGCCACTTCCGACGTCAATTGACCGATGTGAGCAGGCCATGAACGATACAGGCAGACCACGTCCAATATCGATTGATCAATATATACAGACTGTACAATGTGAATACTATATCACTTTAAATTTATAAGTATATTGAATCGATTTTTTTTAAAAAAAATGGTGAGAATGGTGACAAAGGAGGGAGCAGAAGGCGACAAATATAGAGAGAGAAAGGAGATTAACAATTTAAAAGTAGATTAATTAATTTTAATTTATTAGTTTGGGGATCTTAATGTAATGAAAATGATGAGAGTAAGAAGTTAGACAAACTCTTTGGAGACAACCCCACCTGCCTCAATACCTCAACCCCACTCCAAAAAAAAAAAAGTTAAATAATTATTATGATTTAGCATAATCTTTTTTTGACATATTTAGCAAATCAAATTTTGGTTTTACAAACTTGAATATAATAACCTTTTTTATAATCAAAATATTTTCGTTGTTGATTAATTGCTTTTGATCATCATTATACATTATTTTATTAATACATATTATAATTATCAAATGAAAATATTTACTTTATATTGTTGACTCTCATCAACGTTTAATTTATAAAGTATATTTCATTAGATAAATAATTCTTACGACATAATAAGTTAAAAAGTTGCACATTTACGGGATAGGAGAAAAGATGATTAATTGTATTTTAAAAATTAAAAACCTCTAAATGAAAACAAATAAAATGAGAAAATAATTAATCAGATGTATAATATTATCTGTCATCAGCTACAACTCTATTTTTCACTAGCTATACATATAGTAAAAATGTCATTTTCTGTATTTTATACCTTTAAAAAAATTATTTTTTAAATGACAATAATAAATTATTTGGATTCCAAATCTTATCATGTACTAGTGTTGAAATTTGTATAAAATAATGGTCAAACTATTTTAGGGTTATATGTGGGGACCACTTGTTTTACCAATCTAAGTAGATGGGCCTGAAAGTGGGTAGGGGGGGTGTACGGGTGGGCCATAAATTACTTGGAGCGTTTGTCGGGTTTAGAAATGTGGGCCCAGGCCCTAACTTTTTTCCTCTGGTCAATTATGAGGCTTTCTTTATCCGTGAATCCTATTTAATTATCTAATCAACTCACACATTTCATATTTGACTAAAACTTTCCATTTATTTCATTTTCTTCTCTCCAATTAATTTTAATGGTTGGTCTAATAATAGAATTATTCTAAATTAAACGAATTGTTATAATAATCGGGATATTTTGTGCAGAATAATCTAAACTTAGTTCACCTTGTCATTCAAAATCAAATGAAATAAATTATAAAGTTGGTAGAAGATTGTTTTCAAAATATTAATGTTTTATTGAAGTATGTAAAGTTTATATTCGATCAAAATATAATTGATCTTTGGGGGGAAAACGTGGAGAATGACAAAAAAAATTGTAATACATGAAGTGAAAAGATTTAAATTTTAAGGTGCACGATTGTGATTGTGTTATAAAATTTCACTAAAGTCAAAGTTCTAGGACCAACACCATGGTCTTAAAGAATCTGTTTAAATTAACTTATTTTAAGTGTTTCTAGATCAAAATAACTTTTAAATATTTTTAAAATATTTGGATAAATTTTAAAAGTACTTATACGCGTTTAGTTTAGTAAAAAATATTTAAAATAAGGCAAAAGTCTCAAAAATCAAAAGTTAATTCAAATCAGATCGGAGTCTTTAACTTATTACCAACAAGGATTGTGGTTAGAGTAGTAATACTCTTTTATCCTTAACCAAGAGGTTTCGAATTCGAATTTCTTTTGTACGAAATTATCTTTGTTAGGAAACATTTTATTCTAATGTGAAATTATTCGGTCCAAAATCCAGTCGGGTGCCAAAGAGGAGTGAAATAGAGAGGTAGGGGTGAGAATAAAAAAATAAAGTGTTGATGAAATCCATGCCTACTTTACGATTCTGCACTTTTTATTGTGATCATTTCATTTTTAAAAAAAACAGAAATTTGTTTTTGGGCCACTCTTTGCTGGGTTGGTGGGAAATCTCTTATTTCTATAACTTTCTCTTTGCCCAAGAGAGTCAAGCTTATTGAACTTGTTTCTTTTTTTCTTCCTTTTGGCTATAAAAATCCCCAGCAATGTTCCATTTCTTCAGAAAATAAAAGCTGCTATTAACTCGCAAACAAGTGACAAACCACAAACTTATATACAAATTCACTCTCCAATTATTAAATATTTCACTGCAAAACCACCCCAATAATGCATTCTCGAATAAATCATACAAAGTAGTAGCATAGTATTGAAACACAACAATATAATGATCAGGTCTACACTTTAGCACCAAGCAGTGTCATGAGGAATTTCCTGTAATCACCTGATGTGTCGTCAATAACTGCATGATCAAGACTAGTTTTGTTCGCGATGATATACTCTCCCCTTACTTTCATCATATCAACTTCAGCTCGAGTTACAATGGCTCTCGTTAGAGAATCCTCATCAGTTCCAAATCCGACAATCGAGGCTCTGACAACCTGACCAATTCCAGCATACAAGATTATATTTTAAACAAGGTACAATACTGACATTGATCTGTAAAACCGAATTACCAGATGCTATATATCAAATGCTGTTACGTATTTAATTACCTCAGCAAAATGTTTCTCTGGCGATTCGATACACCAGATAACCACCTTCAGGATAGATTCCAACAGACCTTTTCCACAGCTCTTAATGTCCTGTAAATGAATAATTAAAATAGATGAAATGAAAAGCACTTAAAAGAGACGACATGAACAAGAAGCTCTATGAAAGGAAGGCTACATAGGCAGCTAGCGAGAAATGTAACCTGGTCAATGGAGAATCCATAATTTTGCTTGTAGCACTCAAAAGTTGCTCTAAGCTGATAACCATTCCTTGTGCTGAGTATGAAAAGAAAATTGTCATGATCCAACTGTTTTGTCCGTATGGCTTCACGAAGGATAGCAGCTTCTTCATTTGCAGTACTAGGATCCACCAATTCTCTATCATATCGATAGGACCTGACTAGACCAATAAGAATCTGGCAACATCCAGACAACACGTCATTTCACAGAAGTCAGTATAATGCAACTCAACATAGCAAAACAATCATCAGAAAGAGTACTATTTAACTGCTAATACATAGGAAATTGGTTAAGAATATTGTATACTTCAGCTAGTAGATCTGACTACAAGTGATCATATGTACCTTTTGTATAGGCATTGGGACATTTGCTGTGATATCTTCTTCAAGTGAACGGTTGAAAAGGCCACAATATGCTTGTCTCACCGCGACCAGATGATCAGGAGATGATGCACAAGCTATCTCTACTATCACTTGCAACTGGGTGATGGTTTTCTTTCTCGACTTTAAGGCTTCATTTGCTAGCCGTGCATCTCTTTCAGAAGGCTCATATGTCCATAGGATGACTGCTTTCTGTCACGCATGAAAAGCTAAAATTAGCACTTGAAGTCTTGGGGATTAACCATGTTCATATGGAGACTGAAATTGCATTCTGCTGCAGATATAGTAATCTGATTGGTATTATAGAAACATAACAAGGGATAAGCTATAACTCGCGGAAATTTACACCAACATTTAGAGAAACTGTTCGCCGTAACAGGGCTAGAATCTTCCTTTGGGGTCCAAGAAATAGGAGTGTTCAACCACCCCTTCGACCCTTCCCAGCTAGAGGTTCATCAAACAAGGAAAACTAATCTACCTCAAAGCTAATGCCGCCCTACCCAGCACATACACCCCTTGCTTGGATTTAGTTGATTATTGAAGCTTCATTAGTATTACCATTATCAAACGCATTATAGGTATAGCAAGAGGAGGAAGTCAAAAATATAGTTATTGATACAAGTGTCACATTCACCAGCTACAAGATCAAGTGGTTAAAAATATGACACACTCAATTTTAAGTTGAGCTCGGAGTTTGGTCAATAGTAACTATATGAAGATCTCAACTGAAAAATTATTCCGGAGTGAATCTGTCTGAGGCATAGATTACTCCTCTACTTATGATTCACCCACTAGAAATGATTAAAGGAGACGGAGAAGCAAGGACAATCATCAATACTAAATATTATCAAGGAAACATGAACAGAGCAATTATTATCTTAATGGACAATGAGTTCTAGTAAGCAGGCGTGCTATTTAAAAAGTTAATCAAATGTCACAATGTCGTTATTTTGACTAGCACAAGATTTAAGGCCTACGATCAATAGTTAAGATCTTTCTTGAGCCAAATGAATCTTCTTTCAAATTGTAAAATAACAGTAAGAACTATTCCATTTTTGGAGTAACAAAAACATACGTCAAATATTCACAAACCTCCTGATTTAACCTCAAAATAATACTCCTAGAAACGAGAATCCAAAGAAAAGCAAAGTTAAATACGAGAAACGGCCTTTATGGAATAACTTCTAATGAGCTAATGCAATCAAACTGTGAGTCGATCACGGAAGAGAACAAAATAATTAGGTCTAGGAAAAGCAAGAAAACGGATTGTACCCTGAAATCACCAGACAATTCAGAATTAATGTCATCTATAAGGGACTTGTTGTAAAGTTGCTGATAGGTTTCTCTGATCTTCTTCCTCTGGCTTGCATTTCTGTGTCCCAACACCGATATCACTGACTTCTCATTAGTTCCCAGTCCTACACACAACCACAAAACTAATCCCGTCTTTATAACAACGAACAACAATAAGACATATTAAAAACACTTTTTTTAATATGCACATGGATCAACCCGTACAGAACCAAATTGCTATCAGCAGCTCAGATTTGCTATATTTATATTAAATGATGAATCTCTCGATGAAAATTTTGTCTCTGCCATTGTTAACCCAGCTCCAACAAACACAACAAAAATGTTTCAACAACTTGTTGGGTAGATAATTTGGATTTGGAATGAAAAATTAGGTTGAAAATTGAAGCTTACTTGAACACACACAGCATGCATATATATATATATGACATATGAAAAGGGGAAAGTGAAACTGAGAAAGGAAGAGAAAAGTAGAGAGACCTTTGAAGGATTTCACAAGAGTTTCAGAGTCTTCATCTGGAGAAGGAACAACATCTGGAATTCTCAGTGTAGCCATTTTCTTCACCCCAGAAATTGTAAGTTTTTGCTCTGTTTCTCTTTTTAACACTTTCAGTTATTTTTCCCTCTCACCTCCGTGAAAGAGAATGAGGGCAAAAAGGAAAATAAAGTAAAAGACATGTAGCTCAAAGATTACCCCTCAACTTTTTTAAAATCACACTACCCATATTGCCCTTATCTTTTTTTGGACTCTAATGCCCCCAACACTGAATTTCACTTCCTTCAAACTCCTCTCCCTCATTATTTTTCCTTATCATACATGCACGTGGTCCTTTTTTTTTGGATGTTAATTTTAGAGTGTCATCGAAAAACTCCTTTATAAATTAATAGTTAAATATTTGATCATAAATATAATTAATTCTTATATTTATATTTTACATGAATAATTTGTTTTCTAAATCGTTAAACACACCTTGGTCCTAGGCCGTCCAATATTTATTTCTGTTTTTTTTTTCCTTTTAGGCTTCACATATTTGGCCTTTTTAAAAATCCAAAACATGATACTCCATTTTATAGGATTACATTTCAAAATTGTTAAAACCAATGTAGTCTTATTTTTATAGATATATCTTCTTGTTAATATATTTTAATTCCAATTAGCCTAGGTATTATCGGCTGTGCGTCGTCTTCCTTTCAGCTAAAAAAATCGAGTTTCAAATTTTTTTCAATTAAAAAATATAGAGAGAAACACGTTGGCAAAAAGAAATTTACTTTTGATATTTTTTTAATTGTTTACATAGTATAACAATATCTGAAATGAAATAAGAAATAATTTTTTTTCTTGAATTATTAGAAAAGCAGTCCCCCTTCGATGAAATGTCTAGAACATGACACATTTAAGTTACTCACATGGATAATTTAAAGAGCTTAGTCATAATCGCAATAATAACGTATTAAATTATTGGGATTTCACACGTGGACCGTGACTAACAACTATATTTATAAAGATATCAAATAAAAGTATTTAAAATGATCAAAGATAATATATTTAAAAATGTAAAGTCAATTATGTAATAATAATTTAATTAAATTATTTAGGGGTTCAACAACTACCCTTTGATTTGCTCATAAGAAATATCTTCTTACATAATGATATTAGACGATTGCTTTATTTATATCAAATTTATGTTTAGTATTGTCCATTTCACATTTGGACAAGTAAATAGTCTAAGATGGGTTTAGGCTAAACAAATTCAAATAATAGGGGAAAATTATGAGAAATAAAGTGATCAGGAATCTAAGAAAGTAAAAGAAGATAAAAAGGAAAAAGAAGCCAAAAAATATATATAGAAAAAATAATCCTATTTTTTTAAATTTCATTTTTTTCTAAAAAGCATGATATGAGATTTTAAATCGTAATTTATTTATTTTTAAATGTAAAACTTAACTCTAAAGTTTATACTTTATAAAAAATAAAATATACATTATTTTAATTTTACAAAAGAAAGACTAATGTTTGATGCGAAGAGATTGTTTGTATTACGTGAAATGATTATATTATAGAATAACTAATTATTAATATTATTGTTGATTAGAAAATCTTTATATCACAAATATTTATTTATAAAAAAAACACAAAGATGCCTTAAAGATTAATAAATCTGTTTAAGATCATTTAATAAGATTTGAGAAATAACTTAGTGAAATTTACATAAGATATTCAAATTGAGTATCTTATTGAACTTTAACTTAATATAATCTACTTTCATATTATAATTTTATATTGCATTTTTTAAAGAACCAAATATAACGAGGGATATTAAATTGGAAATCACATTGGGAACTTATAGATCTTGTCTCTTTCCTGCTACTTTCATAAGCAGGAGGATGTATAAATAATTACATTGATGGTTCCATCTCATCAGTCACCAGTAAAAGATGCACAATTAATAAGACGTAAAATATGAAGGAACTTTTTGTCACCCATGTGTTTCATATGCTCAAGAGGAACAAAGAAAATTAAGAGAGTACTATATAACAATAATTGTTTTATCTCTTACGTGTCCCATTTAACGAAATGGCTTTGACATATTCAATTCAGACCATACAGTGTGAATCTGAAATTTAAAGATTATAAGAATATTATTTTTAGTAAGAAGTATTAAAAATATTTTTAAATTTGATGTCATTTTTAGTTTTAATTTTAAATTATTGATAGTCGTAAAAATATTTTTTTACTAGATTAACTAAATTTAGATACATCCTCGATACACTCCTGATATGCAACATGACATAACAAGTGATTTTAAACTCTTATATTTAGAAGCATATAGTTCTTAATAAAAATAAAAAAAAAGAATCTTGATAACATCTCGAAACTTGATGAGAATTTTTGAAAAATTCCACTAATATATATTGCAAGATATTAAGGATGTATATTTAACTTCAATAGTCAAGCAAAATAAGACTGTCAATAGTTCGAATATGAAACTAGTAATTATGCTTGACTTCAATGTCATGTCTATCATTTGTATTATTTTTGGTGATGTGAGAACCTAAGGACAAATGTGAACCAAGAAATAATTATAGGAACGTTGTTGGACCAATAATTTGACAGAGGGTACTGATAAATGCTAAATCCAATTAAATAGATTGATGAAGATATTTTTAGACCTTTCTGTTTTGATCAAGTACCCTGCAGGTAAGACGACTACATCAACGTACCATTTATCACATGCGATGGCGGAGACGATTGAGATTTTTTTGTTTTTTATTATAAACGTTTAATTTTCTTTAAAAAAAATTATAGGAATATTAGTTTTATTTTAAAATGTAATTAATATGCCACGACAAATCTGAACTAGTGACAAATAATTACGATATAACATATGATCAAGGGGAAAAAAAAAAGAATAGTGTGAATGAGTTGAAGGTTTGAACTATACACTTGAAGATAATGAAATAAGCAAAATAATTTATTGTACTACATAAATTGTAGCTCGGAGGGTTATACTTATTTATCATGATGAGTCATTTTCATGCTATATCGTTCAAGTTCCTTTCACATTTATTTCAACTTTTAATTATTTGTATTATTTAATTAGAAAAAGTTGTTCAGATGATAATTACACCTCACTTTCAATTTTAAGTTGAACTCGACGAAAAAAAATCTTAATTGTTGTTCGTACCATTTTTTCCTCATGGAAATATAGTTTAATTCAGTATATGAATATTTTTCTTTCTTTCTTTTTGCCTTTTTGGTATTTTACTTAAAATAAATAAGATACGTGGAAATAAAAAGATAGCTTAAACAATTAAAAAAAAAAAAAAGAGAGAGAGAGATGGCTTAGTTGTTGCACATATCTCTTTCACACATGCCATTATTGCCATATATCAACACAATTAATAATTCCACACCTGTCTCATTTTTTAATACTCTCTTTTATTGTTGTAATTTAATGCGATTTTCCTATCTTTATAAAGTCAAGTCTTCATGTTCATATTTGACAGTACTATTTATTTCCTCACTTTACTTATTCACGCTAGATATTAATTTTTATTTGTTAAGTTTTAAGGAATAAAATAAAATAAATTATTTTATATTTATTTTATTTTTATTGTTAAATATTAGTATTTATTTTTAATATTTAAATAGTTTATAATATTTGAGATGACATAGGGAAAAGCAACCTGCCCGTGCATGGCTGTCTTGATAATAATTGACATAATATGGACAAGAATAATTATAATCGCGATAAATAAAAGCAAGAAAGACTGTACGAAGAACCTTGTGATTCTCGTGCAACAACCTTTTTTTTTTTAAAAAAAAAAGTACAGTAGTATTTTTTTTAACACTTCTCACCTTTTATATTACTTGTTGATGCCGTTAAAAATATTTTTTTTAGAATTACTATTCATTTATAGAAAAAATTAATTAAAAACATTATTTTCTATTAAAATTATTATAAAATTTCAAAAATATTCTTCGTTGTTCAATTTAGAATTGATGAATAGGGCTATATATAAAGTGTATTGAAAAAAAACAAATGATAACTTAGTTAAAATAATTTTCTTATTTATATATAATTTCTTTAGAAATGTTTAAAATAAAATATAAGTGGATAAGTAATGTAAATTGTAAGATGGAGGGAACATTGTTTTTCTCTCGTAGAGGGTGGGGTATAATAGTTAGAAAATTTTCAACTTTAGAATCTTTTGGTATATGCCAGATGAGATAACTACGGATAAAATTATTTATCCTATCTTTATATTATATATATAATAAATAAAATACTTTAAAACTAATAAATATCTAAATCAAACATAAAAGTAATCTCATTTTTGATATATATTTTTATTCAAATTCGAGCAACCTTTTTAGTCTTTTTTCTTCCCTAATTATCAAGTTAAAATCTTAACTAAATTTGAATCTCGCTCTATAAAGCTCATTCAAAGACATTTTTTATAAAAAAAATTTATACTCAAAATTTGAACACATAATCTATTAATAACGAGTGAAATAATTTTATTATTACACCGCCAACAAGGTCCTTTTACCTATCTTCAATACGATGAAAACGTGTTTTTCTACGGAGAAACACAGATTTTGGATGTTCTACATCAATTTCTAGCTAGTCTTCTATGTTGTCCCTTTATTGTCATTAACTATAGTAAGTATTTTCCATTTTATTTTAATTGTCATATTTTTTTTTAGGATTTAGAAAAGAATTTTGAATAAGAGAATAATTTGACTAATTCATCTTTATTTACTCTTTTTGTTATAATATATATTTTTTTTTTATCATGTTAGTTTCTTATCATTTTATGAAGTAAAGATAAAAGTAAAAAAGAAACAATTAATTATATTTTAATTTTTTAAAATAACGTTACTATTTATTATTATTTTGAATAAGTTGCTTTCAATAAGTACAACTACTAAAATAGATTTTAGTACATATAAGTTATTGAGCGATGGTAGAAGTAAAATTTATCATATGAAAATTTAATAACATGGATTTTAACATTTGACACGTATTAGTAGCTAAGTGGGTTCATTTGAACTCTTTCTCGGTAAAAATTACACAATTTATATAAAGCAAAATTTTGAAAATACATATATTTTAAACTCCGCAATAACAAAATAAAGTTGATAACGCAATAGCAAATCCTTTTAAAATTAAGTTGTACATCACTTATTTAAATTCCAATAATTAATTTATTTTAAAAAGATGATATATATACAGCGTAAAATGCAAGCATATTTTATCAAAACTTATCATCGTTGAATCTACGAAAAAACTCAATTAAAAAGGAAAGAACCAATTGCTAACATGGAAATATCCAAAGGCAGATGATAAAAGCATAAAAAACAGATAGCCGAATATTTATTAAAACATTAATTAATAAGAAATAATATTAAAGATTAGACTTTAATTAAAATAATTAACGACATTTCTTTAAAAAAAATAAAATTGGTTAAGGCGTTACACTCTGTACTTTGATGAACGGGAAAGTACAAGAATTAATTTACAATGAAGGCTACTTTGGTCATTTATTGGTTTGCTAACCGGCCGGTAATAATTAAATGACAGAAGTACCCCTAATAACCCATATAAATGTGGTTGGAATTGAATCACAGCATCATCTATCAGCTCTCCTCTCTCTCACAGGCACACAAAGAGACAAAAACTCAAAAACAAAGAAAATTAACAGAAAAGAAAAATGGCAGAGGCTAATTCGTATGCAGCTCTTACCAAAGCTTTCTCAGGTTCTTTTCCATTTCTTCCTTCTATAACTGATTTTTTGAAAATGTTTATTAGAGTTAAAAGTTGGATTTTCTTCAAGTTTTTACTACTAAACTCTCACTGGATCTTCACTTGCTTTGAGAAGTTGTGTTCTACATCTGATTCTGCCGATCTGTATAATTTGTGATTTCATGTGCTTTTTTTGTGTCTGATAATGGAAATTGCCCTTTATAGTGACTATTCACTGTTTCAATTTGTTTGATTTGACTGTACGTGGAATTTAGATTTTTGAGTATTCGGATTTTGCCCTATAATTTAATCGTGTTGCACACGCCAGGTAATATCTTGAAGTTATAGATCAAATCAATGAATGTAAGCTAATTTATCTCTCAAACATAGTTAGCTAATTCGTATTTTTGCTTAATTGCTAATGTTAAAATGTTTAGTCTAAGATGCAAGTAAGTATTTACCGGTGTAACAGTTGTTAAGGCATCCAGTGAGGCATGGAGTTGAATTATAACTGAAAATTGATAAAATTTGTAGGACTTGGTGTGGATGAGAACTTATTCATCTCAACACTGGGGAAATGGAATCGGCATCAGAGGGAATCGTACAGGGTAAGCACTCCTGGATTCTTCAGAGAAGACAAACGACAGTTCCAGAGATGGGATGATCAACATATCCTCCAGCTTCGTCAAGAGTTTTTGCGTCTTAAGGTATTTAGATACATTTTTATATTAATTATCGGAAACAACCTCTCTACCTTCCTTCCAATGTCGGGAGGAGTAAGGTAATGCTCTCTCTCTCTATATAGTATTTGTGATCTTATAAGTTTCTTCCCTCCAAATTATTTTAGGATGCAGTGGTTTTGTACACAATGCACCCATGGGAAAGAGATGCTCGTTTGTTCAAGGAAGCATTATTATTGCAAGTACCTAAACATGATGTTCTCATTGAGATTGCTTGCACTCGATCCTCTGAAGATCTTCTTGGAGCCAGAAAAGCTTACCATTCCCTTTTTGAACACTCAATTGAGGAAGACATTGCCTTCCATGTTCGAAGTTCTGAAAGAAAGGTACCCGTCATTTTACGGATTTAATATGTGAATTGTGATTGCACGTGAGTTATCATTCTTATAAGTTACCGATTAATGGTATTTGTTCAAAGTTCTTGATTAGTGATTTACCATTTTTTTTAATGACATACAGCTTCTAGTTGCTCTTGTAAGTTCCTACCGTTATGAAGGTCCACGAGTAAACGATGATCTTGCAAAATCTGAGGCTAAGATTTTTGTAAATGCAATAAAAAATGCCAACAAGAAGAAGCTGATTGATGAGGATGAAGAGATTGTGAGGATCCTTTCGACAAGAAGCAAGCTCCATCTTAAGGCCATCTATAGCCATTACAAGGAAATCACTGGCAACTTCTTGGACGAGGTAAGAAAAAAGAGAGTTTAATTTCTATGCACCGACACTTTTAAAATATAGTCTCAACTTTTTTTGTTTTCTTCAGGATCTTGAGTGTGACTTGACCTTGAAACAAGTTGTTCAATGCCTTTGTATACCTAAAGCATACTTTAGCAAGGTAAATAGCAAACACAAAACTGATAGATAATGCATCATACTGTATTTCTCCCTTTTTTGTTTGAACTAATTTGGTTATCTATTTGATTTGTTTTTTCAATCTCTTATTGCATAGATTTTGATCGCGTCCCTAAGATTGGATGTGGATGAATCTGCTAAAGACTCAGTTACCCGAGTCATAGTGTCAAGAGCAGACGATGATGATATGCAGCAAATCAAAGAAGAATTTCAGAGCAAATATGGAACTACTTTGGCTGAAAAGATTGCAGAAGTTGCTAATGGAAGCTACAAGGATTTCTTGCTTACTATAATTGCAAAATCTGAGTAATTATTTGGCCTAGATTTTGACATATCCAAAGTTGTTCCATGTTCTCACACGCTTGTTTCCATTTGATCTTCTTTTGCTCAATTTATGTATGATTTCAGTTTTCAGCTTCTTGATTCAATTTATCATTGCAATTGCTATATCCAAGCATCTATTCTATCATAGATAATGAAATTTAGAATCCAAACCTGCATAGAAATTGAAATCGATTTTCGATAATATAAATATTGTAGTGAAAAGGAAGTAGCAGAGTGAACAACAATATTTGATGCCTTTAAAAAAAGAGAGGAGCGAATACCACATCGATGAACAAGAAGTAAATCCGAACATTGCCGACATATACACGTGCAGCGCATTATCACAACAAAACTCACGCAGCTACGCAGTGAGCACAAAGCGAACTATTCTTTCGCCTTTTACTAAAGAATACCGTGTGCGCTCTGCTATTAGTGGCATACGCCAATTTTTGGAGGGTTTTCAACTTTGAGACCCCAACAACTCTAGCCTTTTAACATTTTTGAACCATACTCCAATTTATTGGTCCGATTACAAACAAATGTTCCATGTTCTCAAATGCTAGTTTATATCCCCCTTTGTTTTTCCTTCAAGTCTTTCACTCATTTTATGTGAAGTGTATCCATTTTTCTAATGAGCTATTTCTACACCATAGTTATAGCTTCTTGATTTTGACTTATCATTGCGTATTTGAATGGTACAATTTGGGTACTTGCCCTTGTGTCTTAGCAACAAAGTTAGTTAATTGATTGCCAGAAACACAGCTAAAGTGGAGGTCAAACAAAGCAAGGAATACTTATACTAACTTAGGCAGTAGGGACGATAACTAATTTCAGAGGTTTCGATGTCAGGGCAGAGCTACAATATTGGATACGAGTTTGGATGTATATAAGTATATATACTGATTCGGTTGGCTAGTTCAGAACCCATTAACTTTAAATCTTGATCCGCCACTGTTTAAAGCTACCATACAAAGATGTAATTTGAACAACTAGAAACTGCACGTACCATACCATAACTTACAAGTAGTGTTTCATCACACAACTCAATGCCATTATTAGGTCAAACTTAAAGTCAAGGGCGGAACTACAATATTATACAACCAGGTAACTTTTATTTAAGCCAAGTAAAATCTGTTGAATATGTATAAATAGTTAATTTGGATGTAGTTGTAAGTAATTTGGGCAAAGTTCAGAACCAAACCTGCATAGGAAATTCAAGTCACCTTGTGAGCATATAATTCTTCAGAATCACCAAGAAAGAAGTGAGGCGATCTGAAGGTTACCACATCGATAAACAACGAGTAAATTCAAAAGTTGCCGCAATATACAAATGCAGCACAGTCGGTCTGAAAAAATCACGCAGCCACGCAGTGAACACATAGCGAACTATTCTTTCGCCTTTTACTAAAGAATACCGTGTGTGCACTGCATATCGTGGGGTTCTCTTTTCTGAAGCTCCAACAACTCAAGTTTCAATCATTTATAAGTTCTAACAGTCATGCAATATTACTTTTTTTTTATTATAGATTTTGAACATTTGTACTACACTTAACAAATTTGCTGCCTCCAGCCCTCTTCCCATTGCCATGTCCATATATCATTGAAGTTCCTATCCGTATTATATAATTAAATAGTAAATAAATGGGGATATTGGTGGTAACCAAAAGGATCAGTGATATATCCGAATCCACCAAGAAACTGAAGCGAAACAAATCTTCAATTTAACAAACAACAAAGTGCACAGTGCAGCTTAAATTGATTGATCTATTTGAATGACTGGTGAAGAAGAGAGCAATATTTGACAGAGAAATAAGAAGTGAGGCGACTAGGAGAGTCCCACATCGATAGAGAACGAGTAAATTCGAGGTTGTCGTCATATAAAACTGCAGCGTGGTGACACTGCAAAACTCACGCAGCCACGCAGTGAGCACAAAGCGAACTATTCTTTCGCCTTTTACTAAAGAATACCGTGTGCGCGCTGCAATTAGTCGCATACGCCAATGTTTGGAGGGGTTCTCAACTATGAGACCTCAACAACTCTAGTTTTAACCATTCATGCTGTAAATTATCTGTTGTGGTAAACTTAATTCTGTTTATCATCTCTTACTTTGTTTAAACAATATTGAATAAGTTTCATATGACCATTGTTTTCATCCTTAAAAATGCACTTTGGATTAATATCATCTTTATCTTGAAATTGAATGAATAGTCTTTAACCACAGTTTTCTTGATCTCGCTTATGCACCCATTTCACATGTTAGCTGGGGTATTAGGTGGCTTCTTATTCAGTGCTATGCATGGTTCCTTGGTAACTTCTAGTTCGATCAGGGAAACCACAGAATGAATCTGCTAATGAAGGTTACAGATTCGATCAGAGGAAGAAACTTATAATATCATAGCCGCTCAGGGTTACACTTCTTCTGAGCTGCTTGGCCTGTAGTAGGTATATCTGGTTTACCGCTTTAGGTATCAGCACTATGGCTTTCAACCTGAATGGTTTCAATTTCAACCAATCTGTAGTTGATAGTCAGTGTCATGTAATTAACACTTGGGCCGATATCATCAACCGTGCTAGCCTTGGTATGGAAGTTATGCATGAACGTTGAAGATGCAATTTACTCAAAAACTAAGTGACAAACAACAAAATTAAATATATTTTCACTCTGTCCAACAACTAGGTTTTTCACAACAGGTCCATACATTAATGTTTCATAATAGCATACAAAGTAAAAATACAGAATTGGAACACTACATACAACACAATGTTCAGATCCAGAGAGCTAGTTAGACTTTGGCCCCAAGCAGTGTCATCAGGAACTTCATGTAATCACCTGATGTGTCATCAATAACTGCACTATCAAGATTACTCTTGTTCGCGATGAAGTACTCTCCCCTGACTTTCATCATATCAACTTCAGCCCGAGTTACAATGGCTCTAGTTAGAGCATTCTCATCAGTTCCAAACCCAAGAATCGAGGCTCTGACAACCTGAATATTCCAAAATACACTATTTAAATGAAACAGTCTGGATCACAATATTAGACACTAGAGCAGAATGGCATGATATGCTGTAAACCCTGAAAGTAAGGCCTAAACTGAACCAGTTCTAGAGAACTCTGGTTGCTGAGCTTGTTTCAGGTTGCACACGTTATGACCCTATTTGGCAGTTTAATACAGGTAATAGAAGCAGCATAAGAATAAAAATAAAGAAATTTCAGAATCTATGGTGCATTGCTACTGATGACTATTTAAATCTAGTCTAAACCGAACATCGATAAGCAAATTGATAGGACTAACATACATAATTGAAATATACGGTCTAGCTTTTAGAGAGAATTTCATCTCTTGGAAGTAGAATTCAACAGGAGCCTGAGCTTGTACTAACATAATAAAAATAAGGTAGGGATATGTGATTTTGCGACAGAAGTTTTGACAGCAAAAAGGGTGTAAAAACCAGAAAATACTTGAAACAAAATATAAAAAAGAAGAATCTGTTTCTGTGAGTAGTACCTCAGCAAAATGTTTCTCAGGCGAATCAATGCACCAGATAACCACCTTCAGTATAGATTCCAGCAGACCTTTTCCACAGCTCTTCATGTCCTGTAAAAGAACCGTAAAAGTAGATAGAATAAAATAAGAGAAAAATGCGCAAGTAGCACTGTTAAGCAGGTTGTGCAGGCAGCTTGTAAGAAGTGTAACCTGGTCAATGGAGAATCCGTAATTTTGCTTGTAGCACTCAAAAGTTTCTCTAAGCTGATGAACATTCCTTGTGCTGAGTATCAACAGAAAATTATCGGAATCCAAATGTTTTGTCCTTATGGTTTCACGAAGGATAGCAGATTCTTTATTAGCAATACTAGGATCCACCAGTTCCTTATCATATCTGTAGGACCTGACTAAACCAATGAGAACCTGTAGACATCCACACAACACATCATTTCAATAACTTCTAGAAGTTAGTGAGACACTGCTCAACTTCACAAGCAATTATCAGAAAGCATGATATGTAAACTGATAATGAATCATCATCTAGGTAAGATGTCTTCAGTACTCGGGATGCACCCGACTAGATCTATGTTGTCTTTAGAAGATTCAAATGAGGTCGGTTAACATGATAGTACCCTTAAGCTAGTAAGATGTGACTAGAAGTGTTCATACATACCTTTTGAACAGGCATAGGGACATTTGCTGCGATATCTTCTTCAAGTGAACAGTTGAAAAGGCCACGATATGTTTGTCTCACTGCAACCAGATGATCAGGAGATGATGCACAAGCTATCTCTACTATCACTTGCAATTGGGTGATGGTTTTCTTTTTTGATTTCAAGGCTTCATTTGCTAGCCGTGCATCTCTTTCCGAAGGCTCGTATGTCCACAGGACAACTGCTTTCTGTCACACATGTATAGCAAAATTAGCTAGATTCTAGCTATTTCGAGTCTGAATCTAGCCTGTAATGACTTAACATTCTAGTGAGCTAACACTATCAAATTGTGAGTCAATTACGGGAGTGAATGAAATAATTATGTCTAGAAAAGTGAGAAAAGAAATTGTACCTTGAAATCACCAGACAATTCAGAAAAAATGTCATCAACAAGGGACCTGTTGTAAAGTTGCTGATAGGTTTCTCTGATTTTCTTCCTCTGGCTTGCATTTCTGTGTCCCAACACCGATATCACCGACTTCTCATTAGTTCCCAGCCCTAAGAAAAAGAATGAACAAATTGCAAACACTCCATCAGATATGGGATTGCAACCGGTCAGTGAAACTCAAAAGTCATATTTCCCCCAATTTACAAGCTTCCCCTTAATGATCTCCAAATACTCACCTCCAACCTGGCTTAGTTTTTTCTCTATTTTCTCACAAACTGCTATTAGCCTATTACGATTTAAGGAGCAGTATTTTCTGTGCATGAAACAACCATTACCTAATCTCTCTCTGTCTATCAGTTAATTATCAAATTGCAATTTGTAGATCATAATTGCATCAATCAATGGCAAAGTAAGTTGATGAAAAATATTAGCAGACACGAATCATATTCATAAATTAAACATAATTACTGTTGGATTCAATTGACGAAAGGAAGTAAGCCCCTAACCAATTAAGGGGAATTCGCTGAGAGAAAAAACAGAGCAAGGAAGAAAATGGAGATACCTTTGAAGGATTTCATGAGAGTTTCAGCGTCTTCAGCTGGAGAAGGTACAACATCTGGAATTCTCAGTGTAGCCATTTTTTCTTCTTCTTCACCTTAACCAGAAATTGCAAGTTTTTCTTTTCTGTTTCTGCAACACTTTCAGTTATTTTTTTTCCTCTCCCAAAAAGGGCAAAAATGAAAATAAAGAAAAAGTTTTTTTTTTACCTCGCTGTCCTTAATGCCCTTATCTTTTGTTTAGACCGTAATACCCCTAACGTTGAATATTCACATTCTTCAAACTCATTGTACGCGTGGCTCTTTTTTCAATTCGATCAAGTATAAGAATGAAGGGTGCGTCTTGTATTAATAATTATATTTTTAATTTTGTAATGTTTGATTGATTAAAATATTTTTTTATCGAAAGTTGACTTTCGTATAGTTTTTTGTCTACTCCGCCTATATTCCAACTCCAATAATGCCCAATCAAATACTAAAGTATAAAGAAAGAAGTAATGAAAATATTCTTAATTATATTGAGTTTGACGTCTTTAAATTGTTGACAACATTAAAAACACTTCTCTACTTGACTAATTAAGCTTATATACATGTAATAATAAGTGGTCTCAAATTCTTGTACGAACATGATGCTCTATTGCTCTTAATAAAGAGTCGAGAGAAGTGTTAAAACGCTCCTAAACTTGACGAGAATTTAAGAGTTATTTCACTTAAGTTGCAAGATTGGGTTGAATTTAAGTGCCGTTTGTCGAGTAAATGAGTTTATTTAACGCTGTCAATAATTAAAATATGAAACAAATATAATATACCGAGTTTTAGAGATGTTTTCAATACTTCTCTTAATAAATACCCGTCTGTCCCTTTTTATTGTCATGTCATGCGCTTTTCAAAAGTCTTGACTAATTTTTAAAATTAAATTCGTTTACATTAATTTGATATTTTAAATAAAAAATTAGATATTCAAAAACTATACAAAAAGTACTATAAATTTCAATTTTTTGAATGTCAATATGAACAAAAAATACATCGTAAAATGTTAGTCAAAGTTATTATTGTTTGACTCATTTTTATCAGTTCCATTTTTTTAATTAGTAACAAATCTGTATGGAGTAAAACTTACCCGCACCAAATGTTTACATCAATCCAATATATGCATGCCATGTGTTTGAATTATTTTATTTAACTTTAATTAATCAATTGATATTTTATTTCATTAAATTACATAGTAATGAAAATTGAATTAGTTTAATGTAAACACTTGGTGCGAGTGAGTTTTTTTATTTGGAACGCGGACGATCGATTTGAATACGAGTTGCATAGTCCTGTGTGAAACTGTGAATGTGTTTATCACCCAATATTTCAAAATAATATTATACGATAATAAATTTACTGTTGAAGAAATTAATGGACTGCGTTTTGTATGAACACATAATGTGAATGATTTGAATTTTATAGAGAAGAAAAATGTATATAAAGTAAATAATTATTTTACATAGACAATTATACGTATCTTAGAGGGATAAAGAGATAAATGATCTCCTATTTCTTTTTTATAACCATTTTGTTAATGGATATTCTATTAGTTTTTATTATAAGATTTATTAACGAAAAAAGTGAGTTCGGAGCTTGCCTTTTTTCCTTAAAAGAACACATAAATAACATTTAATTTTTTATTTAATCAAAAGGACAAAATTACAATTAATGTAATGATATTTTTCGTCAAAAAATTAACTCCATTCCGTCGTTAAAAAAAATAAGATTTAGTAAAAAAAATCAATTTTTTTTAAATAACTTAAACTGCTGCTTTTGCAGCGAGTTTCTTAAAAAATCAATTTTTCCAATTCCTATTATTTGTCTGATTTGCCTTATTTAATTTAATTCAGAATTTGTGTAATTCGATTTCTTATTTTATAAATTCAGAAATTTGTACATGCTTACAAGAGCTATTTGTATACGATTTATGAAAAAATCATAATAAATTACTCTGTTTGTAATTGACAAGCGAAATATATAAACAAAGTTCTAAAAAGTTCCTAAATATATAAATACAGAATTTGTATATACTTGTTCAATTTGTATACCGGCCCTATTTCTAAAATTTTCTCAACGGAAAGTACATTATCTAGCTCAACACGTTCTTTTTGCTTGAACTTAAAATATGTTGGATATATCTCTTCACATTGATAGTCTTGACTTGCTCATTACAAATAATTAATTATATTTTTATAATTTCAATTCTTGATGTTCTTATATTTGTATTAGGGAAGAGCATTGGGTGCCATACTGTCATTTAAGTCAATTATTATTTTTAATAATAAAGTATATACAAATTTAAATGATATTATCTCATGGTGTGAACAAATTAATTTAAAGTTTTGTTGCACGTTGTTTTCATTTTCAAATCATCGGCATTGGGAAAAATAACTATCTAGATGACATACCAGTAATTAGTATGGACGATAATAAGTACGATGGATATATAAATTATAATAATATTTTCCGTAAAATGAACTAAGACTCAGGCCTCAATTATTAGCATGGGAGTCCTGCATGGGTACGAATGAAAAAACAAAAGAATGATCTTAGCGTGATTTTGAATAATCATCTTTTAATAAATTAATTTATGTGATTAAATTAGATTTAAGATCGAATTTTTATATAGTATTAAATAAAACTCATCTCAATTATAACTTATTAATGTTGTGCGCTCGTATATTAAATTGTCCATATGCTATATGTTTCATCATGGACATGACGTGGTGTGTTTATGAAGAATCCCACACCAGATAATGAGATGAAAATGAATGAATATTGATCTTCAACGATAATTTTGGATAATCTTTTCCTAATGAGTTATATTCGAAATTAAATTAAATCTAAAATTTATTGTTTTACATCATAATTTTTTTTTGTTTCTTTTTATTATTTATTTTTGGATGAGTGGTGTAAAAAACCTTATCAATCGATACTTAACATAAAGTGAATATTATTTTTTATTCTTAATTAAACTAAGTTCAAGTTAATTTTTTTTAGTAAGAAATATTTTCTTATTTCATGAATTTCATGAATTCAAATTAATCAGGATTCAATTTAATAAAACAAAAAATAAATTACTAATTGTAAACTCCAAGGACGACATAAAAGTGTTTCATGAAGTCATTGAGTTAATGCCATAATAATATAACTGATATAATTAACTTGATCAATAGCGATTTTTATTAAATCAGTTATAACAACTTAAGTAAATTCCAACCAAGATAATTACTTTGATTAGAAATAAACCGCCAGTAATATCAGGTATTTTTCAGTTTAAACTATTCTAGATGTCGTGATTAATTAAATATACTAATATTATACTAGGACGTGCAAAGCTCATGGTACATTAAATAAAGCATTAAAAACATATTATCATTTAATAAACATTAAATAAGAAGATTTCATAGAGATTTAATTTATTAAAATATTGTCCTTAAATACTTTTGACTTTTATTTTTGTTTAATTTAATGACGCAAGGCGTTACAAGCAACAATTTAATAGACACGTAATAATTTTAAATTCATTACTTTATTAATTAAAGGAACATGAATGCTACGTTATATACGGAGGGTTACTTTGGTCTTTTCGCCTTTATTCAAAACTTATGTACCAATGGTGGTAGTTGTTTAAATGACATAAATACCCTTAATAACTCGTATAAATTGAGTTGCAATTGAATCACAAGTCCCACACCTCAACTCTCAACTTTCTTCTCTCTTTATTACACAAAAAAACTCATAAACAGATTAAAAAAAATGTCAGAGGCTAATGAATTTGCAGCTGTAACTAAAGCTTTCTCAGGTTTGTGAGTTACATCTAAGACCTAATTTCACATAATTTGATTATGATTGGAAACTGATATTTTTATTCGATTTTTTTTAAAATTCAAATTTGTAGGACTTGGTGTGGATGAGAATTTGTTCATTTCATCATTGGGGAGATGGAATCGCTATCAAAGGGAATCGTACAGAGTAAGCACTCCTGGATTTTTCAAAGAAGACGAACGCCAATTCCAGAGATGGAGTGATCACCATATCCTTCAGCTTCGTCAAGAATTTTTGCGTCTCAAGGTATAAAAAAAAGTTGTAAAATGTAAAAAATGTCCATTTAAAATGAAAAAAAAAAATGTCTGACTTAATATTGTAGGATGCAGTAGTGTTGTACACAATGCACCCATGGGAAAGAGATGCGCGTTTGTTTAAAGAGGCGTTGCTATTGAAAATACCTCAACATGATGTTCTCATTGAGACTGCTTGCACTCGATCCTCTGAAGATCTTTTGGGTGCTAGAAAAGCATATCATTCTCTTTTCGAACACTCAATTGAGGAAGACATTGCTCACCATATCAAAGCTCACGAAAGAAAGGTTTTTTATTTTATGACTTAAGTTGTATGCACTAATTTTATTTTATTCGTGGGGCTCGTCTAAAGTCAGATTTATTGTGATTAACAGCTTCTAGTTGCTCTCGTGAGTAGCTACCGTTATGAAGGGGCAAAAGTGAACGAGGATCTAGCAAAATCTGAGGCTAAAATGTTTGCGAATGCACTTGCTAAAAAGACTAATCTAATTGAAGACGAAGACATTGTGAGGATACTCTCAATCCGAAGCAAACACCATCTTAAGGCCATCTATAGCCACTACAAGGAAATGACTGGCAACTTCCTGGATGAGGTAACAAAAAAAGAGTTCAACTTCTGAGCGCCGACTGTTCATAGTCTTTTTATTCCGTTAATTTGAGATTGTTGATAATGTCAAATTTTTTCTTCTTCAGGATCTTGATGGTGACTTGCTCTTGAAACAAGTAGTTCAATGCCTTTGCTCACCACAAACATACTTTAGCAAGGTAAATACAAATCGCCCTAAAGGGATTAATATATCGTACATTCTTGTTTTTCTCTCTTTTGTTTGATTTATTTCTCATTTATTACGTAGATTTTGATCTCGTCCTTAAGTTTGGATGTGGAAGAATCGGCTAAAGACTCGGTGACTCGAGTCATAGTTACAAGAGCAGATGAAAATGATATGAAGCTAATCAAAGAAGAATTCCAGAGCAAATATGGAAGTACCCTGGCTGCAAAAATTCAACAAGTTGCTAATGGAAGCTACAGAGATTTCTTGCTTACCATAATTGCAAAATCTGACTAATTTATTTTGGCCAGATTTTCCAAACAGTTGTTCCATGTTCTCAAATGTTTTGTTTAGTTTCCCCTTTTGTTTAGTTTGTTTTGAGGTTCTTTGCTCAATTGATGTATGATTGCAATGCTCCCATTTCAATCGATCAATTTCAACATCATACTTTTTAAATGTTGCAATAAAATATAGAGCACTTCGAGCTTACGAATAAATGACTACTCCTTTTATCTTCAAACTTACTCTTAGATCATATCGAGTTATCAACCTATTAATCCTAACCAAATAATGATGAATTATTTCTTTTTAATATAATATTTAATAGCCTCAAATTTACTTTTTTTTTTTTATAAAAAAACCCCTCAATTATCGTGAAATTCATGTTATTTTCATTCTATTGCTACAGCCTACAATCATCAACAATTCTATAAGCTTGGGCTGCTATCCCTTACCTATACTGTGTGGTTAGCAAAATTGATTCAACCACCCCGCTCATTTGTCACCTATTAAGGAAGAGAAAGATTCAAAGGAACTGCCTCATTTCTTTTTTTTCCCTTGTTTTCTATTATGGCCAGCTACTTTAATTTTAATTTACATAATGATAGTGTCGTCTAATACAAATAGGTTATAAATAATGTGTGTATCATGAGATTGGAGAAATAAATTTAAGTTATATATATATATATCCATGGTGTGAGAGTCTTTTATACCATCGATTTGTAAATAATTATTTTTTCTGATCAAATGAATGCTTAATTTCTTTTGAATTTCTATATCTTTCTCCAATTTATGTGTTACTTCCTTGTTTCCAATACAAATAAACAATTTCAATATCTGTCTTATCACTTTCTCCTGATCTTTAAAAAAAAAAAACTGCATGCCACATTTCTCTCTTTCACTCAATTATTTAGGGATGGTAATGAGGCCAGGGAGAAGTAAGATTATGCGGGTGGTGCGGGTTTCAGGTTATGTGGAAGGTAGGGATGTGTGGCGGGTTGAAGTAGATTTTTTAGAAACTACTGCAGCGCGAGGCGTGTTGCGTGTCTATGCGATTTTAAGGTTATGCAGTGCGAGGAGGAATGTATGGCTGGTTGAAGTGGGTTTTTTAGAAACTAATGCGGAGGTGAGTTGCGAATCTATACAATTTTATGTAGATTCAAACTTAATTTTAACTTTTTACATGTTATAAGAGTGATAGAACATTATGTATTGAGATATTCTTTAAAGTTACTAATGGTTCAATCAAAACTAATATAATTTCTAACATACTTTCCAATTGACTTTTTAAAAAATAAAATTTTAAGTCGTTATCTATTAAATTAATATTACATGATGAATAAATAAATTTATTTTTATGAATTTTATTTTTTGTATCAAACCTACCTAGAAAAAGAAAATATTAAACGATTTACGTAGTGCAGGTTCATGTGGGGCGGGTGGAGTGACTTGAAAATGAAAAAAATTAGTAGTGAGGCGGAGTGAATCGGCTTAAAATTTTTACGGTCTAGGGGGTTTAGCTCAATCTATCCCGCCTCCACCTCGCACGGCCGCACCGCTTCATTACTATCCCTAACAATATTGTCACAATTCTAATATCTTGGTCTAAACAAATAAAATAGCTTACTCGTGTATATATTGTGGCTGTTATAAAAAAGCGAAAGTTAATATCAAATATACAAATTAATTAAATTGATGAAGAATTAGCAGAATAAAATTATTCGTTCAATAGCTTTTTATTGATATGCAACAACACATAGAAATAAAAAAACAAGTCTAAAAAATATAAATTTTTGACAAATTCCTAGAAAGATTCTATACTTATAATTTAAATAAATTTAAAATAAAATTTTAAATTATATAGATTCCAATCCTACGAAGAAAGGTTTTCCGATTAGGACAATATATTCGAGATTCCTAATCTAATTGTTTTATTTTAAAAAATACTACTATTTGTTTATTGGTTTAAAAAATGGAAAAAGTATTGACTAGGTTTCGAAAAATCAATTAATCTTATTGTTTAAGAAAAATTGACTTTTCAAAATTATGGAGTCGCCACTTGATTTTTGATAAAATCAAGAAAAAATTTAAAACTGTCAAAAGATTCAAAACAGATAAAATCAATTGAAAAAAGGTTCGAAGTTCAATGTACATCCCGAGAAGGTGTTAGGCCCTCGGGATGCCCGTTAATTCGCGGTTGACCGGCGATTTGACTAAATGACTATTAAAATAAAATTTTTAACTAAGTAAAAAGAAATTTGTTTTAATATTTTTTATTTCATTATTATTATTTTTATTTATTTCTAAAGGGAGATATTTTGAGGGAATTAATTTAAGGAAAACTAAATTATGATAAAAGTAAGTAAAACAAAAATAGTAAAATTTAAATAATGAAAAATGGCTACCCCTTAGAAGATTATTAAAATTCTACCAAGATATTAAATAATTCAAACAAATAAATGATAGAGAAAGAAATATTTGAACTTGGGCTTGATTGCTCAAATTCTTTCATTTGGGCTTTGACCCACCTGTCATAAACTAATCCTTATACTTGGGCCTTCTTTAAAACCTGCAGAAACAAATCACCTTTGGGCCTGTTAAATAAAAGGGGGGCTGAAGGGCCCTGGCCCAATTCCCTGAAAAGAGACATAAAAGTATACAAATGTATACATGCTGTATACAGCAATATCTGACCCATTTGGACCTCTTGAGCCCTGCACCTTTTGAATATATATTTACCTTACTTTTCCCTGTATTGCCCCGCGTATTTATACCTGTATCATTTTTTAAAAACAAGTGTATATCGTCGCCCGATAATGTATACGGGCTGCACCCTACGTCCGCATTGTTTGACTAATTCCGAATTTTAATTAGAATAGGCGTCCCTCTATGTTCCCCTGCCAATCATATTTTTTAAGCATATATATAGTATATCGTCCCTGTATATATGTGTATACAGGTTGTATATCAACCTGTTTTTCAACTTTTGACAGCTGAAAAATTATTTCCAGAAGTATGTACTCACTGTTATAAACCTGTATTTCGAGTTTGGTCCCCTGTACGTTTTTTGACCTGTAAACTGATGTATAAAGTATGTATACAGCTGCTATACAGCTTCATCAACACCTGCCAATACATTTTACAGCCCCTTTCCAGGTTTTTGATGAACCTGCAATTAATTTCCAGCAACTCGTTTGATATATTTTAGCCTGTTCGCCAGTTTTGAGGGGATCTACGACTCAAGGATGACAGTCCAAGCCTTTACGGCTCAATGAGAAAGTGCAACGAGATGGGTTTAAGTCCATGAGGACTCGAGGAGATTTCACCTGTTTTAGAGCAGCCAACTGGAACAACAAATAACGCTGAGGTCTTCCACCACAACACTCAAACTCAAAAGGCGATATAGAGCTCCTTGTAGGTAGCGATAGGACAGGGACGAACGTCTCTATGGTTTCAAGAAACTATCTCAAAATACTTATATACAGTGATATGGCTGGAAGCTTGTGGCCATATTCCTCTGTAACCTTTTCTCTTTACTCCCTTTTTATCTATATTTTCTTTCTTTCCTTGTTTCTTTTCCTTTTTTTCTATTTTTCCTCCCCTTTTCAGTGAAAACTAAGGCTATATTTATAGAAGGCAAAAATGCATATTTTTAAGGGGGGAAGACGGGTGAAGAAGATTCGAATTTTCAATTCGAAATTCAAATATTTCTTTGAAAAGAAAGCATTGAAAGGTCTGTCAACAGTACTACAATCTCCAACGGATGCAAGAAGGGATCCGTTCGATCTTGGAGCAAGGACGACGAAGCTACGAGATTTTGACACCTCACGAATTTCTAACGGCTCTTGTACGAGAGGATAAGGTTGAGGGGAAAGGGACACGCGATTTGCTCGCTGGTTGTTAGGTCCTGTCGCGTAGGGAAGAAGAAGAAGATGGGGTCGGTCGGGTGCTAAAGGGGAAAAATGGAATAGGGGTTAGGTCGATTTTAGGAGAGGAAAAAGGGGAATTGGGTCGGGTAGAAAAGGGTTGGGCCTGGGAGGAGGTGAATAAGGGAAAATTTCATATATGGCAAACTTATTAGATTAAATAATATTATATGGGTATAGTTTATCTAATTACTTTATATGGGTATAGTTTAGTTATTTTAGGCATCTTTAATTTTGTATATAATTTTTTTTATTTATACAATTATATTTTAAAAAGTGGTTTGTAACTGAAGCGTTAAATATGCTAACAATAAATTTAGATAATGCCACAATTTTAGGGAAACGTCCCTTTTTTTAAGCTAAATGTTCAAATTCAAAAAAAAAACTGTATGTATATATGAACTTACCTTTTTTGTATATTTATATATGTACATGAATATATTTGTTAAACTCCAATAATATATAAAGTTAATATATACTAACTTCAATAATTTGTATATAACTACTACAATATACAAATTATAATCGCATATGATATTTTCCCACCTATATAACTAAATCCAATTACTTTGTGTACATATGTATATAAAAAAAATAATGAGCCTGTAATATATAATTTCCTACTACCAGCTATTAAAACAGACATGTACATATCAATTTTTGTATATGTATATAAACTTAATATATAATAACTTTTCAATAATTTGTATATAACTAATAGAATATACAAATTCTAATCATATATATAAAAAATTCATCTGTATAACTAAGTCCAATTACTTTTTTGTATATATATACAAAAAACAAAAATAACATAAATATGCAATATACTATATACAATTATTAAACATGCAATTATACTATATACAATACTTAAGTAATATTTTTTGTATATTGACATCTAATTAACCAAAAAATTGTATCTAACTTTGTGTTTTAATACAGTACCTCATGAATATTATGTTCTTCAGATCCGACAACTTCAGAAGCATTTTCCTCTGATTCAATGTTTACAGCTTTCCTCTTTCTTCTTCCTTGTACTATTTTAATGCCTCTAGCTTTGGCATTGTTAATAATTTGTTGAACTGCCGTAGGGTCATTTTTTTTCTTTGATCTAAGCTCTTCCATTGTTTGTTCTTGTATAACTTGATTTGATTTTCCCAATGACCCTACATCAAACCCAAAATCTTGAGTTAACCCCATTGAAAACGATGGTAAAATGTCAACAACATTGACATGCAAAGGAATACCTCTGGTAATCCTCAAAGATGAAGATGATTCAGTCATTGTGTGACCAATTTTAGATCTATCAAGAACAAAAAATCGATTATTTCATCAAAATATATGAAAAAAAATAATAAACAGAACACATATACAAATTTTGAATAAGTAAAAAAAAGAAGAAGAGGTAAACAACTAAAATTAAGGAGTACTTACGAAATTGACTTCAACTTCGGAAGGGAACTTCAACTTCGGGGGGGGGGGGAGTAATCTAATTTTGGACAATAATTTGAATTTCAAACCGGATAGCTGGAGTATTAAATGTAGGAGAAAAATTTGGAATGTGAAAAGGAGAGAGAAAATTGTTTTGTGTATAATTATATACAAAATTAGAAAATAATGTTTTTATACCATTGGTTATATAATAGGTTGTGGACCCCATTAAATATAGCAAACAAAAATAAACTATAACTATATAAGGTAAATAAATTAAACTATACCCCTATAATATAATTAGCTATGAATGTTTGCCATCCCACATAATTTTCCCGGTGAATAATTGTTGAAAAAGGGTTGAGGGGAAGAAATGGGAAGTGGGCCACAAAAGAAATGGGCTGGAATTGGGAATTAAAGGAAATTTGCAAGAATGGCCCAAAATAAATTAAATTGGAAATTTAAGATGGGTTAAATTTAATAAATAGTCAAATTGAGTTAAGAGGATAAATTTGGCTAAATCTTAAATAAAACGAATTTGTATTAATTAATCAACGAGCTTCTTTATTTTAGTAATATAATTATTTTAATTGTAAAATAGTGATTCAAAATATAACCATAATTTAAACTAAATTAGCTAAATAGAATACTTACTAAAATTTAAAATATTTTGAGAAATAATCGTAAAATTTATAAAACTAATTATTTTTAAATTGTTTGGAAATTTAAGAAGCTCGAGAACTAATTTATACCGGGGGTCGAAATTAGGTGTCAACACTAATAAAAAATTATAGTTTCCTAAATTATACTGGTAAGAAATTTAACACAATATTAACAAATATTTTTCAATTAGTTCTTAATTGTTATATTAATATCAACAGATCTGTTTCTATTAATTATTAATTGTTACGTTATGGTAAGGAACGGTGATTCTAGCTGATCGACTGAGTCGTTTCAATTTAGGCCGTGGATATACAAAACCGATTCTATTGTTACTTATGATCAAATAGTTTAGTCGCATTACATTGTGATGATACTTTTATGTGATATTGGTGTGGAGATTGTTAAGACGTTGAAAAAGATAACAAGTTTTTTCGGACAATGATGTTGAAGAAGTGATATGCAAACATGATCACAAGTCGTGATTTTATGATGTATATATATGTAGTGCTATCATGGGTGAAGAAAGAGGACTTTGGTTTTGGGATCCAAGTTAGTACCTTGTGATCGAATATAGAGCTGGTAATTTAGATCAATTTAGTGACAAGGAACACAAATATGCAATAAAAAGGATAGGTAAAATGAATCATGATCTTATAATGTATATATATAGGGTTAATAGAGATGCATTTATTTCTCTTTTCTGATTACTCTTTAATTCTAACTTTCCACATAATACGTTTAAGAGCACAAGATTAGTGAATATTTTGATCTATAAATCTTTAGTCATAAACTAAAAGATTAGTGGATATTTTGATACATTTTACGAATCTTTAGTCTTAAATCAAAAGATTAAAGAATATTTTGATACATTCTACAATTTAAATGATTCTTCAAATTATATTTATTTTAAAATAAATATAACTTATTGTATACAGAGTTGATAATATAGATCAATTATTGGCGAGGGAGTGAATAACGCAATTAAAAGTAAATGCATTGATCCATGACCTTACAGTATATCCAGGGTTAATGAAAATGCATCTAAGCTAAATGCTAAATCTATCCAAGTATATCATAACAGACGAAAATAATTGCTCGTGAGAATCTACCGTTACGAAGGGGCAAAATTGAACGAGGATCTAGCAAAATCTGAGGCTAAGGTGTTTGTGAATGCACTTGCTAAAAAGACGAATCTAATTGAAGACAAAGAGATTGTGAGGATCCTCTCAATCCGAAGCAAGCTCCATCTTAAGGCCATTTATAGCCGCTACAAGGAAATGAGTGGCAACTCGTCGAGCTTTCAAATAAATAACCTCTTCTTTTATTTTCAAGCTTACTCTTTGTATTGAGTTATTGACCTATTCATTGTAATTGATGTTGATAAATTACATCTTTTTAATATAATATTCAATTCGAAAATAAAATTTCAAATTACGCGAAATTCATGTTATTTTCATTCAATTGCCACAAAGATCAACAATTCTATAAGTTTGGCCTTCTGTTACCTATTATGTGTGGTTAGCAAAAATTGATTCAACCAGCATGTTTGTTATCTTTATTCTAAACAATACTAGTGATAACGAAAAAACTTAAGGAAAAATTTATAAGTACTAATTTCAGAGACACACTTATATTATACTGAGGTTCTATTACCTCTGAACTTATTTTATAAATAACTTTTTACTCCTTTTCGACCTACGTGGTACTAGTTTGAAAAAAAAAAGTCAACATGCGCTGCGCTCAGAAGATAGTGTCACGTACGCCATAAAGGGGTAGAAATTATTTATAAAATAAGTTCAGGAGTACTAGGATCTTAGTGTAGTATAAGTCTGTCTTTGAGATTTCGCTCATAGGTTGAGGGGGTATTTATGCATTTCTCGGAAAAAACTTTGCAGAAATAGTAAATTTAAATTAATTTAAAAATAACTAATATTTGCAAAATGTATCTCTGTTGTCGTGATTGTTTTTGAAAGTTGCAACCTTTCAAATCACTCATCTCCAATTGTGGAAAGCTCAAATAAAATAGGAAAGTATCGGACCGGGTCATTTCAGCTGATTATTTTAACAATTAAAATATTTTGATCATTTAATTTGATTTAATAAATAAATAAAACGAATTTTATTAAAAAATTAATTTCCAACTCTTCTAACAATTAATAAAGTGTTCATCTATTTAAACACTTTAATTTTTTTCCCACTATTAATAAAGGAGAAATGTTTTTTTACCAAAGCATAACAGAGACTTTTAATTTTTTCTTTTTTCATCTATATAACTCGGGTTATATATCAAAAAAAAAAAAGTTCAAAGAAACGGCCTCATTTCTTGTTATCCACTCAAAACCTGCCTGGGTCTTACCTCTTTATATATTTCTGATGCGATGAGTGTACATCTATAATTAGGTAGCCAAAAGTCTACAGTAGAGAATTTCTATATCATTAGTGAACTTATATAGAAATTTAAATTTGCAACTTTGTTGGCCAATCTGACGCTATAAAAGCCTGACAAAGGTTTTTTTTTAGCAGAGCCGAATTAAGAATTAGAAGATGAAAGCATATGCAATTGCACTCATTGTCTGTGGATCTGTTGCAGCAGCTCTAGTTTTAATATCGTGTTGTTTTTACAAAATTGGCCGAAAGAAAAAGAGTTCCCCAGTGACTCGGAATGTGACCAGTGGTTCTCCGGTTATTCCTCTGCCGCCGAAGCCTTTACCAGCAAATCGTGATGTTGAAAAGGGCGAAATTAAACCCAAGGACAATACAGCAATGAGAGATGGTGGAATGGTAATTCTAGGTGCGGCTGCTGCTGCAACAGTTGTCACCGCCGCTGTTATCGACAGTGGAGGAGGAGGTGGTGGTGGCTGTGGCGGAGGATGTGGAGGTGGTGGCTGTGGCGGCGGCGGCGGCTGTGGTGGATGTGGAGGTTAAAAGCAGAGGCTCGGACGACTCATAAAAATATTAAAAATTGAACTCATGGAATCTGCAAAGTAGATAAATAATTTCTTTGTATGTTTTCCGCAGTGGCTACTCATGTTTTATAAGAATGTACTGTAAATAATTTTACGTACCATGAATCATGATATGGGAGAAATGAATTAATTTAGCGAACTTTGTGCCCGAGTTATTATTATCTTTTGTATGCATATTAGATCAACTCATAATCGTACAAATTTATCAATTATATAACAAATGTAATTGTATCAAACAAGTATAAACAATAAACTCGATTAAGAAAATATCGACGGAATAACTATAAATTGGAGGGTATCTAAGACTCATTAGTTGTCCTAAAGTTTTAAAAATATGACACGGTGTTAATTCGCCTCAACTGGGGCGGGAACAGCGATAATTAGGCAGGTTAAATTAAATTAAGGCAACTCAAATTGGGTCGAGATGAAAAATGGGGCATGAAATCGAGTTCAATTGTTTTGATCAAAATTGGTTGGGACAAAACGGGCTAATAACGGGTCATTTACCATTTTTTATTAGATTTAATTATTATTTTATAAATTTTTAGTACCTTCACAAAAATATTATTTTTCTTTATTAATACTATATATAACATATAAAATAAAAAAATAAAATTTAATAGTAATAATTTGACATAATTTCTCAAAATTCAATTTGAATTACATACTTATTTTTTAATTATTTAAAAAATTAATAAATAGACGAAATAATAACCAACTCAAAACATAAATAGATTGGATCGAACTGCACAAGTTGGGCTTTGATTTTATCACCGTTAGAAAAGTCAAAGTCCTGAGTGATCACATTTTCAAACGATACAAATATCCGTTTTTAATTCGAGCAATAGAATTTGTCGGCAATTCTAATATAAGGTGCACTTTAGATTGAATATAGTTATATAATCAAAATTGTGTTCAATTAATCGATCAACAAAATCATTATTATAAACAAAATAAATATAAACATATTCAATACATACAAAATATAAATAGCGAGTAAATTATTAAAATAAAAATTCATTCAATAAAAAGTTTTTAAAATTATTGATCTTTTAACGATTAAATATCACACGCCTTTTTTATTATTAATGAAATCAAGTTATACACGTAGGTTGTAGAAAGTAGTAAACATGGAATTAAGCAAGAGAAAGATTCAAAGGAAGTGCCACATTTCTTGTAGTCCACTCAAAATTGTGATGACTTTGAGATAAGGCCTTGGTCTTGCCTTTTTTTTTTCTTTTTCTAGTGCAATAAGAAAATATATAACACATAAAATGATTTAAGATAGCCAAAAGTCTACACTAGAGAATTTCCACCAATTTTCCAGGCTCTAATTATTTGGTATCTAATTTTATTGAGTTTATGATCAAAATAAATAAAAGTCAATTGCGATGTTGAGAAAGGATGATATTAAACCCAAACAACACATTTTTTTTTCCTTCTACTCAACTACAATATCACAATTATGAAGATCAACTTAAATGAAGTCTTGGTCTGAGCAAATAAACCAAAATAGAATTTCTGAATATAATTCTTTCAAGTACTTACGTCTTATTTTTATTGGGTATTAATTAATCTGAGTTTTTTTTAAAATCATAAACATGTTTGTTTTTTTAGGATAAGGTTTAGGATTAACCAATCCTATTCTGATAGGAAAATGTTTAAGACTCTACAAATAAAAGTTTGTTCCTTCTAACTTAATAATCATTCACAATGTAGTCTTAAGGCTTTGAGAGTTTTGGTTAGAGGGAGAATTTCTCACAAGTAATATGTTATCACTTGTGTGAACCTCCCATGTATTTCGAGTGAACTGGTTGAGGTTATTTCTCACTATATTTTGCATTTTCATGTTTATGTAGTGAATTGTTCATCTCCTCTGTGGGCGTAGATCAATTGACCTAACCACATTATATCTTTGTGTCTTTTGGTATATTTCTCATTTATCTCTTACTCGTGGTCTTTCAAGGCTTATTTGTTAGGAATATATGAGTTACTTTCACAACAATGAGCATATCAACTCTAAATTACAAAGTTGAGGGTATATCAGACCTTTTTGTTCATAATAATAATAATAATAATAAGTGAATATATTTGACCCAACATGAGACAATTATATTGTATGATGTACTTAAAAGTGATTAATTAGTAGTTTAGTACTGTAGTGTTTATTTTGCAATAAGTGACAATTAAGGAGGAGTGCATTTTATTTTATTCATTTCTAAACAATGTAACTCAACCAATAATTTTTAAAAGTATTAAAAATTTATACATGTGAAAAAATATAGTCACAATGCAACAATGTGGGATTTCACATTGAACAAAACTGGGGTTAGGCAGTTCCATGGCTATTTGTGAATGATAAAATAATGTCTTCATCATGAGGAGAAGGTTTGAAAATTGAATATATATTGATTGTATGTATTATAAATGTTATTTTTGTACTCGATTATTTTGAGTTTTAAATTTAAAAACACTAACAAAAGACATAAGCAAATTTATCATCGGTCTAGGTTAAGCTGTAATAAGCATGTATTCTTATTCATGAAATCATTTTGGAAATAGTATGATATAAATTATGTTAAAATCAAAGGTCAAACGGATAGAAAAAATAATATTTTTGGACAAAAATACGATTAAACTATATTACAGCTCTTAAATTTCAAAATAGCTCAGTGGATTAACAAAATTAAGAAAAATTAGTTTGTAGGATAATCCGAGAAAATAAGTAAGGAATCAATTTCATTTTTTTTTTCAAAAAAGATAAAAAAGAATAATATATACAAACATACACAAAACTTGAAAAAGAATTGTAATATATATTTTTTATATTCAATTCTTTAAAATCCAAATGATCGGAGTCTCATCCTCTTAAATCTTCAATCTCCTACTTTCACTAATTATGATCTCAATCTCTCCTCCTCTTTTTTTTTAATTATTATCTTAATATAATTTTATAAATATTATTGACTAATTAAGAAACACACTTTTTTTAATGCCAGTAAAAGCGTCTATCACACAAGTTTTTTTAGTTGCGAAAATTACGCGCTTAAGCAAACTTACAATATTTAATTACTCATCATAGTTATAGTTTGCTATAATTACTACTCATGACTAACATTATAGATTAATTACGAGGATTGAATTCGAATTTGTATAATTAGTCACGTTTGTATATGTATAATTCGCTAGAATATACAAATACATATGTATAATATACAATTATTTAACCTATATATATATATATATATATATATACATTTCACCTTTATCCCATTCTCCGCCCCCTCTCACTCGCCTCTCACCTCCCTCTCCCAATCTCGCTCGCCTTTCTCCTCCCTCTCTCAATCTCGCTTGCATATATACAAATGCATATGTATAATCTATAATTATATACCTATACAATTCACCTCTCTCCCACTCTCAACCATCTCTCACTCGCCTTTCTCCTCCCTCTCCCAATCTTACTCGCCTCTCTCCTCCCTCTCCCAGTACCGCTTGCCTCTCTCCTTCCTCTCCTAATATCGCTTGCCATATATACAAATACATATGTATTATATACAATTATCAACCGATATACATATATAATGCACCTTTCTTCAACTCTTTTCCCTCTCTCTCCTAGTCTTGCTCGCCTCTCTCCTCCATATAACATATAACTATGAATTGTAATTATCAAACTATAGCTATGAAGAGTGATCAGACTATTTTAAAGTGGCTATATATGAAAGTTCCCTTTTTAGTTTAAGTCAAATTAAATAGTAAGAATCAAAATATAATCTACATCAAGTAATAGAGAAACAAATCACAAGTTTGGGCCTGATGAAAGGTGTGAAATTTCAGGCCCTATTCTTATCTCTCCACTTGGAAAATGAATGTAGTTAAATTACCGTTTGAAAAAGTTTCCATATAGTAATAATGCTAATTAATTTTAAGAAACTTTGGCAATCTTTTTACAGGCCTTGGGAACCTTGATCTTATATAATGTATATATGTATGGTAAATTAGTATAAAATTCAAATCGAATAATATAAAATTGATCCGAAAAATGAAATGTACACCACAATTTATGATAATGAGTGAAATAAATAAATTAGAATTATTACATAAATGTCTCACAAGCGTGTGCCAATAACTTGTATATATATACGTGGCAGCACCACAACTAAGAAATTTCACTTTTCTTTTTCTAAGATTTTAAGCCTTTGATTTGACAAGAATGAAAAAGCATGTTTTGTTAAATTTTGGATTTTGAACTTCTTATTTGCTTCATGTGAGTACTAAGATACATTACTTTGAGTTAAAAATTTACTTTGAGTTAAAAATGAAAATTGAGTAACTTTCTGTGCAAAGAAGTCATAGTTGAGTGACTTTTAAGTTAGAAAATAAAAGTTGAGTAACTTTCTGTAAAAACAATTGATAGTTGAGTTACCATCAAAATTATTAACTCTAAATTCGTAATGCTCATTACTTGTGTTTTTGGCTTCTTAAATATAATTGTTCATGAATTTTCTATCAAACATATTAATTAATTAGTTGCATCAATTATATAAAGATGAAAAATGAAGTTACTTCAGACGACAATTAAGCCCCAAACTCAACTACAGCTTTGAAAGAAATAGAAATCAAGTAACAAAATGTAATTTCTATACGGTTATAGCAACTTCAAACAACCATCAAGTTATGGCCCATATACTTATATTTTTGTTCTTTAGATTATTATATATCCTCTATGTTTTAGTAGATATGATTTAGATGAACTTATTTCTTAAATATTTAATTAATATGCCTAATGCTAGACAATATGTTCATATATCAATACTATTAACGTTCGTGCACTTCTAATTGATTCTTTTTTCATGTATATGCTTTCTCTCAGATTGTACTTCTCTCCTTCTTACAATTTAAATTTCAAAAGTTAAATAAATTACTTTAGACCATGAATTGTTAAATAAATTCTTAAAATGAATGGTTGGACTTTCAAAACAAGAAAAAATGTCACATAAATTTAATATATTTTATCGTGCATAAATATATAAAAATATTATATATCAAATTACAACAATAATACATATATACGATTTATACCCACGCAAAACGCGAGCTCATTACCTAGTGATTATATACGATAAGCTTTTCAAGACTTAAAAAAATCAACATACAAAGAGAGTGAAATGGGGTAATACATTTAATTTAGAAATGCACGTAATTTTAAACTACTGTCGTTGAAAGATATATCGTGATTAACTAGCATACAATTACAAATAAAAAGAAAAAGAATAACACAAAGATTTAATGGGATTCGGCTAAACCTACTCCGCTCCATAATAGTAGAGAATTTTCTACTATGAAAAAAACCGAACAATTTTACGGTGCTTTCAACCCCTTTTTAAGACTATGTGTAGTATATAATGCTTACTATATCCGCTATGTATAAATTTACAAGCGCAGAAGGAAAAAGTTTTCCTAATCTGTTAAGGAAACTATTTTCAGGTTTCCTAAATTAACAAAAAAACTAAATTCAACTCAATATTAGGAAATCCATTTCAATATGTTGTTCATTGTTAATATAAAAAAAAAATTCAATTGATTCGTAATTTTCACATTATGGCGTTGGATGATAAAGTTCTTCGTGAAGCCAAGTTGAAACAACGCTACTGTAATATGATAGTAAAATCACAAAAGCAAATTCTTGGGGATTCGTATGATGAAGAAGAGATGGAGAAGAAAGTTCGTTCGTGGGAAAGGGAATTGAGAGAAGATAAAGAAGAGAAAGCAAAGTCAAGGGAAAAAGATAGGGAAGCGGCACGAATCGCTATTGCAAGCATGAAAAGAACGGTTTATTTTGATGATGCTCTTCAAGCCGAAAGAGATTTTTTGGCGATTATCGGATCTACGTAAGTCTTTCGTTGTTTGCATGCTTTTTCTGGTTGCTTTTTAATTTCTACTTTGTTTTCAAAAAAAAAAAAAAGTTTGAGGGTTTTCGAATTATTGTTTTACTTTCTTTCAAGAAAAAATACATTTTGTGTTTTTCTAGTTGTTTCTATTTCGGTTTTCAAAGAAAAAAAGTTTGAGGGATTTCTTGTGGTTGATTCTACTTTGTTTTCGAAAAAAAAAATCATTTTTGTGTTTTCAAGTTATTGTTTTACTTTCTTTCAAAAAAAATATTTTGTGTTTTTCTAGTCGTTTCTATTTGGGTTTCAAAAAAAAGAAAAGGGTTGTGTTTTGTTGTTTCTACTTCCCTTTAAAAAAAAAATTATTGCATGTTTTCTAGTTATTAGTTTAGAAATACGTACTTAGTAGCATTTCATATGAGTAATAATGTCAAATTAGGTTGAATTGGAAGGGGTTAGATTCACTAGGCTTTGATCGATATATATGTTAAGTTGTGAATTGCTTTTGAATAAACCTTTTTCCATTAATCTTAGTAATATACTATACTTGTGTAGTGAATTTAGGTATGAACTTCTTTTGTGTATCAAATAATCTGTCTGAGCTTATTACACACACGGCACTTTCTAGACCCCAAGTCTTATGTGAAGTTTAGTGCTGCACTTGTTAGGATTGCTATCATGGGTGAAGTAGAAGCCTACCCTGCTTTACTACTTCCGCTACAGTCTGAAGAAGGTTTTAGTTTTAGATTCAAAGTTAGTGCCTTGTGATTAGACATAAAGTTGATAATATAGATCGATTCTTGGTGAGGGAGAAAATAACGCAACTATAAGGACAGGCAATGAGCCATGAGCTTAAAATATATCTAGGGTAATGGAAATGCATATGAGCTAAACGCTAAATCTTTCAAAGTATATCACAACAGACGAAAATGAGCAAAAATTATATCTATTCTGTGTGAATACGGTGCACCAATTGACCCGTTACGTCCGATGTTGCGTATCCCCAGGTCCCAGTGAGTGAGCCGATTGGAGTCTCATGTGGTCCTCCAAGTAATTGAGGACTATATTTCTACTATTAAACTAGTAGTTGGTTATTTAACGGAAAATCGATGACTAACGCCTTTCAAAGACTTTTTCAAAATATCCACGCTCGATCTCCAGCTGGGGTTAAGTCATACCTAATTCATTATAGTAGTACTACACTCGTGCAGTACCCTTCATTATACTTGATCCTCTTCTCCCGGTCACACATTTCGAAGACAGAGAGTTTATACATTTCAGTTGGTCTAGTCTAATCCAATGCTTGCTATGGAATATCTAAGATTCTAAAAAAAAAAAACTTTTAACTCCGCCTGTGTTTTGTTTGTAATGTAACACAGCCGGTCCCAAGCCCGGATAAAGGAGGAGGGTTTATGGAAATAGTTATGGCATAACGAAATAAAAATCAAAGATGTATGAGTCTAGGGGTGTTAATGGTTCGGTTTGATTCGGTTATTGTTTAAAATCAAAATCAAAATCAATTTAGTCGGATTTTAAATTTCTAAAACCAAACCAAACGAAAAAATAACCATCGATTTAGTTATGTCGGTTTGATTCAGTTTTTCTGGCTTATCCGTTTGAAAGTAATAATTTTTTTTTTGAGGACGTACGTATCTCAATAGACACAAACACCAAGTACATGCATAAACAATCTACAAAAAAACTAATGTCGATTCAGTCAAGCAACTAAGCAATATTAGAATTATCATTACACGAACAACGTGATTAACTTAAGAAAAAGTGTGACTATTTTATGTGAAGTACTGTAGGTATAAAGACTAAAATGGATTTTGATGAACTTGGATTTGAGATTGTTATACTTGGGTTGAAGTGTTGGGTTTGAGAAAATGACAGAATTAAAAACTTAAGTAAACTAAAATTTCACAAAATATTTTTATTTATTTATGAAAATGTATATAAATAATTATAAAATTTATATATCTAATTTATTGGTTTAGTTTGGTTATTTTTGTAGTTGTTTTTTAGTAAAACCAAAACCAAATAAAACAATACTGGTTTTCAAAATTTAAAAATCAAACCTAATCAAACTAAATCAAATATCAATTCTTTTTAATCGGTTTGGTCCAGATTACAGTATGATTTGGTTGTTAACTATTACCATGAACAACCCTAGTCATATATCTATAAGCTATGGCATGTTGAGCGATTTTGGCTTCACTGTATTTTGTGAGAATTCAAAAATTTTTAAGGTAAAAGGGTCTGATATACCCCTCAACTTTGTCAATTTAGAGCTGATATACCTTTTGTCATGAAAGTGACTCATATAAACCCCTACTTATAAACAAATGACTTACATATACCCTTTTCCTCTAACGGAAATGGAAAAAAAATTAATCTAATTTTTAATTATTTTTTTCTAAAAAATTATAATTTCATAGAGTAAATTTACCTCGTCAAACAAATTTTTTTGACTTCTTTTTGTTTCAATGACTAATTTAGAAGTATTATTTTGATAATCAAATTTATTTATGTTTTACTAATATTCTTATAAAACTTATTGCAGATGACAAAACTTTTTTCTTCGAATACAAAAATCAAATTGCAATATAGACAAAAAAAATATTTTTTTCTTTAAACTAAAGTATGAAAGAAAAAACATAAGAATAAAAAACTCAAACAATTATTATAAAAGAAGTCAAAAAATAATTTATGTATGAAAAAAATTTAATTATACCTTGAACTTTTATAGAAGAATCGTATATACCCCTAAATAATTTTTTTAAAAAATTAAAAGTAAAAAATATAATTTAAAACTAATTTTTTAACTTCCGTTGAATGAAGTTGCATATGTGAGCTCATTTTGTAACAACAAGAGTATATGTGAACCATTTGTATAACGGTAAGGGCATATATGAGTCACTTTCATAACGATGGGTATATCAACTCCAAATGGCAAAGTTGAGGAGTATATCACGTGAAAAAAGCGTTACCAAAAAAAAAAAAGAGTTCATTCTTATTAAAAAAGACTAAAAAAAAATAGAGTAATTCTTTTTGAAACGGAGAGAGTATTATTTATTAGCATGCCTTTTTTTTTCTCCAGTACAAAATTTCATCAAAACAGATTCATAAAATATAAATGAAAAGCTGATTTCCCTTTTTGACTAAAAATTATTATAATTGCGATGAGTAAAGAGAACACAACAAATGAAGGTCTTTTCTGGAAATATAATAGAACACAACATGACAATATAAGTTAAATTTAGCGTATTAAAATTAATATTTTCCTCCCATCTCACTCTTGCAAATTTTACGTGTTTCGAACCCCTCAACAAAAATCCCGCCTCCTTCAGTATATCATCTAACATAAGGGTATATCACAAACACTGTTTACATCAACAGTATCTCTTCCAAGTAGTGGTCCGTATATCCGATTCAATTGGCTCTTTACATTCTACTACACATTTGCTAATCCTATATCATCAGTAAAGCTTATCGAAAGGTGAATTAGCAGTACAACCGAGGGCGGAGACTGAAACTCGTGGCTGATTTCCTTTGCAACGTCACTTTGATCACTGGAAAACAATGTTCCCCGAAACCTGCAGATGTACATTTAAGTTTTAAAAGTTAACCACAAAATTAAAAAATTGAGAAACCAGCCTCAAGCAAATTTCTAAGTCAATTTCCTTTGATCCTAGTAATTTCAATTCGCAAGGTTTCTGTTTCCCTCATAATGAGCAAGCAATCAGAGAAGGGGTAGGCCAGCGCGCTGCTGGTGGGTACCATTTTGTTTGGTGAATCTTTTCTCAAAAAGGTACCGCCTATTATAACATACTACACTTAAGCAATCTGCAATTCAAAAGCAAAAGCTAAGAGGAAAAGAAATGCTTACTATCTAACGCAATGGTACTTAGCAAAGGTAAGTAGGTAACCACTTCAAAAGCCAAAATGTTCTTTGTAGACGAGAGTTTGCTTAATCATTCAGTGATTTGTGAAATGCAACCTGCATAGCGAGTACAAAATATTAGCTTTCATCCATGCACTGCACCAACCTATCAATATGTGCAATATGAAGAAATAACAAATTTCACGCTAGGTCAGTAAAGACGGACAAAGTGAGCAGCAGTTATTAAACTCGCTGACTGTCACATATTTCTTTTGTAGTTATTCCCTTCCCCCTAAGGTAAGTTTAACACTTCCTATGTCAGGTTTATCAAGATAACTTTTTGGTGGGAGAAATATATGCTTATGTTACTGATTTCGTCACAAGATAAATGGTAAAAGTAATGTCAGTTAACATACAGAAGTGGATGTTTTCAGCAGCTCCCTCACAGCCATAGTTGCATAGCAAGAAGCTGGTAGTGTAAAGCTCAGCTTGAGAGCCATCTGGCTCTCCTCAGCATTACCACCACTCTGAGATTTCTCTGATTGCATCCCTGCTTCATTGTTGATCGTTTCCTCGCACACTTTTCCAGAAAGCATGTCACCGCCTACAGAGATAGCTGAAGAGTCAGCAGGAAGCTCTTTGCTTCCATTGCTCGGGACCTCCTCTATGACCTTGCTTTTTACTGACTTGGCAATGACATCAAAATCTGTCTCAGCCAGAGGTATAGTTCCATCAGTGTAACTAAGCAATTCCCTACAAAAACAATAAATGCATTCAAAAAAAGGCGAAAACGGAAGCTTTTTGTCCAATACGACAATAAGTTACAATCACACGTAGATGGTTTGCGTATCAAGGGTGGGGCGAGAATCACAATTCTAAAGAGTGTATTCAAAAGAAATATTTTTTCGAACTGGCATATATTACTCAGATCAGTCACCAAATCACAATTAAGATACAGAGTTGCCATTTAAAGAGATCTATATTAATTTTATAAAGTGAAGTGCATTCATTATGACAAGAAGTAGCAAAAGTACTTACAATGTTTAACTACATTCATATCGATGAATGATGATTATAATGAAATAAAAATATTAAGTTAATAATAATAAGAGCAGTTGACAAAAAAAAATTTAAATCTAGTGGTGGAAAAAGGTTATCTTCGAGGATCCACACATGAATGAATTGAAAACTAAAAGTTTGGAGAAAAAGGCATCTTGACAAGTCTTTTCAGATCCAGGTTGAAACAAGCCCCAACACTTGTACAGTCAGAAAATCACACAAGATAAGTGACAAGTCCTTGGGCTTCTGAATAGAATTCAGCAAACCTGGGAAGGATGGAACAACCTGACAGCGGAGAAGAACTGAAACTAGATATGTGCAACCATTTCTGAACCTACCATTCAAAATCCTTCGGCTTTTGAAACACGCGTCTGTAAGCTCCGGTCATATTGGTTATGGAGAATTCTCTGCAACAAAGAGGAGGACAAGCCCCGAGAAGGGAAGGTTTAGATTTAGGAACATCAAATATATAGCAGCAATATAAAGACTGTAGAGTAAAGGATAATTCTGTTCCCATCCACAACTTCAGACGTCAGTCCATTCTAGGGTTAATGATAATGAGAGCATCCCATAGATATTTATGGGATGCTCCTTTTCCACATATGATCTCCTTTTTTTACTTTTTTTTTGTGCAAGAAACATGTATTCTCGGTATCACGCGAGTGAGTAGACAGAAGAATGAATTTCCTTAAAGATGCCTAGCAATGATTTGATCGTCAGACGTTCTAGGTACATGGAATCGCTGATTAGACAGTTCGGATTGGTGTCGCAACCGAATTGACGATTTCCAGGCAAAGATGTGATGTTGCTTAGATTTCAAAAAGCAAATCATGGTGGGGACAAGGAACTTGATCAATGAAGGGCTCTTTACCTGTTTCTTGATCGATGGACCGCTATAGCACATCATGTAATGATCTAAACAACAGGTATTCTAGTCATTACTTTAGTGGTTCCTTTTCATTCATGGAACATGAATTGCTTCTGGTAGATTAGAGAAGGCCACAGAGAATGATATAAAGCTGATTTGTCACTGACAGACATGTCAAGGGTCAAATTATTAGTTACAGATTCAGGGAAATACCGAGCTCGCTGGTTATTAAAGATGTAATATTCTTTAGTCTGAATTTCCCAGACTAAGATGATCCCAATCATCGAAAATTATGTCGGAAAATAACAGGTTTGAAATTGAGGAAGGACAGCAAGCGATAGAGCAATGGAATTAAAAAGAAAAAAAAAACATATGCAGTGTGATATTAGGGAAAGCAACAGAAGAGATGACTGTTTTTGATACTATGTGTCTTCTATACATAGTATATGCGTTCTGTAGCTAGCTACCAAGCTAAATAACAATTTGTGATTTCTTGTACCATATAATGCTGACGTGACTTCTATTCTAAAAAGAATTTACTTACAAAGAAAAACATCAAGCAACTAATGAAAAAGTGGATGAACTATACAAAATTAGAGAAAAATGTTTTACTCACTTAATCTTATGAGCAGTCTCTGTCAAGCTGATACCATCCTGACCAGTAATAGTAGTGCGTCAGAACGGAACAAAATAAAGAGAGTAGACACGAATAAATTTAAGAACAGCAACGACAGTCATCACAAGTGGACTGGACAAAGGTTAGTGATAACTTCACATGCAAATCTTCTTAAACTGTTCTACTTCCTAATGTACTTCAAAATTAAACAAGAAGCTAAATGCACATCTTGAATTGCAAAACATTTTTATATGAATTAGAATATGATTAGTTACCATCGTGGCAGAATGTTAATAATCCTAATCTGAAGTTATGATTGTCACTTAAGGTATACCGAAAACCATATGAGACAGTGATCCCAATTCTGTTCGCCTTTGCATGCTTTTTTGGTTAAAGCACTTGAGATGTTGTTCAGAAACAATAAATAAAGAGTTGCAGATAACTAATTCACTCAGTGAAAGAGATTAAAATGAAAAGGTGCTGTTCAGAAACCATAAATAAAGAGTTGCAGATAAAACTCATTTCACTCAGGGAAATAGATTAAAAGGAAAAGGTTGTGCAACTTGGCAGCAATTTCTCCGACAATCTAAAAGGCAGATTGATGTTCAGCTAGAGAGGAACAATCAACAGAAAGAAGGAAAAAGAATGTTAAAGAAACAAGAGCCTGTTAAATAGGAGTCCAAGTCCTTGTTCATAGCTACAGGTTTATTCCTCCTCAGCACTAGCATGGCATGGTACTGCCAAACCATCTAGTTTCAAATACCATGTAGTTTCTTTCTTCATTATGGAACAAACACCTCCCATCCCTCACTGATATCTCTTTCAATAATGTGCCGCCAAATCACATAAAAATAAAAAGTAGTGATTGGCAAAGTATAATCGGATATATGTATCAACAAGCTCAGCCTTTAGATGAAGAAAAAATACCTTTTGTGCCAAGTCACGGTAAACTTCACCAATGTCATTTGATGGATAAATAACTCTAGACCTGCCATTATAATATGTCTCACAAACAAGAGCAAACAAAAACTCAAAGAATATTGTAAACACAATAATATCTTATCTTACCCAGACAAAGGTAGAAGTACGTCATCAATGGTATATGTACCAGATTTAAGGTCTTCTTCATTTATTACCTGTCAAACAGAAAATATCGCTCGACTTAATAAGACAGATGAGAACTGCTCACAGGAAAAAAGCAAAGGTATGAAACAACTACGCCTCAAGACCAGGCAATGCGAGGAAACTCATTATAGGAAAGGCACCACAAGAGCGGAGTTTTTTAACCAATTTAACTTCTCCCAAACCTCTTAGGAACCTCAGTAAGAACCAGGCATGAGAGTGAAGCCACTAGGTGTACTTTTTAACATTTAAATTAATATAGACGCCTTTTTAAACAACAGAAAAGAACTACTTCCCCCATATAATAAGTAACAGATAATTGATAATCATGCAGAATATATAGCAAGCTAACACCATCAGGTTCACCATACAACTGGATAGATGGTGGTCATGCAGGTCACCAAGTTGCATTTGCATCCTCCTCTTTTTCAGTTATATAGGGATTTAGGTAGCAACATGCAATTAGAACATATAGGAGAGAAGTATTGAAAATACCCCTGAACTTGGCGTGAATAGTTCAGGGATGAAACTAATAATTCACCCCAAGTTTAAGCGTGTTCTCAATTACTTCTCTCAAAATATAGAGAACTTCTAATACTTCTTATTTTGTAAAATGTTGGCCTGAAACGACTTTAAATGGCAAAACATGGTCATTGAGGATTCATACAGCCTACCCCTTCTTGTTTGGGACAGAGGCATAGTTGCTGCATAAACATTTGGGCATTTAGCAGTTGGCCCGCTTAAAATCAAAATGCAGTAAGCCACTAACCATCCTTGCAAGTAAGTTCATGATATGATATACCACCTGCTTTAGAGCACCCTGTAATTCTGAACCCTAATGGTAACTTTACCAATCAAATGAAAAATCAAAGTGATTAGGATGTATCCCTTTCATTATTTCATTTGGACATATTCTATAAAACATACTATCAGGGAGGAACATTTGTACAAAATTTGGGATTGTTTTGAGCTTTATCAAGCTAAAGACCCAGAGAGTGAGCTAGGTAGCTAAAAGGTCTTTTGTTTAATCTAATTAGGGGTTCTTGTTACTATGTCCTTGGAATATGAAATGTGAACTCTGCATTGAGGTGGAGGGAATACATATGAACCCATCTGCCATGCAAAGATTTTCATATTAACTCTTCACTTAGAAATTTAGAACAGCTCTTGTACTTGGATAATCCAGATACCAACCTTGACTGGTATATTTCTTTCTTCAGGAAGATCAGTCTCTGAGATCTCATCCAGATTGCTATAATCATCCATATTATTGTCATTCACGTCTTCACATTCAGCAACAAAAGATTCTTTCACTTTATAATCTTCTTTTGAATACACCAAATCTCCCAACACAACTTGGTCAAACCCTATGATATGGGGCAATGAAAATGTATGAGAATCGGTGGCACACCGAAGCACCCATGAGTACATTCTGATCAACATATATACGGAAAAATAGTTAATAGAAGTTGAATAACGCAAACCATGCTTTTGCACTCTCATGCTTGCCGCATGGTTCCAAAGATAACTTTGATAGCTATGAACATACCTAAAAAGGAGAAGATCTGTATTATTATAAAAGCTCAAACTTGAAAAGTTATGCATGACTCTTTTCTGTACTCCCAATGCTTTAAGGCCCTAAAATCTCATGATCAATTGACGTTTATGGCTTTACACTCTTGGAAGCAGGTAAGAAGCAGTAGAGTTCTATGAAACTGAATAGCTTTTCAATTACTAGAATGTTTCACCTTCTTTAATTCCACAATTCTCGTTTAAAGTTGAGCCAATGGTTTCACAGTATTTACCTTAAGACCCATTGAGTTACCGCATTGAACTATACTGTCAGAGGTCTGATATATAAACAGAAAAAGTAAAGGATTTTGGGATCATACAGCACTAGAGAAGTTGAGCACAGAAATTTTTTTCAAGAATTTACATACAAGTAATTTCAGAAGGGTTTCTTCCTGAAGTGTTCGTCAAGCATATCTTTCAGGCACATCCTTGTGGAGGGTATAACTAGAAGGATCTATCAAATCAAGGGCTCTGATAAACAAGCCCGGCATACATACTGAATTTGTTCGAGGGAAAGGATGCAAGAGGAAAAGGTGATCATAAGTTGTGATTATCTTTGTTGAATTTTCCACAAGGATTTACTTTCCCAAGTTGCAAAAAGAGAGATTTCAAAAATGGAAACACAAGAAAAACAACTAAGGGCCTTAGTGTAACAACCCTAATTTAATTAGTGGTTATTTGGTAATTGGGTTCACCTGACCAGTGGTGTGTGTTTGGGTATCAATCACGTCTAGAGGGTAGTTTGGGATGTGACTCTTAGACTATTCACGTCTTTTTCATGCTCATGCGTTTTCTCTTTTCCTTGTTGGGCAGAGGGGTGCGTGAGGGATGTGCAAAAGCCTGGGGAGGAATATATCTTTCTAGATGAAGTTGCCTTATGGTGACACCCGTCTAGCAAGCGGATACCTAGTATGGGTAGAAATAATAACAGCTTTAGCAGCTTTGACTTGAAACTAACAGTAGTTCAACAAAACTGAGAAGCAGGCACACTGACCCCACTATTTCAGAGCTGATAACTCAACGTCTTTGAAGCACCTTGATCAGAGAGCTCAGGAAAAGGATTATCAAAATGCAAATCTCACGTAGATCTAACGCAAAGACTCAAAAGAAATGACTAGGAAGAATGAGTTGCATGTATTTGCACTTTATTTTTTCACCTTTCAATCACTAAATTTCAGATAAATATGTAAAGTACAAGAAAATAGTGAATCCTACTATGAAGACTTACATCATTCGGAGAGTCCTGGGTATGGCCTTCAGAGCTTGTAGATAGTTTCCAGGAGATCTTTTCAGGCTCTGCAACTGTATAATGTTGATGGGAAACGTCAATTGAAGAATATAAACACACAATCTCATATCACAAATAATGCTTAATTATAAAAAATTTGGAACAAAAATATGACCTGCTCTATCCCAGAGAAAGTCAAATACTTTGGAAGTCAAGGACAGCACAAATAATGCAAAGCAAAAAAAAGAATAAAAATAAATTAAAATTTTAGCCAAACTTGGATTATTGCAAGTTTTTAAATGGTGACGCTCATCATGAGCAAAACCTTAGCTTACTTTTGGGATGTCGGACTTAAATAGGTGTAATAATAGAGGCTTGACTTCAACTTCCTTTTTTTTTTTGGAAATTACAGATAATAATTAAAGGACTCAAGTGTGGGATAAATTTAATGTTGTTACACTGGAACTTACAATTGCCTTTTCAGCAACCAGATAACGAGGTAACTGCCTTAGAGTCCCATCAATGTCACCACTTTCCTTGTAATACTCCCTTACTGTACTGATGGTATTCTTCTGTATTCAAGGTTAAAGCTAAGGAGAACAATTACTTCTTACAGGCACACATAATACAGAATATTTTTATTAAAAATGTTGGGGAAGAGGACTTTCATGTTTAAGAGTTGAGAGAGAGTGGAAAAAAAAAGCAAAATAATGGATAAAGTGAAATAGCAAAGGATATCCCCTTCTCTTGGATCAAGAATCAAGCTGACAGCAGCTTTCCATTCTCCACGCAATAATGCAGCTCCAATTAGATGTGTTGGCACAGAACTGCTGCCAAACCGCTGCATCATTTGCATAGACAACAAGATGAACATGGCCATCAAATTCATGACAGATTGGTGACTTTCACAGTTTCACTTGCCAATCAAAATAAAAACTCAAGCTTAGCAATAAAGGAGTTCCATATTTTATTTCCAATTAAGAACTTCACTAAATCCCTCGTCAAAATCCGAAGAGAAATGAAGAGCCAAGAAAAAATGAAAGAATATCATGCAGCCAACCAACAATGACCAGAAAATATTATTAAATGTGAATCTTGATCTACCTTGATTTTGTTGAGTACGGGCTTCTTGTTAGTGATTATGATGACATGCAATGCACGACTAAAGATAAGCTCAAGCAAGCAGTAATTTCAAAATTGTAGCTCACATTTACCCCACATACTGACATACTTATGAATTAATTAAACAATCTGGGAACCAGAAGTGTATATGAACAAGATATTGGAAAACGAAGTAAGGAAGATCATAATGAGTTTTTCCTAAAGTAAAATAAGGTCGGAGGTCATTCCAGGAGTCTCTTCTTTTTTCAATGAGAAGGTAACAAAATTTTATATATATTCACTACCCTAACTCTAGAACAGTCACAAGAAGTAATTAAAATGCACAGGACAAAGAGTTCCCAACCCTCTTAAGTTTCACAATAATTCTAAGACACAAAATAGCCTCTGGATCTTCAAAGTTAGCCTCTGTAAAAGCTCCTCTACTGAGACTCTTCCGAAGTAAGTTACCATTTTCAAAAAAAAAAAAAAAACTCTTCCGAAAAACAACAAATGGAAGGCCTAGACTGGATTTAAAGAAGAGTTAACTTAACCACCAAAACCAAGATAAAAAGATCTGCATATTACGACGTACCTGTAAGCCAAAATAGTTTATAAACCCATGTTTTCCAAGGGCAACTGCTGATGCTTTAATTATATCCTCAGACTCTGCTGACACTCCCCTGTAAGGATTTCAGTTCCAGCCGATCATATAACAGGTCATACAATCAGCAAACTTTACAGCCATAATTCAAAAGAACAAGAAATATGAGCAAAGAGAGGAAAATAACATTCATTTCCAATCTGGAGCCTCACAAGAATGGACAAATGAAATATTCAAACATAACTATACCTGAGTGTTATAGTAAATCGGTTCCCATAAAGCTGCCCAAGCAGAAGCCCTTCTTTAACATGGCTGTAATATCAATACGTCAGAAACATTTTACATCAAAGAGAGAGAGAGATTGTCATAAGACCAAAGAACACAGACGCGTTGATCTCACCAAAAGTCACCAACTTTGATACCAATCAATCTTTTGTTGAGAGCTGCTAATTTACTTGCTTGTTGCTTGAAAACGGTTACCTATATCGTGAAAATGTGAGAGCTTAGTGACAGAAAGAGATATCACTAAATATGTATACGCACATTGAAAAGGAAAAAAAGGTGCTGTTGTGTGAAATAGAGTTATCTAGATGAAGGACAACTGATACACCAAGCATTGTGGCGCACAGCTGGTTTGAAACATTTTTTCTGGTCAAAACAGATGTGAAACTAGCAAAAGTAGCAATTATCAGTTCATAAAATGGATGGATATCAACCTAAAGACAGACAGACGAATTGAGAGATCATTGCAAAACCTGGAAAATCATGACTATAGTGGTTAATAAATATTACCAGCTTAGAATTTGTTGAGTTTTAAGTATGTCCAGACAAGTGATAGCAGTGTTTTTGGAACCGCGAAGCAGAAAAAAGTGACAAGGTTTTGCTTTGCTTTAAGCATGAAGCAGGAAACAGAGTGCACTTCATTGAAGCGAAGCTTAATTTTTCACAAATTTAAAACTAAGAAGCGCTATACCCTCGCTTTGCTAGCTTTTTACAACTCGAATGACAGTGGGGGTAAGCGAAAAAGAGTTTCGGGCCATAGACAGTCAAAGAGCAGATTGGTCAGCACAAAGTAAACAAAAAGGAGAAGATATTAAGGAATGCTACCTTGAAAGCTAAATGTTAGCTAGTCTCCATACAACACCAGAAAATCAACAAAACTTTTACCAGAAACCACAGAAACCAACTACTATTCCACTCTGGTTGATTAAATCATCAGCAATAATACTACTAGTCCTACAACTACGTTTTTTTAAAAAAGAGGTAGTCCTACATCTACTACTACTAACTAATAGGCAAATTTCAGTATTGTGATTTAAGAGAAGTTAGAATGCAAGAAAAATCATGAAAACACTAGAATAATAGCATAAGCACAATTCAGAAATTCTGTGTCAACTTACTGGACAAAACTTTTAAATAAAGTACCATAAAAGCATGATAAAGCTTTAGATGAAAAGCATCTTTAGACAGAACCCAAACCAACATGCTCAAACATGACCATACCAAAAGAAATCATTTCCTTCATTTTTTGCAATTGTGATCCCCCATCATTCTCTTTTCTCAAACAAGAAAAAGGTCTTATTCACTCAACATGGCGTTGGAGCTCCAAAGTTGCTAGCAATTGTGTTTATTAAAGATTAGAACAATAACAATATAATTAATATAATCCCACAAGTGGGGTCTGGGGAGGGTGGTGAGTACGCATCCTTGCCCCTGCCTTGAGAAGATAGAGAGGTTGTTGCCGAAAGACACTCAGTTCAAGTATTAAAGAGAAACACATCGACATCAAAAAGTTGACCAGATGACAAACCTATTAATTTTTACTCCTCAACAAAGATGCAAGTAAATAGCAAAGAAAGAAAAAGATGACCAGAAAACACACCCTCTGAGTTGAAACAGCACGCTTATCTTTAGTACCAGCAAATCCAAAGGACCTAAGCTGCCAGATCAACCATAAAATCAATCATATACATATTGTCTTACAACTTTTATATATCAAACTGTCGATAATGCATAACTGGTACTTGTACGTCGCAACACACATCTGACAGCAATACGAACACTGGATGAAGTGCTTCCTTATATTTCTTGTTTAAACTCAGGTATCCATTAGAAAAGCTAGAAAACATATGCAAGAGAATACTGGTTTTGAAACTGAACGAAGTAAGTTCAATCTAGGAAATTGCATGTCACCAACCTGAACGCCAAGCATCTTTGCTATAACGTTTAAAGCTTCCTGTGTATCCTTATTCTCCTTGAAAAGATGAAACCTGAAATTTAGATTTTGCAGCAACAACACCCTTTCAGATACTATTCAAGAGCAATATGATGTTAAACAAGGCCATGGTTTCTGAAACCATGAAGGATAGTGAAAAATATAAGAAATTTATCAAAAAAGATTATTAAGATTTTTTTTTATATAGCAATCAGAACATTAAATTTAATGAGTAAGATAAAGAGAAAATTCAGTTCATAGATGTCAAAGATTTTATTGTATGGTCTAAGTAAGGAAATCAGAATTTACTACATACTACATAACATTTACAGCACAAAAAGAGTAAGAAATTAATGTTGTCCTGTTTCACTGAATCATATTTGTCTTCATCCCAACGAACATATGTATACTTCTCTTGCCCGCAGAATGGATAAATAGGAAAACCAAAAGAAAGAGAAATTCAGCACTCAAGCTTGTTGCTAGAGTGGAGACAACCTTCCAAAGGCATACTCCTCTTAATAAATTGGATGATAATCCGGCCTGCTTGGATTGCAACCAATCGTCATTGTTAAGAAAATGATTTGTGGGCTTGACGCAAACCCAAAAGCTAGCTCATGGTGAGGATTACCTAAGACGCTTCAAGAAAATGACAGTTCATTTGCTCAACCAATGTGGGTCACTCAAACATCTCCCTGCACACTCCAGATTGAACATCTAGCGCATGGGTAACATGATAGGTGGGCCCGATTCCAATATTGAGTGAATCAAGAATAGATATAGATCCTGCTCTAATATCATTCTTTGTAAATACCGAAAAAGTTTTAAATCCCTATAATTGTGTAATCAGGAGAGAAATTAGTTTTCTTGATTACTTGTAAACACCATTCAACTCTCAACATGTTTGAATAAACAAGCAAGCACTACATTCCTTGACTTCACATTCTTCACCAACATCACATTCTACAACATTAAATATCAGAAGAATGATCATTCAAATTCTTAGTAACTAATCATTACTTGGAAGTTGAAACATATGAAATAGGAGATTGTTCCATAGAGGTGACATTACACTGCATATAGTATTAAAAGAAGACATTCACTATAGCAGTTCTCTGAAAATAGGAGATTGTTCTAGACTATAGCAGTTCCATGAAATAGGAGATTGTTCTAGAATATAGCAATTGCAGTCACTCACTAAAGATGTTCGCCTTAGTTTTAGAATGGTGATGGGAAAGAGGTGAGTCATTTTACAAGAGATTCATGGTCTTACACCCCCACGAATGGATAATGATCTTTACTTTGTCGTATAAATTAAAATGAATGGGTAAAAGATATAGGAGTAGAGAGGGTAGCCAACCTTTACTAGTAAAAGAGCTTCTTGTTGTAGCACTCAGTGTGCTAGCATTTAGCAAAAGGAACAGAGATTACTAATTTATAAAAGTTATTAGCAACTGGAGGAATCAAAATTGACTGGATCTGTTGATATGCTTACAAAATTAATTGTTATGATCCTTACATGAATAATTGGATTTTGCTTGAGAATCACTTTGTACATGCTTCTTTGACACCCTCTTGGAGAGTTGTTTGAAGTATCACTCAAAAATAGTTTGACTACGCCAAAATGTATTACTGAGAGATTCTTCTTTTCCAGATTATTTGACTTCTCTATGTAGTTAATTTATAAGACTATACCTTCAGAACATACTCAGTAGTCCAACAAATGTGCAGTATGGAATTCTTGAAAGAAGAAAATAGAGACCATTAATCTTTCCTTGATAACTAGAATACCTATCTTTGTATGTGATGCAAAAATCCACACAGAACACAATAAGCTAAAGATGCATCAAAGCTGTAGATTTGTACGAATAAAGTTCCTTCTCAAAAAAAAATCTGAATTAATAAGTAGAGACAAATGCAACAACTAGAGTTTACCTGAGGAACTTGCCAAGATGTCCTGGCCAACTGTCTGAACCTCTACTGTCATAACGTTTATCATTCCGGTCTTTCCTTTTCCTAGAGTATCTACCCCTTCCATTATTCCTGTCGTTATTCAATCTCACACGAACACACTTTGATTGGTCCTCTACTCCATCAATTGTATCGGTTACAAGGAATTTTAATCTTTCCTTGAAAAAGTTATGAATTTCCTGAAAAGTATTAACATATCAGATATAGGATACTTCCAAAGGGAACCATATGAAACCAAAAGAAACAACGAACGAGCACGTGATAAGGACTAACAGTCCGATGGGATTTATCTGAACTTGGTGAAAGGACGATGGATTCATCACTGACATCGGCCCCAGAATTAAGTTCATCAATAAAAGCTTTAAGCTTGTCAGCATCAGAATTGCCAGCGAGAGATCTGAAAGATTCTATCTCAGTCACATAACTTCTATTCAGTTGGTCAGATATATTCACGTCCTTGTTCTCTGAACACTGGAGAGAGAGATTGGCACATATCATACAACAATTTTAAATGAACATAGAGGTTACTTAGAAGAAATTACGGTCAACTTATCACCTCCTTTGGAGCCTCCAACGAATTCAAATGAACAACATTTTCATCTAAGTCCACTTCATTTACAATGAAGTCAGAGTACCTAGAAACAAAACAAAACAACCACAAAGATAAAACAACCACAAAGATGAACCTATTTTCCTAAAATAAGCAAGACAATTCCACAAACCTGGCTGCAGCTTTCAAAAATGCCCAAACAATTTCAAACTAAACAGTTTGTACCTTTAATTACAGCACACTCATTGTGGATATATAAACAGAACCACAAAACAAAAGTTGCTTGAATTATCAAGAACATGCATATAGATTTCAACATTGAAAATACCTCAAGTTTATGACTTCTAAAATATTTTGTTTAGATGGTAACTGTCTTTGTATATGTATCGATCACACACTTTAATAGGACAAGAAAACACTGGACTCAAACTTTCGTGTTACAGAAAATGCAATTCCATCAATGGGTGGTATAACAAATCAATATGAACTTAAATTTTTTACCCAAAAGATGAAATTTCACGTCTAGGCATTCTCAAGTAATATAAACCACATCTCTAAATGATCTCCAATGTTTTACTCTAAGACCAATATAAACAGAGAAAGAACAGAATTCCCAATTTAGCTTCCCTCTTCAAAGAATTCCCTTTACATGTGTATTACTCAATTTACCAAGTCCAAATAATGATACACCCCATTTGACAACACATCCCAATGCAAATACATACTCATTATTTAGGCATTCCCAAGTGATATAAAACCACATCTCTAAGTGATTTCCATCAATTTAATCAAAGACTTGAGCAATCAAGAATTAGAAAGAACACATTATGTAATCAAGAATTGGGATACAAAGAAAGAACACATTCTGTAATCAAGAATTGGGATATAAATTTGGAATATTTCCCAACTTATCTTTCCTCTTCAAGAATTGGGATAAAATAGGTTTCCCAACTCATCAAGAATATCAAGAATTGGGATAAAATAGGTTTCCAACTTATCTTTACTGTATAATCAATTGCACCTGCAAATACATAACCAAGAAACTGTCGCAGAAAAAAAAAAGAAAAGACCTTTGCTTGAGAATGCCACGAAAGCCAGGGAGGTTGGAAATGTAGCAAGAGATACCCACATCAGATTCATCCATAGTTTTCATAGTATCAGGCAAAAGGGTGTTTTCAAGATATCTGTAGTAGTAGGGTTTAAGAATGTTAGGCAAAAGGGTTTTTCTTAGTAGCAGATGATGATGACGCCTGAGTTTTGAACAAAGGGTTTTTAACATTAGTAGAGAAACCTAAGTACACACACAAAACTCAACAACTTATTTTATATAATATAGAGTGTGTATAAATTATACAAGTATAAAACGGTTAATAAGACCGTTAAATAAATATGGAACAAATAAAATGAAATAGAGAGTATAAATTACATCAATATAAAATGGTTCAACTTGTATAAATATAAAATTTAAATTTGTATTTTATAATTATAGTTTGTATAATTGCGCTCCATAGCAGAGCACCAGATTGTATAATTGGCTTGCTTCTTTTCAAATTTATATAACTTCGCTGGCTGGCAGATCATTTATATAAATTGTTGTCAGTCTCTCATTTGTATAAATCATTGGCAACATCTCAATTCATTTTTATGTGTTTTTATATTTGCATAAATTTTGAATTTGTATACAATTGAATAGAAATAAAACGTTTGTATATCAAATCTCTCTCTCGCGCAATTTATACAAACACAAATTATACATTGTATTTTGTATAATTTGTATTTGTATAAAGCGAGAAAGAAAGAAAGGCAAACGAGAATTGGCCAACGTATTATTTGTATTGTATAATTATAAGTGTATAAGACGAAGACATATGTATTCACATGCGTATATATAATTTTCTCTTACTTTATACAAACGAAAACGCAATTTAGACATTTCTATTTGTATAAAACGAGAGACTGATGAGTAGATATAATGACGAGCGAGAATTTTAAAGAGAGAAATAACTGACAACAATTTGCTACAGCCACGATTAAATTAAACTATAATTATAATATTTAATTATTAATAACTACTCATTATATATAATTTTTCCTTAATTTTAATTTTGTACGATGATACTTATTTTTTGTCTTTAATTTACATAATAATAACTTATTATATAAAGTTATAAAAAGAGAAGTTGCAAGGGAATTTATGTATTAATTACAAATTTAATAGAATGTGATAAAAATAACAGGAGTGGTAGTTAATTTAATAATAAAAATGTTCTTAAAATTTATGCATTTAAAATGATCTTTATAAATAAACTCATTTTAAATATAAAATTTATAATCTTAAAAATAAATCACCATTACACTAAGATGCATATAACTCGAATTTTTGAAATATATACTACTACTTTTTAATGCATGTTGCTTTTATCAGGTGCAACTTTAATTTTATTTTTATTTTTGTGTGTAGTGCTAATTTAGTATTATATTTGTAAATATTTTCAAGGGCCGTAGTTCGGATTAATTTTTTATTTGATATTTTTTGTTAAATCACAGTTTTCATAATTCAGATATGATAAAATATTCCTTTTGGACTTAAATAAGTGTTGATTAGAATAACTAATGACATATTTTAGAGAACTTAATGTGTCTTTAAATTCATATTATTAGTTAAAATATCGCATAACATAAGTAACAATTCCAAAAATTGACATATTATGATTGATAGTTATAAATCTAAAATCAAATCTGAAAGTAATGAACGAACTTCAAATTACATATTTTTCATGGAGTTATGCTATTTAAATTAAGCCAATCATCATGCAATACATATACAACTTCGTTGATAAGATTTAATATATATATATGTACACTTCCTTCATCTGGTCTTGTTTGTCATGGTTTCTATTTTTAGAGTCAAATTATAAAAACTTTGACTAATATTTTAAGATGTATTTTTTTATCATACTAATATGCAAAAAATTGTAATTATAGTATTTTTCATATAGTTTTAAAATATTAATTTTTTTGTTTAAAATATAAAATTATGTAATTTAATTTACCTTTAAAAATTAATCAAATTAATTTTTGATAAGCATAACATGACAAATAATTTGAAACGGATAGAGTATAATGTTAACTCTTGATACCAAAGTGTGTGCGGTTTAATTGGTCAAGTGTTATTGAACCGCTAGACATAATTTTTTTGCTTATACATTTTAGGTGGTTCAAGTTGTTTAGTATATTTTTTTCTTTCTTTTGCTTTTTAGTTTTTCTTCTCTTTATACTTTATACATATAAAAAACAAATTAACACTATTACTTTTTATGAAATTATTTTCAAAATGAAAAATATAATTTAATATTTTTTTATTTTATTGAAAAAAAGGGTATAATAGTATACGTAAATTATCATATATATGTGTGTGTTAAAAGTGACACGACTTATAAAAAATTTACGTACATCACAGCATATACAACAATCAATAAGGTGATGAACATATCTCATAACAAATATGACTTATTAACAAATGATATCAAAATATAATTCATAATAACATATGAATTAATCTACTAAGTTTATGAAGATTTTTATGAATCACATAATGTGTACAGGTAGAAGACAAAGCTAAATAAATTTTAAAGGAAAAGGACAATAAGTATCACCACTAAATAAACAATAATAATAAGAATAGTAGAAATGCTCATTATTTATTCTTCAATATATTAAAATCAATGATAAGGCTTATTAAAACATAAATAAAATGTCAAAATTCATATAATTATTTCAAATCAAAATGAAATGTTATATAAGTGTACGACCTACCCCAAACTTTATTAAAAACATATATACTCTTATGCGTTACATTTATATCATAATTTCTTAGAGATTTTGTCATTTTATAATGCATATATAATGAGCTTCGATTGATTAAAATAACAATTATTTAACATAACATGGATATGGAAAAATAAAAATGACAATCTTAACATTGTGGTATTATATTATTTAAAATAATTTATAGTAACTATTATCTAAACGATTTGATATTTAACCATCTTTTACATATAAATTTTGAAATTATGACATCATTAAAGTCAATAGAATCTATACATGTAAATTTTTGATGATAAAATTTTTAAAAATAAAATATTCGAACAAAGAATTTAAATCATATTTAATATATGAAATTTATACAAAAACTAAATAAACACACATATATGAGTAAAAGATCGAACATTTTTTATAAAAACTTACATTATAAGGAATTAACATAATATTCTTCGACATACAACATATTAACAAGTGCTTTATAACTAAATAGCAAACACGTACATGTCTCAAAATAGATATATTCAATAAAAAAGAACAATTCATAGAGCAAAACTGAAATAGATATATTCAATAAAAAAGAACAATTCATAGAGCAAAACTGTTTAAATAATTATTGTCAAACATGTATATTTTTATTTATTTATGAGAAAAGACATAAATAGACCATCGAAGTTGTCCCATATTTGCATAATCTCATCACCCCACTAAACAACTATATATCGTTGTAAATTAGCCATTTTTACCCATTAACTCATCTGGGTTGTTTACACGCATGTTAGGCGCGTCATGGGCCATTTTTCCTTTTTATTTACCAGTTTAAAACAATCACATGTCATTTTCTTTCTTTAATATTAATTGTTTAATCAATTTTTGTATCTTCACCAATTTAAACTCAAAAATAGCCTTTGGTAGCCCTAAAATTTTGATTTCCATGGCAAGAACAATATTGGTTCTCTCTTTTTGACGACTTCATCATCTTCCTCAAGAAAATAAGGTAAGAATTCGTCTTTTCTCTTTTAATTTCCAGTATAAACGTTAATTTGAAGTTTTTTTATGGTTGAATTTCTTCTCAATTTTGTGGTTAGTTTTTGATTGAAAATGTCAAATGCAATGTTGAATCGTATTTGTAACAATGGCAACTGTAGGAGGTCGATTCTAATACTTCTACACTATAATAATCCATAAAATCAGAATAATCCAAAAAAAGTGAAGATTTTAGATCCCTAACATGTTAGACCTTCAATCTCCAAGAATCTTCACAAATACACATCAACAACGATCAACAATGATCAACAACGAGATTGTCAACAACAACACTGTGTATTTCGTTTGATTTTTTAGGAAAAAGTTGAGAAATGAAATGAAAAGGAGTTCACAAATTTTCTTTAAAAAAAAAGGTCGGGTCGAGTTACCTAGAGAGTGAGCAACACGCGCATTACATAGACGACGAAATGAGTAAAAATGGTCAAATTACAACGATATATAGTTGTTTAGTGGTGTTATAGGACACTTTAAAAGTTTAGGTGTCTTTATGCAAATATGGGACAACTTCGATGGTGTCTTTATGTCTTTTCTCTTTATTTATTGTAAAATAACTTATGCATTATTTGTTTTTGTTTAACAATTTATGTATTACTTTATTTTAGGAAAAATTATATATAATAGCAAACTAATAACCTAAAATAAATTGAGTAGTTATGGTTTGATTTAATTGTGCTTTATATCAAACGTTTGCAAAAAATTGTCAGGCGACTCTCTCCCAAATATCTCGTTCGCCACTCTCCTCCAATCTCTCGCTCGCTTCCTCACTTTTTATACAAACACAAGTGTACAAAAATTGTTTCTAATTGTATAAAGCAGAGAAAATTGTATAAATACATATATTTTTGTTCCTCTCTCTCCCATCTTCCAGACCTCGCTCGTCACTCTCCCAAAACTCGTTCGCCACCCTCGTCTTTCTCACTTATACAAACAGAAGCTAAATATATAAATTGCGTTTCTGTTTGCATAAAGCGTGAGAAAATTGTATATACACATGTAAATACATATATTTTCGTCCTATACACTTATAATTATACAATAAAAATACTTCCCTGCTCAGTTTCTTTTGTCTTTCTCGTTTTATACAATTTTCAAATTGCATCTAATTTCTCTTTTTTTCATTTTATACAATTTGATTCAATTGTATATTCCTTGTCTAGTCTCTTTTGTCTTTCTCTCTTTCTCATTTTATGCAAATTCAAATTGTATATAATCGTTCTATACACTAATAACAATATAATTCGTTTTATACACTTCATTTTTATACTGTTCTCTGTCCCAAGTGTCTTTCTCTTTCTTGTTTTATATACTTCGTTTTATACAATTTGCTTCAACTGTATATGTACAACGAATTATACAGTTTCTACGTTTGCTATGAAGCGCAATCATGTAAGCTTTGATATTATAGCATATAAGTATAAATTTTTTATCCGCTATATGTGAAAGTTGCACATTATTTTATACATAACAACAATCACTATATTAATTATTTTAAATATAATTCATGAGTTACAAACCTTATATGACTAAATGTCCTTTTTGTAAACAACTTTTTTTCATACCGATATTGCATATAATTTAAATCTTTAGACGTAACTTTGTCTTAATTTTTTTTTTTTACATATCTTTTAAATATTTGATGGTATTCATGAGTAATTTTTACTTTTTAAGGGACTATTTTAGGCATATATTAAAATCATGGGAACAATTTGATGAAAAAAAAATATATATCAAGAAGAGTCCATTCTAGTATACAAAGGGTCCAAGGTAAAATCTACACTTCATCAACAAGAGTAACGCTGTGTGAAAATTTGATCAAGGTTTGATTTCTCTAATTACGCGATTATCAATTATCCATACAATGTATTGATTATATCATGAGATTTCGTTGTAGCTTTATGATTGATTGCTTCTATCTTATAGTATGTGAATTTGGGATTAGGGTTTTGTAATTTGCAACCTTCTTACTGATTTTTTCTGTTTAGTCATTTATATGCAATGTAATTTGTGGGCTGATGACTAAAAGGGGGTTAATTTTTGGATTTTTTTCAGACCCATCTTGTTTTCTAGAAGAATAAAGTTATTTTTATGCTCAAATAATTGTTTTACTGATTTTGGTCAAGAAAATCCTTTCAAAGAATGTCCTTCAGAACAGAAATCATTTTTTTGGGAACTTATAATCACTATATAAATGAAAAGCATCAAACTTGAGTAGCTAATCGACATTCGTGTTTATGTTATGCCCTGTATTTTGTTTATGGTGATTATCTTGACATGGAAACTGATGAATTTAATTGACTTGAATATTTTTGTTTGATCATTTATTATTTAGTTATCAAATCTAGGACAAGTGTATTAATAAATGTTGCTGGGACTCTTCAAAACTGCCAACGGATGCGTGTCGGATTCGCCAAAAGTAGTGTATTTTTAAAGAATCCGAGACAGGTGCGGCATCAAAAGTGAGGAGTCCGTGCATTATTCATATTTAGTCCTGATTTGAAGCTAGGTTCACATTGATTCTATTGACACAGAATGTAGCAAGTGATTGCTTAGTAACAAATAACATTCACCTGATGACCAAACTCGTGGTCCAATTGAATTATGGTTTTAGAGACACTAAAGTCATCAACAAGCTGTCATAACAGGTCTTGTTATCAGATACCGTTGCTTGTGTAGTATGTCATCTTGTTCTGTAAGTATCTGCATGTGAATAGAAAACAGTTATAATGTGTAAGGTCTGTCACTGGTAAAACTAAACAAGATAAAACACGTAAACCAGTTGATGTATCTAGAGAAAGAATATGTTAAAAATTCTTTGTGGGGGTAATTTCATTTGTTAATGGAAGTATGAAACTATTAGTTCCAAACTCCTAAAGTGTGTGTTTCAATATGATGCATTCTAACATTTAGACTGGTGTTGTTATTTGACAGCGGAACAGCTTTTGGTTTCAATAATGGATCGTGGAAAAAGGCCAGACAGATCTCTTACTGCGCCGAATAATAAGATGTATCTGGATCTTAAGGACATCATCAGGGAACACTCCCTTTCATTTCTTCCTGCCAAATCACTTTTCAAATTCAACGCTGTCTGTAGGGACTGGAAACTCCAGATTTCGAGTCCATTTTTTGCTCATAGTCAGTCACTTTTTTGTCGCAGTACTTCAGGCTTCTTTATCCATTCACTTGATGGTTCTCCTTCTCTCATACCCATCGACCCAAGCTTTTGTGGGGTGCCAGATCCATTCCTTAAGTTTTTGCCCGAGCCTGTTGACCTTAGGTCCTCCTCAAATGGACTGCTTTGCTGCCAAGGTCGTGCAGAGGACAAGGCCTACTACATATGTAATCCTGTTACTCAGCAGTGGAAGAAACTTCCAAAATCAAATGTGAATCACGGACCAGATCCAGCAATTGTGCTCATATTTGAACCATCATTGCTCAACTTTGTAGCTGAGTATAAAATTATATGCGCTTTTCCATCCACTGATTTTGCTGATGCAGTTGAGTTTGATATCTATTCCTCCAAAGCGAATTCTTGGGAAGTTGCTGGGGAGATCCATTTTGGAGCTAGAGCAACACGTATGCCAAAATCAGGGCTTCATGTGAATGGTGTTGTTTACTGGATGACCACTTCAGGTAGTATTCTTGCTTTTGATCTAACAAAGGAGAGGTCACAGCTCCTTCAAAACTATGATTCTCGTGGGATCTTGGGGGAGTATAGTGGAAAGCTCTGTAAGATGAACGTTTGTGGTAATTCAATCAGTTTAAGCATTTTGGATAATGTCCACACAAATACAATGCAGATGGGAAGCCAAACCAAAATGTGGGCAGTAAAACCGAAGGTTGTTCTTGACAGTAAAATTGTTGGGAATGCAGCGGGGGACTACACAGCTTTACATGTCGACAGTAATATGTTGGTGGTTCGGAGCTTGGGAAAAGCCTTTTTGTATGATTTCAAGTCTCGTGCAACAAAATGCATTCCTGGTGAATTTCACAATTCGAGATGCTTGCCCTATGTCAACAGTTTAGTCTCTCTCTAGTCTCTGCTTGAGCTGCAACATCCTTGTTTGAAATTTCTTTCATGATTAAGTATTTTGCCTATTTTATATTTCATGTTATTATTATTTTCAAGTGACAATGTAGGATTATATAATAGCAGTGAATATATTGAACATTCATAAATATTAAGTTTATTTCATAATTCTTTCAAGCTTTTTTCTGACTCTAACGTATATGTAGAGGATCAGAAGACCACAATTTCCACTCCATTGTATATGGATGCTTTTTATATTTTTATTTTTGTGTTTTCACTCTAGTGTTAATAGGAATGGAAAAATCAAACTCAATTTAAAATAATTCGCTCCTTAAAACTTTATAATTACTTCTTTTAATAGAAAGAATTTTGATTTTACTCCATATAATTTTTATACCATGGTTAATGTTTTACCCTTCCCCCATTATTTCATTAATTTCATTATGTTAATTGGTGTGTAGATTTTTTTGAAACAATAAATTTCATTTTAAGTTTTAAATTCATATTCTTTAGTTATACCTTTATTATTTTGAATATCAATAATATGTGTGCATTTTTAACTACATATTTTAAAGTAAGAATTTAAAATCATTTAGTTAATAATTCAATACCGTTTAATATTTATCAAATATTTATTTTACACTTAGTAAAATGATTTAATAATTTTGAAAAAGTCGTTAAATTAATAAACACTTGAAAATAATTTTATGAACAAATAATGAACCCATTTAAAACACGAGATTTCTGTACCTTAGTTTATATTATAGGAGAAATAAAAGGAAGTTATATCCTAGCGGGATTCTGAATGAATATCCTAGAAAAAAAAATTGGTTTGTTTCAGTTACTTGGGGTGGAAGTTACAAGAGAAGAAAATCTTCTTGTTAAATAAACCAACTAATTCGCGAAGAAACTACTCTGTTTTATTAAAAAACTAAAACTCTTTATTCCGGCAATTCATGTGAGTATTATGATTACGCATTGCAATTGATTCAATTTCTTTTGTCTTTTTGATTCTTTTATTCGTTTCAAAATTCGGGTTCAATTTTACATTGTCACTAACGCCGTGCTTTTAGATAAATGAAATCTTACATGGTTGATAGCTCTGATGAATGGGAGGATGATGGGATTTTCAAGGTATTGTTTTCTTCCTCGAAAACATACAGAGCCCAGCCTTGGATACAATTTTTTTCATGAGTCTAATTACTATACCTTATTTGTCTCGTCCTTTAAGACGGTTGCTATTGAGCGGGAAGAATCTGAATACACGGAGATCAAAGACCTGGCAAAGAAATATATAGTGCCTTTCCTTCCAGCTAAATCGTTAATGAAGTTTCGGGCAGTGTCTACGGAATGGAATCATTGGATTGTAACTTTCAGGCTATTTTTATCAAACAGTGGATGTTGATTTTCAATCTAATCCTGATTTTTTGTCTCTGGACCGTTCTGCGAATGGAGTTCCCAGTCCTTCCCTTCTTTTCTTGGTCAAAATTCTAAGTTCTAGCAGCGGTTTGCTCCTCTGTCAGGGGCTAGAGAATTATTATGTTTGTAATCCAGTAACCAAAGTTTGGAAACTCATCCCTTGTCATCAATATTATCATGGATTTGATCCATCTGTTGTTCTTGCGTTTGATCCTGAGGATAATATTGAATCGTATTATCACATTGTTGCTGCAGTCCCTCTTCTAGGTCAGCCAGTTGTCTTCTTTGAGATTTACTCGTCTCAATCAAATTCTTGGAAGCGTCTTCTTTGGAATGTCTTGAGTTAGAAGATACAAATCTTATTGGTGGAGGATTTTATATGAAGGGGGTGGCTTACTGGAATACAACATCAAATGAGGTGCTAGCATTCGATGTGAAAAATGAGATATCAACAGTCCTACATGTGCCTATTCCACCTGGGAGATATGGTTCCTTGACTCTGATAGAAGATGAGCTATGCTATGTAACGGCTTATAATGACGGTGGGGATGTTTTTGTATTAGATATCTATGGAGGAATGTACATGAGCCTGAAAAACAGTGTAAGCATAAATCTGGGACACAACAAGTCTTGGCGAGCATTTGAGAAAAATGCCTCTATTGAGAACAGTACCTTGTCGTGTAGCGTGCTACCTTGTTTTAACAATTCTGATGACATTGTGGTGATCTACACGGATGAAAGGATATATCTTTATCACTTGAGAGAGCAGAAGGTCAAGGATCTCAAGACTCCAAGACAACTAAATCCTCAGAGAAGATTCATACCTTATATAAACACCCTCGTTATGTTACATGAACTGAACAACTAGTGCCTTGATATTATTTCGGTTGCTGTCAAGTAGAATAGTCTCTCCTACATTGCTGCTGCTGCTTTGTTCCAAGTGAAATTGAACATTTTTCATGATTTTTTGTTTGTTGGAATTGGATGACAGAATTAGTACTAGCTTCTTTATTAAATAGATCATGTTTTGAATTGCCATTATTTCATTTGGACAGTAGTTTTGAATGTTTTTTCCTTCACAAATAACAATGGTTTTGGAGTTTTTAGTTATGGTTTACTGTATCAAACAAACAAGGCAATTCCCATCATCTACCTGGATGCAGAGAGCCCTGGTTAGCTCTGATGTGAAATGTCTTTTTATTTGTTGTTAAATTATAGGAATACTCCCAACTTGAGAATATTTTATTACAACTTAGGATGAAGATTTTGCCTTGGACAATGGAGAGGGATTCTTCTATCTTCTCATCTTTTCTTTCTTGTTTGATGTGATGACACAAAGCCTTTCCAAGGCCTCCATGAAATATTATTACTTGTCCACGCTAGTAAGGATATTTTGTCACAAATTTTTTGTTAATTAGCCCACTGATTTGAGGTCGAGACATTCATGTTTAAGTTCTCAAGTTCAAATCCCTTGCTAGCGAAAGCAAGGCTTGGGACATCCATGTTTAATGTCTCAAGTTCAAAATGTCTTGCCTAGCAGAAGTAAGGTGTACGCCAGAATCGTCATACCGGACTTGCCTTGCGAGCTGTTGTGCAGGAGGGGAAGCTTTACCTTGAGCGCATCAATAGTCAACTCTAGGTGGATGAAAGATGTTCTTTATATCGACCTAAAGAAATATAACTATCTTTGAGATATACAATTTATGCTTTATAGAAAGGACTTGGTTGTGCACCTGAAGGAGATTCTCCAGTTGGATACCTGCAAAGCCAAAATAAAATAAAATATAATTAAATCATTCTTTTTTTTTAAAAAAAAATTTACAAGTTTGCAAAACCGAAATAAAATAAAATAAAGCAGTTTTTTCTTTAAACCCTCTTTTAGTATCTTCTTCGTATTCTATATCCTCTCTTTTGGGCGTTTCTAGTTGGAAACATAGAAAGCCGAATTAGTCGAGATTTTCCACTCTGTTATGGCTATTGATGGAGAAAATTCGCACAATCTCACAGAGCACGTCAATCTGGTCCTAAAAAATCGAAGTCGTATGAGAAAAAGAAAGGTGTTTCCCAGGAAAACAATAAGCAACATGATCCCAAGGTACTCATATTCTTTAATTTTTATTTTAATTTTTAACTCTTTTACGCTATTCCTGACAGATATATTTAGGCAATAATATGTGTGATGTAAGTAATTTCAAAGTTTTAGTATTGATAATCGAATAGTTACTTCTTGGGACTTATGGGAATTATTAACTGTGAAGGAAAATAAGTTGCAAAAGCACATGTTTGCTTTGGTTAGATGCCATTCATTGTGTTTTAGATTTCATCTTCTTATGGATTATGCTATTATAGGTTGGGAAGTCACTGATAATTAATTAAGTCTCTTGTATAACTTTTTGACGGTAAAAGAGGAGAAAATTTTAATTTGAGATGTAACTCTCTTCTTTAGTAACAATAATAACATACTTAGTGTAATTGCACTAGTGAAAACTGGGAAGAATGGAGGGTAGGCATCCTTACTCCTGCCTTGTAAAGGTAGAAAGATTGTTTCATATATATCCTCTACTCAAGTAAATGCATAATAGCGATGAAATTGTTAATTTGATAATTACCTAACGTGCTTTAATAATATTATAATTCAATCAATTGAGTATATAGGATTTAGGATCCACTAATTGATAATATAAAACTTTAACTTAAAAGATCGGATTGATTGGTTAAAAGATAGAGAGATTTAATTACTATCGTCAGTATGCTTGATATGAAATGTGATAATTGCGCTTTTAATATCATTTTATTTATGGATGTTAATTCACTTATTACACCTATAATTATTTTTTTTACTTGATTATTATGTCATTTAATGGTGTAAAAATTTCATTTGTATGAAATGTATAATACTTATATGTAAAGAAAGAGAAATAAATATTCTTTCTTATACAAGTCAAATTGTTCAACCTTCGTAGTTACTTAGTATAAGAGCCGTCAAAATGGACTTGACCCTTGAGGCCTCTCCAGTCCAATTCGCTACTAGGAATTGTTTTTGTAAAGATTTCTCAAGTTCATTTACAATTGATGCTTAAAGCCAGCTCAAGTCAGTTCACTGGTTATTGAGCCTTGATCGGAGTTAGATTAAGGCCGTCTTGTGGGGCAATCAGGCTGAACCTTTATTGGTGGAGAAAGTGATAGTAATTTATTCCTGAGAGCATTCATGAAAAGCTAGCTCCTACTCTTCCTTCTTTTCCTAAAGGCTATTTAATTTAAATTAGAAATTTAAAAGAAGATTGTCAAAAAAGAGAGTAAAATACTAGGAATAACGATTTTAGAATTTGTTTTAGTATCTTACACGATGCTTTACTCATTTTGCAAATCCTAATCACCAAGTATAGAAGTTGCAGTCATGATTATGATTTAATATGAACTCTAAACTTAAAAAGAAAATTGTGAAAAAGAGTGAAAGCTAGGAATAGTGATTACCAAATAAGTCTTGGTATCTTACACAATACTGAACTCTCCTCGTGTTAAATCTCCAATACTGAAATTCCTAATCACCAACTATAAAAGTTGTATCCATCGTGAAAATGTTCAAAAACTTGTTTCTACTAAAAATTCGATGTACATTTTAATTCAAATTCAAAGCGGTAATATTTTAAAGTGAATTTAAATATTATTATTTTTTATGATATAGTTGTTTGATAAAGTTCAACTAATTAAACTTGCATGTAAATGCAAACAAAGATAACCTCTGGTCAAAAAGAAAGGGGAATATGGCGAAATTGTTAGATGCTACAAACCTAATTGGATTGAGCCTTGGTATAGAAACTTACTAAATGATCACTTTCAAATTTAGAGAACCCGTGAAATTAACAAAAATGAGCAATGCTGAACCATATTGTCTCCTGCTTCAATGATAAATCCAACCAAAATTACCACATAATCAATTCAAAAGAGAGATAAGTTTGGATATAATGTTGATTCATGCAAATTTACCCCTTATAGACTTGATGAAGTAGGGGCATAAGATGTTAATCGAAACAACTTTATGAATTGATTCAAATGCGTTGATGATGTGTTAGTGCTGAATATGTACTTTCATATAATTATATGTTAGAAATGTTAACAAATTGACATACAAGTTCCAATATAGATTGAAAACAATGAAGGATTAGTCCATTCCAACTTGTAACACACTTTTAAGGCTGGGTTGGGCCGACCAATTTAAGACTTTTTAACATGAAGGGTTGGCCCGCCATAACCCATCAAATTCCTTGGTTCGCATAACTTAAGCTGAATTAGATTGAGCTGGCCTATTTTGACATCTTTATTTGGAATGAAAATTACTAGAAAGATTTTGACTTAAGATTGTGTTAAGTCAATGAAATGTCGATATTCTCCTCCCTTTATCAACTATGTTTCGTTATGTATATATAGCCAAAGAAGCAAACACTTTTTCCTTTATACAAGTTAAACTTTTTGCTAAATTTTGGCAATCGTGAACCGTCTCCACTCTCCTCTACCCATACGATTCTCGTTGCTGCTAGGGTTTCAAGCCCCCTTTTCCCTTCTTCTTTGTTAACGCCAACTCAAAATCTGGGCATTGTGAGTTCTTTCCTTAATTCTTCTAATTTTTTTTAATTACCAACATATTTATTAAGAACTTTATATTCTTTTTACGATTATCCATTGTATATGTCAGGAATTGTGATTTATTCTTAATTTGTTCCATTTGATCGTCATCTGTTTCAATTGTTGTATTGTGTTTTGATTCCTTGAATACTTGTGTGGGACTAGGTGTATGTAAATATTTCACGTTTCAATTGACCAAGAATTATATATGAACCGTCGGATCTTTCTCGGATTTACAATATGATCTATGTGTGGACGACTTATTTAATTGCGTTTTGACACTTTGTTTCAAAATTCCTCCTTTATGGAAGATTTACTTCTTTAAATTTATGGTTTTTTGACTTTCAGTATTGTGAAATTTCTTGATTGTTGATATTTTGATTTCTTCGAATCAGAGTTACCAAGGAGATGAACTGCTAAATGGCGATTGGGAGATTTACATTTCAAAATCTATGATTTTAAGTATAGTGAAATGTCTTTCCTTCTTTTGATACTGATAATTAGTGATCTATGAAGCAGAGTCTAGAGTTTACCTCATCTGCTCATTTATTGAGATCCCTATTTCTCGCATACTAAACACTTTGTCAGTGTGGATTAGGTTGTCTTTTTTTTTTTTATTGTTCATAAGTATACTTTGAGGGAGTTTATGCTTTAAATTTTCCATCATCACTAACACTGTGCTTTTTGTGCAGAAAAATTAAATGGAAACATTGAAGGACAACGTGATGACTATTAGCTCTGATGAGTTTGAGAATAATATCATGGCTGATGCTGAGGAATTTTCTCCAGCTATTCAACAACAGGATAGTGGGACTCATAAGGTATTCTTTTCTTTATCTGCTATTTTTGAGTATTTTTATTCATTTTATATGAAGAACTATACAAAAACTTATTCATTTCAGTACAACTAACATATCCGGTGGAATCCCCACAAATGAGGTTTGGGGACTAGGATATAATACGCAAACCTTACCCCACCCCTCACCCCACACTTTTATTGGATAAGGAGGCTGTTTTCGAATAACCTTTTATCATAGAATAATGGTCATTTTTTCTTCTGATAGATAATTCTGCAATAGTGAGACATATCTAGGTTACACAACCAACAATTACTTGGATGGATGAAAACTACTATTCGCTTTGCTTCATTTGAATTCATCTTATTCCAAATAATTTGTTTATTTTCACAATGTAATTATATAGGCAATCTGAACTCCCCAATTTTTTTGAGAAGCTGCTTCTTTAGATCTTGCCCTTTCTGATACCACTACTCTCTTGTTTGTCTTTCCATTATCTTTCTTATTTTTTTTAGAGATGTTGATGATACACTTTTTAAATGAGCCTTTTTAAGTGAACTTGTTGAAAGTGCCCAACCTAAATATAGAGGAGTAGAAATAAATATTTCGGATGACTGACACCAACTAGTATGAGTTTGAGTTGTAATTGATATGTATATATCTCTTTCATTTAATTAAATACCTCTTTTGTCTTGCAGGAATGGAATGAAGTATCAAAATTACCTGCAGACTATATTAGGAGAGAAGATATGGAAATGAAAGACGTGGCGATGAAACATGTGTTGCCTTTCCTTCCTGGCAAGTCCTTGATGAAGTTTCGGACAGTGTCCAATGAATGGAATCATTGGATAGGTTGTCCGTTATTGGCATACCAGCAAAGCACTTCATTCCAGAAACTTTCAGGCTACTTTCATCAGATTGTGGATGTGGATCTCCAATATGATCCTAACCTTTTGTCTCTGGATCATTCTGCGAATGGAGTCCCCAATCCTTCCCTGGGTTTCTTGCCTGAGGGGATTAAAATTATCAGTTCTAGTAGCGGGTTGCTCCTTTGCCAGGGGTTGGAGAGTTATTACGTTTGCAATCCTCTGACCGAAGACTGGAAACGTATCCCTCCTCATCAATATTATCACGGATCTGATCCAGCTGTCATTCTTGCATTTGATCCGGAGGGTAATATTGAATCATATTTTCACCTTGTCGCTGCTGTCCCTCTTCTTGATCAACCAGTTGTGCTATTTGAGATTTACTCATCTGAATCAAACTCCTGGAGGCGCTCATCTTCAGAGTGTCTTGAGTTCGAAGATGCAACTCTTGTTGGTGGAGGATTATATTTGAAGGGGATGGCGTACTGGAGTACAAAATCAAATGGCGTGCTAGCATTTGATATAAAAAATGAGGTCGCAGCAGTTTTGCGTGTGCCTATTCCACCTGGTAGATATGGTGCATTGACTCAGGTAAAGGATGAGTTATCCTATGTTACTATTTATAATGATTGCAAGGATGTTTTTATGTTAGATTTCTACGGAGGAATGGACATGAGTCTGAACCGTAGTATCTGCGTCAATCTTGGACATAAGAAGCTTCGGCAAACATTGGATAAAGATTCCTTTATTGACAATGGTAGTGTGTTGTGCAGTGTATTACCATGTATAAACAATGGTGATGACATTGTGGTGATCTGCACAACTGAAAGGATATACCTTTATTACCTGAGTGGGCAGAAGGTGGAGACTATTATGACTCCAGGGCAATTCAATCCAAAGAGAAGATTTATACCATACACAAACAGCCTTGCTGCCATACATGAGCTGAAGAACTAGCTGTTTATGATCATTTTTGTTTCTGTCAAGTAGAATTTCGATGTCCTTCCATTAGAACTCGATGAACTTATTTTTAATTATTTATTGCTTGATTGTGTGTTTTCACTTGCGAGTTCCTTTTTACTGCTACTGTTTAAATTTGACGATGAAATGTGCGATAAGATTAGCTTTATATTGGAGGTGTTGGGTATTTAATACTTGAATCGATCCCTCTTGTTTTTCTGATAGTGAAAAATTAAAGCTCATTATATGTTTTTAATGGAACTGCAAATGGGGGGAAAATAAATTAATTCGGCATCAATGAAGGTAGTAGATATTGGATAACAACATATAATTTATTTTAATCGAACACGAAATATTACTCTTCAAATTATTTTTAATAATTATTTTGAAAAAAATACTAAAAGAAAAAGAAGATTAATAAATTAATTATGATAACATTCTTATAAATTGAGTTATTCTCTACTTATATACTAAAATAACAAAATTATCTAATGTAATAATTAAGATTAACACAAATTAGGAGATACACGCCACGTAAAAGTGTCTATCTATCACTAATAAAATTTGATGCAAAATATACAAATTTTACTAATTTAAGGTCCAATTACTTGTATTCTCGTAAGTTTTTAAAATTATTATTCATGTCGGAATTTTGATCTTCAAATAGATGTATAATCTACTCGGACACATGAGTTCAAAAATAAGTATAATTGTATCTGGGAGACACAGACTTTTTCTCTCACTTCTTTTCCTATGTATCTAAATTTCAAAATGTATCTATACCAAAATAAATATATTTAGTATGAATCACATGTATTTGAGATATATTAACTCTCAGGCTTTCCTCCCTTTTTCTCTACCTCTCACTTGCCTCTGTATTTTTTATGTCAAAGTGTATCTAATAGTAAAAATACATGTATGTAGCTGTATTTGAATTTGATATAAACTTATTAATTGGTGAAACAATATATAATCTATTTCAAACTCTATCAAAATATATCAATTTTTTTAAAGTAATTTATAAGCTAAGAGCTAGAGTTGGGACACTTAGCTTTTGATTTTTTAAAGAATTTCTCTGCCTAATTTCTTTTAAACACTTCTTTATATTTTCCAAACACTTTCTAAATTAAAAGAAAGCTTAATAAACAAAAAAATGACTAACAGTAAATCAATATAGATAGTGATAGAAAAATGATAATTTTTCATATAATTTAAGTTACGAAATTACAAATCACCGCTAACTTTATGAGTATATAACAAACATAATACATAAATATGTCTTTTAATTTGGTTTTGAACATATTTATGCTCTTTTAACTTTAGATATATACAAGTAGACACTTAAACTTGTATAAAGTTAAACAAATAAATCACTTAAACTTGTATAAAGTTAAACAAATAAATACACGTATTTTATATGTCATCCTACATATATTATATTTTGTTGAAATCATGTGTTTATTTATTTTAAAATTGAATAATTAAAATATTCTTTTTGTACGGTATGAAAGTTTTTGATCAAAGTTAACGGAATAACCTTATTAAAATACTCCATATTTTAACAGTTCGCTGCGCTACTATACCCTTAAACCCTTTAAACCCATTCTTCTTCTTCGCCGCCGACGATGTTCTTAGTCCATTGAGGGTTGCAGTTGGAAACCCAGAAAGCCGAATTGTTCAGAGACTTTTCTCTGTCTGCCATGGCTATCGACGGAGAACAGTCGCACAAATCTCACCGGTCACGTCAATCCGGTCCTACCGCCAAGAAAAAATCCAAGTCCGACAAGAAAAAGAAGGGTGCTTTCGACGAAAACAATAAACAACATAATCCTAAGGTTTCTTCAATAGTAGTTTTTCGTGCAATTCTTTTTTTGTTCTTTATGTGCCTGACTTTTATGAAGATTTCTTGAATAGTAATTTCTTGAGACTTATTATGAAAATTTGTAGGCATTTGCATTTAGTTCCACTGTGAAAGCAAAGAAATTGCAAGCACGAGCAACAGAGAAGGAGCAGAAGAGGCTTCATGTCCCAACAGTTGATAGGTCCACTGGTGAACCAGCTCCATATGTAATTGTGGTGCAGGGACCTCCCAAGGTTGATTGGACATGTTTTGTTTTGGTTAGATGTCATTCATTGGGTTTTAGATTTGATCTTCTTATGGATTATGCTATTATAGGTTGGGAAGTCACTGTTAATTAAGTCTCTCGTGAAGCACTATACAAAGCAAAATTTACCTGAAGTTCGAGGTCCTATCACTATAGTATCAGGTATGGATTGGCTTCCCACCTTGTTCCTTTTTCCGGTTAGCTTAGTCCATAAATGAATAATTGGAAGTATTAGAAAGAAAGTATGGATTCACCTGATCACATCTCAGGTATTATCTTTGATGGTTTCTGTTTCTCTCATGTTTCGTCTTGATTGTGATTTTTGTCTCCTTCAAAAAGGAGGTAGAGAGAATATCAAATATGCTGGAGGTGTTGGGTGGTTGTGGAAGTTATTCATTTAACATCTTACAGTATAGCAATTTTCTTGTTCCTTATCCTTTTCCTGCTCCTCATTTCAGTTACAATGGTAGGCTTTAATGATGGACTCCCTACTTTAGAAAAGACCATAATTAAATTTTCCTAATTCTTCCCCTTAGCACATAATCCATATATCATTTCAAGGTTAATGGATGAAATAAAAGAAAGAAGCTAATTTTCTTGTGTAAAGACGTTTTTGTGGAGGAGGTTATTTTACTTTCATTTGGGTTTCTTTCAACTTAATATACTCCGCATTTAGAATAAATTCAGCTGGCTGGTTTTTACTGGGTTTGGACATTATATTTAGTTCTCCACAAGCAAGACATGCCTCCAAAATCAGTTGGGATATGGCATACAGTGAGTGCTTGGTTTCGTGTCCGAGAAATCCGCTGGGGTTGTGATGCTGTTGCTGACTCTGATATGTATATATACTGTCAAATTGTATTTTCTAGCTATACTTTTTTTCTCTTTTTTGTTTTTTTGCTACGTGATTGAGGATATGCTTTTCTGCTTTATTGCAATATGTTAATAACTGGTCTTGTCAAATGTGCACTTAAGCCCGGTAGGCAAGGCACTTTGTAGGCTGAATGCTGTGCCTTGCTAAAGTGCTGTTTCTGTGGAAGCTCTTAGTTGGCGATGCAACACAAAACCTAGGTTAATTATGAGACTCTTCAATCTTGCCTAGAGGTTGACTCTAAATCATTAAGGTGGCTGGATCAATTTAGTGTGAATTGTTAAGGAAACTCTGACAGATGGAAATATTCTAGTCACTACTCCCTAGGAATAGGGAATTAAATTTTTTTTACTAGAGAGTTAGTTACTATTGCATTGTGAACTTAAAAACTTAACCAGAAACGGAGTGGAACTTATGTAATTTTTCATTCTCAAAAAAAAATAAAATTAAGTGGAACTTGAACTACCATGGTCTTTATCCAAAATATGTAAACTTAATGTGCAGCGTTTAATTTCCATCAATTTTGCATCTTTATCCATTTAGTTTGTATTTAGTTGAGCCTTGTTAATATATCCCATAAAGCACGTTTTGGTGCTTTTCTATGCCTTTCGTCTTTGACATTATTGATAATATCTAGAAGAAATTTTTTTTCCTTTTGATGTCCTAAAGTTAGTGTCAACTTAATCAATTAGAAGAGTAGCTATATATGCAGTATTGACATAATTTTATTCTATTGCGTTTTACTTGGATCTTTGGCATTGGAAAATTATTGTTAATTCATTTATGACACTGTAGGTAAGCAGAGACGTTTGCAGTTTATAGAGTGTCCAAATGATATCAATGGAATGATTGATGTGGCAAAGTTTGCGGATTTGGCATTGCTTCTCATTGACGGTAGCTATGGCTTTGAAATGGTGCGCTTTTGATTCTTAAGAGAAAAAAGACTCTTTAGGATAAGCATAAGATTGTTCTTGCGTTTTCTCATTGAATATTTAGCAGCTACTCTAGTCTAAGGGTGGGTTATCGTAGCGAGTTAGGTGAGATTGAATTACATGCAAATATTATCATTAACACAAGTTTTTGATTCCTCTTGTCTTTCAAATTGATCCTCTTTGTCCATTTTATTTGACTCGCCTTATCTCATGACATGCAAAAATATTAGTATTTGAAGAAAGTGTAATACTTTATTACTCTATATCACTTTCAACAACTATTTTCAGTGTTATCTTCTAACACTATCAACTCAATATGCTAGTTAAGTTATTTAATGGTGTGTTTTATCATGATTCTCGCACAGAATAGTAAGGGAATATCAGTTAGATTCCTTACACAAACTTAATTGGTTATATTAAAATTGACATTTGTTGCATGCTTCCATCTTGTTACCAAGGTAACACAGAGGGTGTTATATTCTTTCTTTAGTACCTTTCACATTTACTGATTGGTGATTTCTGCCAACTTTATTTCCTCTATGAAAATTTCTCGGTTGATATTTTTTTTGTTGGTAGACCTTGTGATTGGTTTAATTAATTTTGCAGGAGACCTTTGAATTCCTTAATATACTGCAAAATCATGGATTTCCTAAAGTTATGGGTGTTCTTACACATCTCGACCAGTTCAAGGATGTTAAGAAGCTTAGAAAGACGAAGCAACGGTTAAAGCATAGATTTTGGACTGAGATATATGATGGAGCTAAGTTATTTTACTTGTCTGGTCTCATCCATGAAAAGTAAGTCCCTGGCTTCCATATTTGAAAATACATGTTTAGCATGCTACATTGATATAATGTAATATTTCTATTTAATTTCTGAAACAATTTTTTGTTAATGAGTAGGTACTCTAAACGTGAAGTGCATAATCTTGCTCGGTTTATATCTGTCATGAAGTTTCCTCCTTTATCCTGGCGCATGTCCCACCCCTACATTGTTGTAGATCGATTTGAAGATGTAACTCCCCCTGAAAAAGTGCGCATGGACAACAAGTGTGACAGAAATGTCATTTTGTACGGTTATCTTCGTGGATGTAATATGAAGAAAGGAACAAAGGTCTGTAATGTGAATGCTTTGTTTCTTGTAGTTTTCTTGTATTTGGTTGGGAAATAACTTTTAGTACTACAGTTTCAAAAAATAACTTTTAGTACTAATTCATGTCAAATAAAATTCTGATTATGCTATGAACTGGCTGTTTATAGGAATAGAAGCAAAGGTTCGTGCACCCTGTAAGGCCAATTGAAAGTAATATAGTTGCTGAGACTTGAGAGATGGCATAGCAATATGCCTAACATCTTATGGAGTGTTGGTTGACGCTATCGGGCTACAAATAGATGAACTTTAAGAGTAATACCACAGATCTGGTTCGATGACTTAGAGAAAATCATCAAGTTTAACATTCAAATATCTAGTGGCTAATGTAGAGAATTTTGACTTTAGTTTTAGAAATTTTGCGTATAGTATGGACCTTTGGCCTTTTTGGTGTAAACTTGTCATCATATGTGAGGAGGAAAAATTAGACTCTTGTCAATGTTTTGTAGATTTTGCACAGGGTATCTTTTGTAGGGCCCAACATTAGCTTAGTGCTAGGCTATTTAGCTTGTGAATAATATTTTCTTTACATGTCAACAATTAGAGTTTGTGAATTCTACTGTTCGATGTACTATTGAAAGGGAACAAGTTATCTCTCTTTCATAACAAAGTTGAGAAGATCGGGAAAGATGGAAGCCTTTGGGATACAAACTCACGAGTTGTATAATGACTCATGTGAAGACCGTTTCATTTTATTTATATCTAGTTATTTTAATACGGTGTTTCAGCTAGTGATTTAGCAGTTTATTTCTCCCTTTTCCATATCCTAAAGCTGCTTTCACAATATGACCAGGTACATATTGCTGGTGTTGGTGATTATAGTTTAGCAGGTATAACAGCATTACCTGATCCATGCCCTCTACCATCTGCTGCCAAGAAGAAGGGACTAAGGGACAAAGAAAAGCTGTTTTATGCCCCCATGTCTGGATTGGGTGATCTTCTTTACGATAAGGATGCTGTGTATATAAACATAAATGATCACTTTGTCCAGTTCTCTAAGGTTGATGAAACAGCTGCTGTTGGGGGTCGCAGAGGTAAATATTTTTTTTCTGTTTCTTATAAACCTATTTTTTTAAAAAACGAATCCCATTTTTTTTTGAAACTGGTAACTTTAGTCTATATATCCACAGGTATACTACAACAAAAGTATAGTTTCCCTTCAAAAGTTTTACAACTTATAGAATAAAATAGTCTTAGTCTAAACTGCTACCTATAAACAATCAAGCACATCAAAGATATCTTCTGTCCTAGTTAATATATCTTGTTTACACCAAAAATAGAAAAGAGCTAAGCAGTCCATCTTGATCTACGGGAAGCTATTCTGCCAATTTTCAAAACTCCTGCTGTTTTTCTCTTTCCAGATTGTCCACCAAATACATGCCGGGATAAGTTTCCATCTCTTCTCTTTGTCAGAAGCATTGCCATCTCTACTCCAGCTGCTCAGGACTCCTTTAATGCTCCTTGGTTTCACCCATCTTATCCCCTTTAGACAGATGAACATTCTCCATGATTGTTCTCTCCATGTACAATGCAAAAAAAGATGGTTAATTTGCTCAGCATGTTCTCCACATAAAGTACATCTCGAAGCCAACTGATAGCCTTCTTTTTTTAGATTTTCACGTGTCAAAACTGCTTCTTTTGTCAATAACCACATGAAGCAGTTTACTCTGTAGGGTACTTTTGGTTTTCAAATGATCTTCCATGGCCATTCCATCTCCTGTCCATTCTTGTTGAGTTCTTTATAAACTGAATTTACTGAGAATTGACATTTGGTATCATTCTGCCAAACTAATAAGTCCTCCGTTTCAGTGACGTTGCTGAAAGAGCCTACTGAATCTTGAAATTCTGCCACTTTGTCTATCTCCCAATCCTGAAGGTTCCTCCTTAAGAAACAAATTCCATCCTTGTCAGCCTTCATTGTGGCCACAGTGGCCTGTTGATGTTGGCATAAAGTGAACAATTCAGGATGCAATTGTTTCATAGGAACAGACCCATTCCACTTATCATCCCAGAAGGATGTCTTTGACCCATCTCCCACTTCTACCTTGGTTCGGTGATATAGCACTGGCCATAGATTTCCGATTGGCATAAAGTGAACAATTTTTTTTAGCTTATGGGAAATTCACATTCCCCTATTTAGTCCAGCAAGATAAGTGATATGCATCTGGCTATCTTTTGGTTATAGCTTTTTTTGTTGTTTGAATTGGTAAGTTCTTATTCATAAACAGCTATAGCTTTAAAATTTGCTGCTATTACCAATTAGCAGGGCTTGAATGTCGTTGCTTTCCTTTTCTTTGCTCTGGATTCCGTCCATCCCTATCAGTTACTCATCATAATTTCTGGCTGAACTTTACTTATTATTGTTCAAGCAACTTAATAAGACCACATGTTGATTATGAAATCTTTTCTTGTGTTGGTGTTTGTGTCATCCATTTCCTCTACGTTCAGTCTATCTCTCTCTTTTGCATTCAAAGGAGTGCTATTTGCTTAGATGATGTTAGAAGTTGTTAAGAACTCCTATATGTTGTAAAATTTTGGTACATCTTTTTACCAATTGCTTAGATACCGCTGGGACAGGAATGGTCGTTGTTAATCTTATGATCGATAGTAGTTTCTAAAAAAGCCTTATGATCGATAGAAGTTTGTTGGATTCTGTGCATTTTCACTAAGCTGACCAATTGAAAAGAAAAATTGAGTTATGTTACTGTCACCTCCCTACCATGTTATTACGAAAAAATGGTCCACACATTTGTAATGCGTGAAAAAAAATAAAAGAACAGGATTATGTTAGGCACACTTTTTTTTTTTTTTTGCATAGACTAATAATTAAAAATCTCACCTGTGTCATGCATGGATCTACAACTAGTTTTTTTTCTGAACTCTGGTAATTTGTATTTTTAAGTATTACGGGCTCTGAGTAGTTTTCTTAATAATGGATAAAGAAAATATTGGATGTTGAGATCACCTTTTCCAACATGCTATATGATCTTATTTTATTTCTTGGGTCACAACTTTTTGCAAGACATTTTCCAACTGACAAGTATTATCTTCTTGATCTCAGGGAAGGGCAATGATGTCGGAGAGGCTTTAGTTAAATCACTTCAGAACACGAAATATTCAATCGATGAGAAGTTAGAAAATAGTTTTATTTCTCTTTTTGGGAAAAAACATAATCCATCCCCATCAAATCATGCTAAAGCTGATCAAACTAATGATTTGGTGCCTGCGGAGCGAGATCAGTCTGGGTTTGAACCCAACAGCGATGGATCAGATGAGGACAATGATGCTGAAGATTTGAAGCGTACTCATCTTAAGGAGTCAAACGACTCCTCGGATGATAGTTCTGAGGAAGAAGATAATATTGGACCAGAGAAGCACCCAGGATTGAGTAGTAGTTTCAGGGAACATGTTGATTTTCATGACGGAAGAATGAGAAGAAAAGCTATCTTTGATAATGATAATGATTTTGATGAAAAGGTAAGCCAATGACATTCCGATCTAGTTCCTGACCTCGTTGTGCCTCATCTTGTCTATGAGGTGTTTGTGTATAGCGGATAAAAACAAGTAGACAGCTATCTGTACCAGAATATTAAGGAGGAATGCTTGTGTCTCCTTTTTTTCTTTTCTTTCCGATTTGGAGAAATCTGATGAACCTGTTGCTTTCCACCTATGTAAGAGTCGCTGGCCATTGTGCCAGGTTTTTTTGGGGAGCAGAGGTTCTTTGCATGAAGAGTAGTGCTTCCTAAAACTCATTAATTACCCCTTTCCAATATTTATATAAACCTCACCTGCATATTATTGTTCACATTAATTTGTATAAGTTGTTATGTCTTTCACATATATGCTCTGAACTTAAGTTTTGACCCAAAAGTTACGCTCTTGTATGTCCTGGTTCACCGTGTGGTGGAATTGGACTTTGATATGCGTATGTGTTGTATTTATACTATATCATTAAATCCAGGATTATAGTGAAGAAGATGTCGAAGAGGATGCACAAGATGATGATTTAGAGGACACTGATGAGGAAAATGAAGCTTATCATAATTCAGGGGATGACGATGATTTTGATACAAATGGTAGGTTTTTGAGTTCCTTTAGTACAGACATCATTCTCTGTGTTGTTTGATCTCCATATAGTATTTCATCATCCTCTTGGCCTAGGAGTAAATGAAGTTCCTAACTTGCTGTAAAGTAGCTCGCTTTATTTCCAATTCTTTTCTAATTACTCCAAATCTTTCATTTCTTATGGAGTCTTTGTTTGTTTCCTTTCGTAGAAGAGGACATGGGCAATGCTTCAAGATGGAAAGAATTTCTGTCTGAAAGGACACGTAATCGCCAAAATGTTAATCTTATGCAGCTTGTATATGGGGCATCCGAATCCAAGTCAACTACAAAAGCTGAGTTACGACAGCATGGCGCTGAAAATGATGAAAGTGATACTGAGTTCTTCGTGCCCAAAGGGGAAGGAACAAAGGTTTAACAGCTCATCAAATAATAAAGCTTTTGGTTCCACAGTAGTTTGCTTTTGGTCCATGTGATACCCAGCTAAGCACATTGCGTGTCAATTAGATGAAACATGAATTATGAGAATCATTTTCTATAATAATCTTTATTACAATTTCAGAGTATCCATCCACTCTAGTCTAATAGATAGGGAGAGGGATTACTCGATCACGTGGCTACCACATCTGTCTTTTACTTAGTATTTTGAGTGTATCTTGATTTTGAGAACTGTGATAATATCTTCAAAATGTTTTTTGCCTACTTTGTAACCAAAAATGTATGCAGTAGAAGTATCAAAATGACTTCATTGTAGTAGAGGACATGATAGTCATGTACAGGGACCAAAAGAAAGCATTCTCATTGCAATTAATTATAGCTCTTCTGCTGTTGTAGTTGTTTTTTATTTTACCACTACTATTTTGGTAGAAGTTGAAATGACTTTGTCAAATTATTGCATATCCTTGTGCAGAAACTCGAAGAGCAGATGAATGATGATAATATTGATGCCGAGGACTGCTCCAAATTTGTAAATTTTTCAAGTCAAATTGACTGGAGGATTCAAGAATCAATTGAAACTATCCGTTTCCGGTTTGTCAGCAAAGGCTGGTCCAAAACAGCACGTGGAGGTGGCTCAAGGGATGTCAATGGTAATGATGATGTTGGTGAGGATGACGAGGATCTGTTTGGTGATTTTGAAGACTTGGAAACAGGTCAGAAGTATGAGAGCCATGAGGCAGGTGGTACTGGAACTAATGATATGATCCGCATGGATGATGAATCAGCAGTTGAGGAGCGCAGACTAAAGAAATTGGCACTTCGTGCAAAATTTGATTCTCAATATCCTTTTGTCACCTCATCTTTATTTCCTTTTCCATCCACTCCACCCCGTCATCTTTCATTCATCATCAAATATTTTCTCTGCCCTAACTATGATGGGATCACACTGGGTATGTTTTGTTGTTGTCCTTGCAATTTGTTTTATGACCTTAACTTCTATGTACATATGGTGGGTCGGATTCCTCCAATGAGGATGAGGACGAGGTTATTAAACCAGACACGAAGTCTCATCGGGGTCAAGCTGATGGAAATGGGTACTATGATAAGGTAAGGTTTGGTTAATTTCAGTCAAACATAAAGTGGGATGCATTTACTCTATAGTTGATCATGTCCTATTTCACAGTTGAAAGAAGAGGTAGAGCTTCAGAAACAAGTGAATTTAGCTGCACTAAATGAACTTGATGAGGCCACTCGGATAGAGATAGAAGGCTTCAGAACAGGAACTTATCTTAGACTAGAAGTTCACGATGTCCCCTCTGAAATGGTTGAATATTTTGATCCTTGCCATCCGATTCTTCTCGGAGGTCTAGCACTTGGAGAAGAAAATGTTGGATACATGCAGGTAAAAGCTCCTCTTTGGTTATGTCCATTTTTATTTATTTATTTATTTACCCATAAAATGGATATTCAATGAAAACACTCGATTGTTGGTTTTGTAAACAATTGAAAGAACTAGTATTCACTTCTTTAGAAGTTTGTCTCTTCTCTACGATATATTAATGAGTTAAACTTGTTCATTTACTGTAAGCTATCAGTTGTGAACTATGGATGGATTATTAACTCCCAGAGAGGCCATAACATAGTTATGGTATTATGAATGCTAGAAGACACAACAGACTGCTCAGATACGGTCATAAGATAAGAGAGAAGTGCAACCTGAAACAATTTTTTGAGAGTCTATATCATCTTTGTTTACCGAAAGAAAGCTATTAGTTTGCCCAGGAAGAACTAGTGTGTCCATTAGGTTTGTTTGATTAACAAGATATAGTTTACTGAAAATAAGATTCTGTCAAAATTCTATTTTATTGAGTTTAATCTAGGTGTAAACTTCCCTGCTCTAAGCAACTCCCCCATTAACTAGAATAGTTCTGAACATGTGATGGTAGTAAGCTTAAAATACCCTGACTGGTAGTCCCTGTTACTCTCAACAGCTTATCTGCAAGTATATTAGATAGTACTGAAGAAAAAGGAGGTGAGAGGCTCTGCCCCTCTCATGCATTTATGTAGTATGTTAGCATGACTCGTGAATAGAAAAAAGAAAAGACACTTGCATAAACTAAATGACCATAAAAGTTAATGCATCGTGGTGTAATTTATTTGGTCAATGTTAATGCCTTGTTATGATGTGTAATTATACGAAGTCAAATTTTGGGAATGAATAATCTTAATTTCTATTTTCCAGATGAGTGCATAGTTTCATCCCAATACTACTGATGAAAACTATCTTCTTCTTTTTTCAGGTTCGGTTGAAGCGGCACAGGTGGCACAAGAAAGTGCTGAAGACTAGGGATCCAATTATTGTTTCTATTGGTTGGAGGCGCTACCAAACTGTACCTATTTATGCCATTGAGGATCAAAATGGCCGTCACCGTATGCTCAAGTACACTCCTGAACACATGCATTGTTTGGCAATGTTTTGGGGTCCCCTTGTGCCTCCACACACGGGAATGATCGCTGTCCAGAACTTGTCAAATAATCAAGTAAGTTGTCACTTGTAGTTGCCTATGTTTGCTGTTAAGTACTTGTCAAACAATTAGGTAAGGTGTTGTATTTAGGTGGGCCTCTGTAAAGTTGTGTGGGAATGCATTCAGCAAGTACAAAGCTAACCTGTTATGGTCCATTTCCCCATTTCTTCCTATAGATGGAAGTCTTAACTTTACAAGTCTAGCAATGCAAGCACCCCCAGGGCTTTGGTTTGTAAGTAAGAGTGCACCACGGGTTCAAACTTGCTATAAACAATAACCCAGTATATAAGTTGAGAAGGGTGGAGAGAGCAGGCCCGTTATTCACCAATTTCTGTTCTGCACTATTGGCCCTCGTGGATTTCTCGTTTCTCAAAAAAGAAAAGAGAAAAAAGGCCTAGCTATGCAAGCCAAACTAATTTCCTTAAATTAATTGGGAACCATATGTTTACTCGTAGTTGGAAGAATCATCCATAGGTACAATTTCATTTGTCTTCACTAGATTGTAGTCTCTAAATACTTATTGCTTGATTTACAAAACATTTTACTGCCTCCTTTTATTTCATGGCTTTGTGCTTAGCCATTTTCATTTCTAAATATGCCTTGAGCCTTATTTGTTTTTTCTATTAAGATTAAGATGTATGTATCTAAATGTCAAGATGTGTATTAAGATTTACATGTTCTAGTCTGAATACACATCTTAATACTAAGATGTATTAAGATATGGATACTTTACAGTTAAGCCTGTTGTTTTCTCAACAACTGAATATATAAAACTTGTCTTCATTTAAAAATTAATAAAATATTTAAGTAACCTAACACTATATCAATAAATTTTTGTGATGAGTTGATTGATTTCATTGATGACATTTAGTATATGCAGAAAAGAAGAGTACTAAGTGCTAAGAAATACATATCAGCTCCCTAGAGAGAATAAGTCTGAAGGTTCAGGGAACAAATAAAGTAAGACTATCTCGGCAATTTATAGAGAACATATTATGCCAACCATAATGTTTAAAATACACTCACCATTGCCAACTACCTCTGCTGCGGCCCTCTATTATTAATCACCACCAGTCACAACCACCATCCTCACCCATAACACCACTGCCAATCTCTACAATTAACTGTCACCAGCACTTGCAATCATCACCACCAATCACCATTACACAACAACCACCACCACTAGTCACCACTATATATTGCCAACCATCAGCATAATTATCTGTTCCACCAACATTGTTAACTACTATTACCATATGAATTGACGCGGTTCATTCAAGATTAGGTGCCTTGGTATATGTTGTTTGCGGATGACATAGTACTGATTGATGAAATGCGCAGCGAAGTTATAATGCTAGGTTGGATATATGGAGACAAACTCTAGAGTCTCAAGCGTACAGAGTATTTGGAGTGCAAATTCAGTAATACAATGCAAGAGGCAGGCATGGAGTGAGGCTTGACACACAGGCTATCCCTAAGAAAGATAGTTTCAAGCAGCTTGAGCCTATAATTCAGGGAAATGGGAACATCGACAATGATATCACACATCGTATTGGTGCGGCGTGGATGAAGTGGAAGCTTGCATCTGGAGTTTGTTGGTATAACAATATAGCAAACTTAAAGGTAAGTTTTATAGAGTGATGGTTAGACCAATTTTGTTGTATGAGGCGGAGTGTTGGCTGGCTAGTCAACAACTTCCATGTTCAAAAGATGTGTGGACATACAAGAAGCGATAATATTAGGAATTAAGATATTTGGGAAAGGCGAGAGTGGCCTTACGGGTGGACAAGATCAGGGAAGCTAGATTAAGATGGTTTGGATATTTGAAGAGAAGATGCGCAGACACCCTAGTGAGGAGGTGTGAGAAGTTGGTTATAGTAGGCACGAAGAGAGGTAGAGGTAGCTTGAAGAAGTATTTGGGAGAGGAGACAGAACATGACACAACTCTAAGGTTACCGAGGACATGAACCTTAGATAGGAGGGCGTGGAGGATGCATACTTAGGGTAAAAGGTTACTAGTAGATCCTGGAGGATTGTTTTGCTTTTTGATGGTTTAGGTTTGTTGGTGTTTATTTTTGTACTGGCCATATTATTGTAGTTCCTGTTTTAATATTTATTGTGTTGATATTATCACACTATTTTGTTGTTCTCGTAGCCTTTGCACTGCTTCCCTTGTTAGTTGCTATACTATTTTACACTGTTCTTCTTCTTTGTACTTGGATTTCTGATCCTGCATCTGTGCTGATTGTTCTACCTTTTAATATCTGTCTTTATACTTTTACAGGCATCCTTTAGAATCACTGCGACTGCAACTGTGCTAGAGTTCAACCATGCAGCAAGAATAGTCAAAAAGATTAAGTTAGTTGGTCACCCATGTAAAATATTCAAGAAGACAGCACTTATCAAGGACATGTTCACTTCAGATCTTGAAATAGCTAGGTTTGAAGGTGCAGCTATTCGAACTGTTAGTGGAATTCGTGGGCAAGTGAAAAAGGTAGTTTACCACTTTGGGTATCATTTAACTGCTGTCTCACTTCGCTTCCTGGTTTTCTAGTTAGGGATACTTGTGCTTGACTGTAAATTGACAGGACTTTAGACAATATAATCAAGTCGGGAAGAAGATAATTTCTTGTCACTTCATCTAGATACTGACTTCTCATGTTCATTCCCTCTTTTTCTCTAAATATTAAACCACCATCTATCAATCCAAGATTAAATAGTTATACTAATTTTCTGGGATCAACGCAATTTTAAAAAATTGCATGCTGGTGGTATCCAACTACATTTGATCAGAGGGATAAACAGTATGAAATGTTATTTTTTGAGATTCTGACCACATCTGTAGAAAGAATAGAAAAGTTACGCGGTGTTGATTTGCTGAGCATAAGATATTTAGTATTTTAATTTTCTAACGAAGCACATGCATTTACACACTACAAAGATGATTTGTTGACCATAAGATATTTAGTTTAAATTGTTCTAATAAAGCATGCTCTTACACACAACAAAGATGAATTCTTTAAAAAGAAAAAGGTGCATGTGCACTGGGGGGTGGGGAAGAGGTCTTCATCCATGCCTGCCTGCCTGCCTGCTTGTGATCGTTATTCAGGGTTTCCTCCTACTCTCTTCTCACCATACCTATGGGTTATCCATGGACACTAGTTTGTGGTTCTTGTTACTTGTAGCATATACTTGACATTTTCTTAACAGTATTTGTCTCGTTGTTTGGAGGATGATCCAAAGGTTGTGCATGTTGCAAAGTGATTCTACCACAGAAAGTTGTGAAGATGTAGTAGAAACAGTTCTCTATGTTTGGAATGGTTTTAGTCGTTTCCTAATTCATTTCCCTACTTCTGTTGTTGGTGTTAATCTTAGGCTGCTAAAGAAGAGATTGGTAACCAACCCAAGAAGAAGGGTGGGAGTGCCAAAGAAGGCATTGCTAGATGCACATTTGAGGATAAGATCCTTATGAGTGACATTGTTTTCTTGCGTGCTTGGACTCAAGTTGAAGTTCCTTCCTTCTACAATCCATTGACAACAGCATTACAGCCGCGTGATCAAACTTGGCGAGGAATGAAAACAGTTGCTGAATTAAGGAGAGAACATAATCTACCAGTGCCTGTCAACAAGGATTCGTTATATAAGGTGAAACATGTTATTTCAACGTTTGTTAATAACTTAATTATTACATTGAAGTCTTTCTGTCGTGTTTTTTCTTCCTGCTGACAGACGCCTCTCTGCTTGTTATGTTGTTTGATGCCGCAGCCAATTGAACGAAAGCGGAAAAAGTTCAACCCCTTGGTAATTCCCAAGCAATTACAGAAAGGTCTCCCCTTTGCCTCTAAGCCCAAGGATGCTCCAGCTCGGAAGCGACCACTCCTGGAAGATCGGAGGGCTGTGGTGATGGAACCCCATGAGCGCAAAGTGCTTGCTAATATTCAAAAACTTAGACTCATTCAGCATGAGAAGGTATGCTCTCTCCAACAGGAGCAGTTAAGACTTGGTTTTACTGCTAGTACTTTCCTGGCTGTAGGTTGTGATCACTTGCCCATTAATACTAGCTAACAATTTCTTAGAAGAGTTATTTGGATAATTCACCCTTAAGTGACACAGTGCCATAAATTTACTGATTGTCAAAGCTTACAGTATCTGTTTGGATATGAATTGTACAGTCACCATCGTTTGAAATTCATTTTTCAGATAAAAACACGCAAGCTCAAAGATGATGAGAAGAAGAAAGAACTTGAAACAGAAAGGACCAAGGAAGAGCAACTCTCAAAGAAGCGACGGAGAGAAGAGAGACGAGAAAAGTACCGTGTGCAGGATAAAATGAATAAGAAAAGCCGCAGGGATACTTAGTCCTGAAACAGTTCTATCTACTCGGATAATTGGGCCAATCTTGCTGGACGAACTGAGCATGATTGATTGCCAAACTGGCTTCATATCATTTAGTGGCGACTTTGCAGCATCAGTGGTGACTTGTTGTAATCAGCTTGCGATGAGGTGTGACTTTAACGTGTTTGACCAAACACTGGATAGTTTGCTATCCTTGGCCTCTACAGCCTCGCGGTGTACCATGGTCTATACAACCCAAAATGAAAAAATATTGGCCATTTTTTGTAGTTTAGTGAAGTGATTATTATTTATCAAGGTGATTCTATAGAAAGATGTACTAATCACATGAACATACAATTCAATGCTTTGCTTGTGTTTTTTTGTTGGAAATTCCCGGAAACCCTGCTGCCCCTTTCAGGTGCAAATCCGCCCTTGTGCAATAGCTTGTAAACCACAGAGAAGAGCTAAAGACAAGTCCAGTGTGTTGAAGTACGCATTCAGTTTCTGTTCTCTTATTATGTAGATGTTGAACTGGTCGTATAATCTCTAATATTTATATATATAAAAAGAATTCTCTGTACACTTTTCATTTGGATCTAAGCATCAAAACATTTCACATTTTATTAGTTTTACTAAAACTTAGTGGCATTTAAGTTAAGTTTAGGAATTCAATAATACCTTATATTCCTTCAGGTAAAATCTTAAGTTGCATTCAAAATGATCACCAAGCTAATCATTATGCTTGCAAAACTATTAGTTTAGTCTTTAAAGTTCTTAGATAATATAAACCTACCAAATAGGAAAGTAGGGTATTTATATTTTCGTAAGTACTAACTAAAGGCTATAAAGCTGCTATTCTCCCACACATGAATCATTACTTGTGACAAACATAAAATAATTTTCAGTTTTTAAAGCTTCACATTTAATTAATCTAAATTAGGGAGATAAAAAAAAATGAGAGTAGTAATAATTTAGGAAAGGCATGCGCCGAAGCATGTGTAGGGTCCACTTCCACTAAATTAGGATCAAGTAATGGAGTAGTACTTTATTCTAGTTTACTCTTCTTCTAAAATGAGTCTTAAAAGTTTCTCATCAAAACCCAAAACCAAAACTTTCCTTCTTTATAACATACACAAACTAAGTTACACATTGTGGTCTTCTTCTTCTTCATTCAAATTTTAGTTTGACAACTACTCTTTCATTTGGAATCAACTGCATTTTCAGCTTCAAACGTGTGCGATCCTCGATCTGTTACCGGGTATGTAATTGTGATGGTAGAAAGTTGCAGTTATTCATATTATTGTATGATTTTTGTGTGTATGTATTGAGGGGAAGAAGAAAAATGTGTTTTGAAAATGGAGAAACTCTTTTGCAGATTCGTTGCTGTTAACGCAAGCAAACTTTTTTTTTTTGGAAAACTAAAACAGAAAACAGAAGACAATATAATGGAGTCGTCACGTGAGTTGCACGTATTTTTTATTGGAAGAGAATTTGTTTATTTAATCTCTTGGATGGAAAGGCAGAATAGTTTCAATAATTCGGTCTGCCTTTTTTATTCTTTTCGTATTGATGCCAACCTTCACTTTGCTATTGATATACGAAACATCTCACTTATGGTTTTTTTTAGTTACGAAATATTTATTTTGATATATTCTAGGAGTTTTTTATTTTCTTAAATTTCGTGCAAAATTGTTTCATACCAATAAATTACTGAAATGATTGGAGTTGGATGCTTTTTAGCAGACAAATTTGACTAAAATAATTTTGATTTACCAAACTTAAAGTTATTGTTAATGGTCCATTATAGCCGATATAGTTGTTCAAATCATTTTTAATAAAAGCAATTTTGAAATAGTTTCTTTGCTTCCTATTCACAACTTTAGAATCAGGATCTGGTTCATGCATTTCACATCAATCTTTCTTATATTCCATTCCAATTCAGTTGGATCACTACATCCTAGCTTTTTTTTTTTCGAAAGGGGAAATGAGGTAGGAGAGAATAAGGTGGTAAATCGAGCTTTTGCTAACAAACCGAAAGTTCAGATAAGTCAATCAGCTGAGCTACTAATGTTTCTCATTTTTGCTTTTGCAGATGGAGAGGTGGTAGAGGAATTGAAGAACTCAACTTTCCCTGCATTGGTACTTTAATGCCATGACTACAGTTGAAGGCTCTAAAGAAGAAATGGAGGGAAGTAGTATTGAGAGATATAGCAAGATCAAGAAAGGATCCTGGTTAGACCAATTTCGACATGGCTCTAATCCTTGGATGGCTAGATATCTTTACGCCATATTGTTTCTCATTGCTAATTTATTAGCTTGGGCTGTTCGTGATTATGGCCATAGCATTTTGAAAGAAATGAAGAGTAAGATTGCTTCATTCTTTATTTTGGCCATAGATTTCTATTTCTAGTGCTACATCTGTAGTACACGATTCTAACGGTGTGTATATGTATACCTGTAGGACTTAAAGGATGTAATGGTGGTGAAGACTGTATGGGTGCAGAAGGAGTATTGAGAGTAAGCTTGGGGTGTTCTGTATCCTACCTATCTCTAATCCCATTTGATTCAAATTAGCTAGTTGTAAAATTTACTCAATGATAGTAATAAGTTGAAACTTTTATGGCTTTGTATGATCATGAAGCTCGATGATGAAATTATTGATTTTCTGAGTCAATCCTTAACATGGTCATTATAGCTATTCTATTTCGCCATGTTCCTATCTACAGCTGGTACTTCGAAATTAAATGACCGCAGAGAATTATGGCACTCAGGATGGTGGTCTGCCAAGCTTTTTATGAATATTTCTCTAATTGTACTACCCTTTCTTCTTCCAGCAGAGATCATTTCAATCTATGGTTAGTATAGATGCATTACTTCAGATTTAATAAGTCAGTCATATGTAGTTTTATCAGTATATGATAAATTGCTGAATGATGTTGTGTTTTCTGGACAGGCCAGGTTGCTCATTTTGGTGCTGGGTATGACAAACTCATCTAGCATGCTTCTTTCGTCATGTGCAATCACTTTAGTGTTGGTTTTGATAATAGGATTGAGCTTAACATTTTGTGTACTACCCTCTCGTTAATTCTGTTTCTGATCCATTTGCAGGGTATTTTTACTAATCCAGCTTGTAAGTATAATCAGTTTTATCACATGGCTGAACGATTTCTGTCATTCAGAGAAATATGCTGTGAGATGGTAATTGGCTTAGTCTTTTTTTATACATAAATTTGATCGACGATAAGCAGACCTTGATATAAGCATAGGGTCGTATTTTAGACAAGATTTTAGGGAAGTATGTGCATTGTGATGTTATCGACTCATTTGGATAAATGGTTCACGTGCTATTTACTGTTAAAAATAGAACAGTTCCTCTTGCTAGTACTGTTATCTTTGAATTAGAATCATTATTAAAAGGCTAAAGTTCAGATCGAAGAAGAACAAGCCGTACATTTCAGTGATGGTACATTTTATGTAATTCCTATGAAGGTTTAATATGGTTGTTGATTAGTGCTAATGGAAATAAAACCATTTTGCAGCCACGTCCAAATGATGTTACTTGCAACAGTTGCATACGTTATATGCATCCTCGGGATCATCTTAATGTACATTTGGTATACGCCTCAACCATCGTGCCTTCTTAATATTTTCTTCATCTCCTGGACATTAGTACTCCTCCAACTCATGACCAGTGTTTCTCTCCACCCCAAAGTGAGTTTGAGTTTCTTGTGTTTATATTTTTTTGTTGGGATGAATTTATATTAATTGATCAAAGCACCAGGTGAATGCCGGTTTCCTGACTCCAGGTTTTATGGGGCTATATGTGGTGTTCCTCTGCTGGTCTGCCATCAGAAGGTACAATTTGGATTTGTTTTTTTCGTAAACCTTGCATTCTTCTCTTTTAATTCATTAAGAGTGCAAAAAAGAGAAGGCTGCAATTTGAGGCTAAGCACTAGATACAGAGTTTCTTGACTATTCTTTATCTATCATCACTTGAGCCTTTTAGGAATATCAATTTCTATAAGTAATGTCATTTGTTGAGTGAGAAGCCGTGCTCCTAAGAACCTGAAGTAAGAATTGGCATATCTTGGTATATTCTCAAACTTATTGGAAGTAGATGACTTAAACTTGTCACAACTTAAGTTTTAATATTATAAATTTCATTTATTTGAGGAATCCTCTGTTTGGCTCAAGCTTCCACTTGAGAGAACGCCGATACACAATTAGTCATCTATGGTTTCATCACATTATGCTTTAATTTCTTGTTATGTACTTACAGTGAACCTGCAGAGGAGAAATGCATCCGGAAAGCAGAATCGCCAACTGGAAAAGGAGACTGGTTCACCATCATAGTAAGTTCCCGACCTCTAAATGACTCAAGATGTTCGTTGAGTCATTAAACACGTAGCATTATGTCTTGCTAGTTTGTCAATAATGAGTTAAAACTGGCAAAGGTTCAGTTCAGTTGTAGTATTATTCTATTGTTCTAAGAATTTGGACAAGCTTTATCCTGTTGACTTGCCTTCACTTCCGTTACCTTGGTGGTCTAATGTATTTCTCTCGCAAGATTCTGCTCTCCCCGTAGGGCTTTGGGTCTGAGATCTGCTTTCTTTAGATTCAAATGCTATTTCATGTGCTGCTAGAATTTTATTTGAGTCTTGACTTCAAAATATATAGTGGTGTAGTAGAATACTACAATTAATATATCCCTTTTCCGACATGTAATTAAGTAAACTTTCACTGTTAATTTTGTACAGAGCTTTGTTGTAGCAGTCCTTACAATTGTCATTGCAACATTTTCAACTGGAATTGATTCAAAATGCTTTCAGGTATACCTCAATACTTTTCAGTTACATAATAATCCGAATATATCTAAGAAAAATTTCTAACAGAAACTAGTTACAGTTTAAGAAGGATGATGCACCTGAAGAAGATGATGTACCATATGGTTATGGATTCTTTCATTTCGTCTTTGCGACTGGAGCTATGTATTTTGCAATGCTATTAATTGGATGGAATCCTAATCACGCCATGAAGAAGTAAGTTCCTTCATCTTCAAACAACATGTAAATTTTGATTTGGGCGATAATATGTTTTGGTTTCAGCTCAAAGTGATGGCAGGAAATTGAAATGCTTGCTTTCTACTTGTTAAGAAAGAGAAATGAACCAATAGAAGTTGTAACAAAATGCTTATTCTATAGTGCTTTTTGTTGTTAATCTGCAGGTTTACGATAGACGTTGGTTGGACTAGTACTTGGGTAAGGGTAGTGAATGAATGGCTTGCAGTTTGTGTTTACAGTAAGTTGTTGCTCACCAAACTTGGCCACCTTCAATATTATTAACTGTGGTATAATTATAAAGATTTTGGATCTATAACATGTAATGTGATGCTTTAGACATTTCTCAAATTTACCAGTATGGATGCTCGTGGCTCCGATCATATGGAAAAGCAGGCAAGTAGCAACATCAAATGTGTGACAGACAAACTTCACATTGCTAAGATTTCTCCAAATTC